CCATGAGCTAGAGCTGGATGGCAGGTCTGTGACTGCGGATGAGGAACGCGCAGTCCCGCCACCCAGGTAGCAGGCTCCACGATCCCGCTCCTTCCCTCCTTCATCCTTCCCTTGATGAGAGCCGGCGTCCCTTGTACTGCCGCTCGCCGCTGAACCTGTCAGAATGGAAACCTTGTAGTTTGTTGTTTCCTGCAGACATCTAGAAGCAACTTCGCGAACAATCCAATCCTCATCCCCCTCTGCACTGTATTCTCTTTGGACTTATCACTCCCTCCATGTCTGGTACTTGACTGCAACACCTGTACCTAGGCAGTCCGTGTCAAAACATGAAGCCTCCGTGCGGAATGTTTGCGATCACCAGGAGATTTTGAAATTCTCGTCCACCGGCAACGGACACAGCACCCAGACCACCCCCTTTGAGGCAAATCAATCGGTCACACAGATCGACATGTTTTTGAGACCAAGAAGCCCCCACCCCGGAAGAAGACACTCTCCTTTCGTCCTGGCAACCTCGTTGGCCACATGGCAGGATGGCAGTGGCAAGGTCTCGCATCCCTACAGGCACGTTTTTCGACGCTCACACTTCAGGACAACGGTGGCGAATATGTGAGTATATCGTTTCATCTACACCAAACCGCAGGAATATAGCCCTAGGATATCGCAACCCCATCCATGCACTATACTCTACACTCGCCGCCTCGCGGACTACGTGATTTGGGGAAGGAGGAAAGGAACCGCCGCCGCCTCTGCCTACTAAACGTAAAGTATGTGATGTGATACGAAAGGTTCTACAACCGCCAACTTTGCCTTGTTGCGACGACGGACCCATCTATCTTGAAACATGCGCAAATCTGATCATATAACTAAACAAAGTCGGCGACGTGCGTTGACGTTCCTTCCTTGACCAAGCAATTCCATCGTTTGTACCTCCCTCTCACCCCACTGAATGTGCATGTACCATGTGTGCCTGGTTCAGAAATCCAAATTAACCTCTTGCTCGCCGTTCGAATAACGTTCGCACATGCATCATCCGTCAAGGATCGTGTACCTTTCTAGCTCCACAGTCAACCACGCCAGCCCAGATGCAGCGTAAGCATACCTGCATCTTTTCCTCTCTCCTTTCCGCTCTGGCCCTGCATCTGACTGCATCTGCATCCGCACCTGCCGACAGCTCTGGCCAGGCCCGGCACGTTTCCCTTGTTTCTGTGCGGCTGGTGCCTGTGGGAATGGGTGTGGAGCTTCAATACGACGATCAGCATATGAAAATCTTGATCGTTCAGCCACATAGCTGATATCATAATGCCATGGGACAGGCAGCGGGCTAGCTGCTTACTCCCTCCACCTCTCGTTTCCGCCTCCGCTTATCATTCCCTCTCTCGTGCTGTCGTCGTGCCTTCCTGAGCAAGGGCACGCAAACAGTCACTGGAAGAGCTTCTAGAAGTCTGCTGTTCATCATGAGCTTCAGAGGTGAGCGGAACGAATACAGAGAAAAAGACGTCCGAACAAACTTTCTGCACCCCTATATTTCCCCTCCACTCACCCACCATCCCTCATATAATGAGCAATTTACAGTAATAACTGTGACCCGGGTCTCGCTCTACGTTCACTCGTTCAGTGAGCGACCCCCACTGCGACCCCGAGAGCCGCTGCACGCAGATGCACCTTCGCGCGTGCTGCATCTGCATCTGCTCAGCCCGCAGAAAGGTCGACACACACACCACCTCACATCCTTACAATCTCAGATATGGACAAGCTCTACTCGCCAAACGCACGCACACCTTCCCAGACTCTCAGAAACGAACTGTCGAAAACCTCCGATACCCAACCAAGCACCCACCCGTGGCCCAACCCAAAACATCATTTACTTGTCCCAGACTTTCGCATCTTTTGAGCAAGCAGTCAGACCAATGCGAACCGCGCATTGCACCGGGGACCAGGTAAGAGGAAAATCGCGTCTAGCTGTCGAAAACATCTTAAAATTCATGGCCGAGAGGCCATGCCCATATCGCACACATACACACCATATAACCAGCCGCAATTAGACTGTGTGTGTGGTGCCGATTTCAAAGCCGCGGCTGCATGAACAGTGCAAAATTTTCATTCGCCGGACACAGGAAAAGCGAGGGAAAAGACCATAGCCAATGAAGGCCGTTTAAATGCCTTTCGAGTTCTGGTCATGTGAAGCGGTGAAAGGAGAGGCTATATGCGGAGTCTGATATACCCTACCCGATTAGGGAAGTATACGATATGACCCGATGAGGTAGTCCGTGGTGTTCCGATAATTCCCCGCCAAAACATGATTGAAGACGTGAATGTATAGAGCCCCAGTTTCCCTAGATGGATGAGCAGGTATGGAAATTGGGCCATCGGGAGAGAACTCGATACTTCTTTTGGGTTGCTTCTCCATATTGGGCGCCGTTCCCCGACAGTAGCGAGTTTATGCATTGGGTAATTAGAATGCGGAGGGCTCAATCGGGGAGTCGAGATAGGCTGGCTTAAGATGGAGCGCTTTTATCTGACAAGGCTAAGCTTATCGATTTCTTCGAGTATCGACATAATATACTGTGGAGAACGCCTTGTCCGTCCGCCGAACGACCGAGATATCTGCACCTGGGAACCCTCCCGTTGCTCACAGCCATTGCTGTGGTTTCAGCGCCCGGAAGAGTTCTCACACGATCCGTCGTATGTGTGTTCGTATTCCAGTGTGAACCAGATAGAGTGAGGTAGCAGTGGCTGGTGACGAGCTAGATGGAGTGAGAACTTCACTAGAATGAGGAAGCCATTTGGTTCTCGTCCGCGAACGTGCGATCGTGGACTGCCAGACTAGTATTGAGCCGGGTTTTCGCGATCAGAGTCCACTGTTGAGTGCTCGGTTCGGTGTGTCGCGTGTGAATTCTGCGTCATGCAGGCGGATACAGACGCCCGCAGATGCAAGAGATACGTGTATCTTAGTCAATGGATGTGTACCATTGTTTCCCAGGGACAGGCACCGAACCAGATCCTTTGTAATATTGCGGCATGCCTCCAGCTCATACCGCAGTCCAGCTTTCGGGACACAATGAAAGCGACGCCCCTGCTTGCCCTCGCATCAAAGCTGTAATATCAATATTATGTCCATGGAAATTTGCCTCCAGATTTGGGAGCCGAAGCAGGGGCGCAACAAATGCAATTAGTTACACGGCTAGGAGACTCCAACGTGTACGTTTACTGGTGGCGGCTGGGGTTAACAGTTGAGTGATCGACCGGAGATGATGCTGCCCGAGACTGAGGCATGTGCTGGTGATTTTTGGTTAGCATGGGCCATGGTACCACGGTGGAAGTGAGAGCGAGAAGGTGCTAATATCGGCGCGTAACATGTTGGCGGCTCGAAATTGGGAGTTGCGGAAGACACTCAGGGGAGATCTCGGAGAGCCAAGAGCAGCGCCCTGACGAAGTCATTGTGCGTCAAGCAAACAACCGGATGCGGAGTGCAGTAGTGAACTATGCAGCCTTTGGGTGTAAATCCTCTCCTTGAATGAATCATGGTGCGGAAGATGCCGCATACTGTCCCATGCTGTTGCTGAGGTCTCCACATTCTCTAGGAAGACACCTGGTCGAGGATTTGTGAGACACCGACCAGCTGCTCCCGCCACTTGTCGCCACGCAAATTTACTGCGCAGTCATTGCGGAGAAAGTCAGGGACCCTTGACCTTGCCACATATTAGAGGAGGCGACAGAGACCTAGTAATAGTGGTCCTCAGGAGACCAGGAGTGCTACCACTTCATTACGGATCAAATGAGGTTCTGGAGGCGACTAAGGCAAACTGGGCGGCTGAGTTTGATTGGGGCTGGTGTGCGCACTATTAGCGGGGAAGGAGAGTTGGAGCGCTCAGATGCGTTGCGGAGGTGATTGCGGAAAGCAATTGTTCATAGTCGCTTCTGTTCCCGTTAATAGAGAGACATACAACTGTACCTAATGACAGTGATGACCCTGCTTGTGGTTTAATATGATATAGGTGTATGGCATACTAAGTGGGCCTGATAAAGGGCACTGTCAGCGGCTGTGGTGGCGTCGCCGAACTCCGCTTTGGGAGGCAGGATTGAGGGGTGCCATAAGGGGACAACTTCTAGATTTCAGTTCAAGACCATCGTTGCGTTTAGGGCGATGGCCTTGAAGATACTTGGGGATTGCTCTCATTCCTGAATCTTACTTTTGCCTTCCAATTTCGGTCAATCGACAACCGTCGACCTCCTGGTGGAGGACTGATCTTGTTCGCACCAGAGGCAGGAAGCGGCGCGAGCGGGTTCGAATGACAATGGCCACCACCGAGCCCATAGTCAATGCCTCAAGTTCCTTGCGCAAAACAAGTGAGTCTTAGAGAAGGTAGGAATGATAGTTCACATTGCATTGAACGTCAGTGAGATTCTGGATGTCTCAGACGTTGTTATGGAGACTACTCACTAAGATCCTAGGCCGTTCTCGAAGCATCCTACCTCCATCAGCTGTTTGACCTTGATCGTCAAGGACCCACTATCGAATCTTCGAAGATGAATAGCATGACCATCGTTCGGTGTCTGCTTTACCCGTCGTTGCCTGGTGCTTGGGCTCGATGGGACCTGGAAATTGGAACAACAGGTGCGGTCAGAATTATCTTTTCGTCATGCGGACGTAGCGTCGCAGTACATGGCATTAACTGACGAGCATGAGCTGAGAGGACGGATATGGCAAGACCATGGAAACAACTACGAAGAGCCCGCAGGGTCGGAAGGAAAATACATTCGTTGTGAAGTGAAATGGTGATAAAACTCTACATTGCTTCGATCATGCTCCAGAGTAGGTGTACCCGGAGTGGCGAGAGTCCCGTTAATGCAGTCTTCGGAACTAGCATGACCCTCATCAGTCTTGGGAGTACTGAGATCGGAAAGCTTAGGCAGAACTTCATGCTTACTGCTCAGGCCACCGCAATCCACACCCATCAATGCCTCACGCTATGATCCCCTACATACTGGTAAGCAAGAACCATGCCCAAGGTATTAGGAAGATCAATCACCGCGACATTCAAGGGCTTTCCAGGTTGGTGGGTGGGTATGGGTAATGAATAGCATTGGGACCGAGGCCCTTCGCTGCCCAAGGCACCGTTCGACAATGAGGCCCAAGCATGGGAAGCTCAAGAGAGTCAAGTTGCAGGATAAATGAAGTTGAGGGACTAGATGGATTACAGGAACGTGCTTCTGTGGGGAGTTGGGCCGAACTTAAATGACATGCATGAATGGCGCTGGCAAGTATTTGATTTGTCCTCAAAGAGTACTGCGTAGCTCACTAATATACACTGCATTTGGCTCAGAGAAGGTTTCATGACAGTACGTGACACTGTGATCTATACGCTCTCTTCACAGTCCCGAGGTCTTCTTGAAGCTTTCGCATAGGAAGTCAGAAGAGCGGTCTCGAAACTATTGGTGAATGCTTGGGTTAGTGTGAGAAGATACTGACTAGTCGCTTGGACAGAACACTTAATGCATACATATGCGAAGGCAAGAGATGGGACGAGGTCGAATTTGGACACTAAGAACTGGGGTAAGAGAACTAGCGCGACACGGAAAAGCATATAGATCCGTCGGGTCTCTCTTGCCACTAGGGACGAATGGAACAGTGGCAAAATGACAATTGTGGTCATATTGAATGTTTCTGCAAGGGAATTTTCCGCCCAACAGAATCAAGCATGAAATACTATTACGATTGGGGAACGCATAAAGACGCATGCATGAAGAAAGCTAACAAGTGAAGAGACTCATTTGGGTACCATGATTGAGACGATGGCCTTGCGAGTAGCAGTTCTAGAATGGCGGTCCCGCTTGCTGGGTATTTTGACTGCCATTGGATTGTGAATGACCTTGATCGTAGCAGCAAGGAATATCTTTGGAGGAAAGGCCGGATGGGGTTCCTGGGATCGATCTGCATCGTAAGCGAGAAATCGGGTGGCTTTTGTGACGTGTTTCATCAGCGTTGGAGATGTCATTATGGAAAAGCTTGGCATCGACATCGTCGAGCTTAGGAACGATTTCAATGACATGACAGGCTACTTGAAGCTTTGAAAGTGAGGCACTGGAAGAGGCTTGATGCCGAATTGCACAAAGACGAGCTTTCATTTTCCCGGTACCGTATATCGTGGAAGCACAGTGAGAAGGAATTACCAGACCGTTGAACGAGTCTAACCGAAGGTTTCCTGCTCGAGTACTTCAAAAATTGGGACGGGGGACATCTCATCCAACCACTCAATGCCTTCGGGAAGCAGCCTAACATATGCTCAGTAAGTGAGTTCCTAAGAAATTTACGAAAGAGCTGACCCAAGGAAGCAGTTTTCGCACACTAATGAGAGCCTTGGAGAGCAGAGCTTACCAGACCGCGTATCCTCAGGCGTGGCTGAGGATTAGCTTAGGGACCAAGGTATATTGTCTATTAAATACTAGGACTCACACTGAAGGACAGGGCTTGCACTGTTACCACTGATGGCAGAGGTGAGGAAAAGTCGATGGAAATTAGGTATTGGTCGCAAAAAACGTATTCTGGTGGCCAAGAGTAGATTGATCGGCCAGCTTGTCCATCCTTCAAACAGGGAATGCCGTACCTGTTCTGCTAGCAAGATGCTGGGCTATTTAACGCAACGGCCCGGAGAATTGTTAGGCCGAAGCCCCAATCGATGCAATGAGGTTAATCTTTCTGCAATGAACCTGGGGCTTATGCCGTGCGATCTCCCTGACACATACCAATAACAAGGGGCAGAATGTTCGTTGTATAGGTGTTTGATAGACATGCTGGCACGTAGTTGTGTCACCATTTATGGAGTACAGGAATAGAGAGACTCGTGGGAACAGTCTCCGACCGCGGATTCCAGACGTGGATTTTCAGGATTGCCGTCGAGATGGTCCCGAAAACATACTCTGAAAATGCTCAGTGCTACGAGAAACACCATGGCTCATGCGATGGCCCTGGTTGTCGAGGAGCTGTCGACGCTAGCCAATGCCACGTTGACAGACTACGGCAAAGCCAAATTCGTTTTCGTGGAGATCGACATATCGGCTTCTGGAACAGTGATGTGATTGTTACAATTCAACTCCGATTCGTTATCGTTAAGGTTGAGTTATCGGCTTCTGGGACAACGACGGAATTCTCGGGTCCAATCCAGCCCTGCGAAACACGGGCCTTGTTCAATGCATGCCGTTACCTGAGCTGCAGCTGAGGCCGCTGAGGTTGGAGCATGCGGCAGGATTGGCTTGCCGTTTCAAGGATCTCCGATGGGATCTGGCAGACTGAGGCAAAGTGCATACCGGTGACCAGAAAGAGGAGATGGAGGTATCCGTGGCTCATCGGTTCGCGACCAAGCAGACAGCCTCAGGTGTGAACACTCGATGAGATGTTGACAAGAGCCCCGAGGCCTGAAGCACATGACCGAGATATAATGCGTGACCATCACCCTCAAGGTGCAGCAGTAGAAGGGGGGGGTCTCAATCTAAGTGGGCTTGCACTGCATGTCGTCGGATGTGGGAGGGCAAGAGACGATGGTGGGTTGGAAATAGAAAAAGCATGCAGCCGGATAGACCAGTGAGGAGCACCGGCTGGAGTGGGCCGATGGCATGGGGGGTGGCCTGCTAGTCTTCACGGAGCGAATGACGTTCGTCCAGTGAGCGGCAACTGCCCAGGGCCGAGCTGCTCATCCATCCAACATCTTGCGGCGGGCGTCAGTAGACACTCTGCGATACTCCTCACTGCTGCCCCAAGCCAGGCGTCGCAAGGGCAGTCCTGAACACACCCTCCGCTGCAGAGAGCCAGGGAAGGCGTAGTTGCGCAGCCATCGCTGCGGCGACTCCTCGACAGCGCTCTTCGCCCCCGGCAGTCTCCACCTGCAGCCCAGCCCTGGATTGCGCAAGCGACCGACCTGTTACTTTCGACACCTTGATCCCATCCATCATCGTTTGGCTGCGGGAGACAATCGAGATATATCAACGCTTCCTCTGCAATCGCCCGTGACGACACCTGCCCCTATCCCCTTGCCCTGCGGTCTCCCATCCGTCGTTCGGAGCGCAACCCGGTACAAGTGTTCGCTTGGCGCTTCCGAGCCTCGACTCCGACGACCTGACGCTCTGGCTACCTGCGTCGTCGTCCTGCGCGCACCTCGACTGAGCATCTGTAGCGCCAGTTACACACACATCGACATCACTCTACTCGCTCTACCCGCTCCTCTTTGCATGAAGCCACCTACTGCACTCCGCGTCTGATGGGGATGGCGGCTTAGCTACTTCAATCCGTCCCTGCACTGATAGGAGGCTGGTGAAGCTTCGTGGTTTGGCAATACCGAGGGCACTTTGCGAGGAGTGTCCTCTCGGCTGCTGCCAGTTCTGCGAACATGTTGGAATACCCGTCCGATCCATACGCTTTGCTTGAGTCTGCGTTCCAGCACACACCCAAGCTTAGGTCCCACAAGAACCTCCCCCGTCGACAGAACGACCTTCGGAGTATTTTCCCCGTGACGGAGCCTCTCCAGCTAGACACACTCAACGAGCATGCCGGAGCGCTTTCCCCAACCAGCAGCCACCATAAAACACCGCTCACTTCGCCAGGGCCTCTGAACGAGGCAGATACCGGACTCCCTCCGACTCCACCCTCAAACTCACAAGAAGAATACCCGCCAACAACCTTCAGCCCTCCGCCGCACGCAGATGGTGTTGTGTCGTCACTGATGTCCAAGAACTCATCTCTCAGCACGCCGATCAACCAGCGTAGTCCCCCGACGCCGGACCCAAGTCCACCACGAACCACTGAATTCATGACGCTGCCGGAGCGCCCGTCCATGGCTGCATACGCCTCTTCCAAAGCGGAGTCATTCACCACCGCCCGCGATGGACTAGAGTGGATGACACTACCTGAACGCCCAGTCATGGCGACGTATTCCTCTTCGAGAGCCGAGTCTTTCACCACCGCCTGTGAAGACCAATTGTCGTCTAACGGTGATAACAGCCGATCTAATACGCCTTTAGCAAAACGATTGAGCGCAGTCGAAGAAGATCGCGGACTTGGATTAGCCTTTGAGCGCGAAGACAGCGACGCCACCCCGACTAATAAGATTGAGATTGCCACTAGAGCTAATAATGGCACGGCATACGACCATGAGGAGCATGAGGACCGCGAGGACCACAAGGACCGCAAGGGCCTGGATGGAATTCCGAACCGCGAATGGGATACAAATCTCATGAGGAATGTCACCGTCCGCAAAAAACGAAACCCAAACCCTAACAAGCAGAGCCCTACTGCCATTGACCATACCGACCCGGCGATGGAATCATCTCCTCGACGAGCCTTTGGTCTCCGCGAACGTGTCGAGGCGAGCCAAGATAGCCCAATCACTCCATCCATGGAGAACTTTGCCCACTCAATTGGTTGGCCAACCGAGGTTAATACCATGCTAAACGAGCACCTCCGCGATGCTGACTCGAAGAGACTTTCCGGTTCATCAATCTCATCAACCGTAGTAGAGGCTATGGTGATTGTAACCCCTCCGCAGCGCCAGCGAACTCTTCGTCATTCGGGAAAGAACCTCGCCTATACAGGAGACGGGAATCGCTCGACGGTCTCTAGCTCAACTACCCGTTCAAACCGAAACTCACTCAATTCGGATGGCTCTCCGCTCCATCGCCTGGCTCACAAGAGAGCAAGCATTTCTGAGCGGAGAATGAGCGGAGAATCCGACGCGCTTTCTTCCTATCGGAATGTATCCCCACTCTCCATTCGCAAGCGAGGACAAGAAAGTGCAGCATACACTCTCGCTCACCAAGAGTCCGTGAAGAGAGTTTTGCAACCTGCTGCGGAGATCATGAGCCGGTCAAACTCTGTGTCACGTCCATCAGCATCTAAGACCATTTCTCACAAACGGATCGCATCTGCTCCAGGGCGTCCATATGAGTTTGGTGGACCTTCTCTTATTGACCAGCAGACAAGCAAGGAAAACTACTTGCCAGGAGGATCGCTAAGACCTTACGGAGTATCCCATTATTCTCGTGGGCAAAGCGCTTTGAATAATCGTGTCGTTTCTGCGCCGAAGCCAGCAACGTCTTCCATGGAAACTCATACCCCAGAGGGAGTGCGAAGCCTTTCCCAAGCCTCATCTTACCTTCTTGAAGACACAACCCGCGCAGCACCCCCGCCATCACCCAAATTATCAAGATCCCTTTTATCAGGATTCTCTAGCTACCTCTCTAGCAACAGGGTTTATACCGCATCGCCGAAAGTACAGACAAGAAGCGGATTGTCCAAAGAATGGAAGAATTCACTCGATATCAACAAGTCGTTGCCTGATCTTCCAACTCAGTCTTCAGCTTGTCTATCGATTCAGTCTGTGGGTGAGCTGTCTCCAGAAGAAATCAAGTCGAAGGGAGCAGATACTGAGAGGGCGACGAAGGGAGAAGAAATGGATGTTGAGAAGCCTGAGGGTATCGAGATCCAGCCCCCAATTGCTTCGATTGTGCTAAAAGACCAGCATAATCAGGAAGAGCTTGATCTGCATAAAGATGGAGTAGTATCTGAGCCTCTTCGAGAGGAGAAGGAGATGTCTGGGGAAATTCAGTCGCCTGTTAGGGATATGATTGTTCATGAACCTCCGCAAGAGGAAAAGAACCTGTCTGGGGAGGGTCTAGCGGATGCCAGTCACGGGATGGTACATGAATTTACACAGGAAATGAAGGTGTCTGGAGAGAGTCTTTCAACTGTGAAGCGAGCGTCAATTTCGATCTGTGTGCATTCTGACGAGAAGCGACGGAGCTCCATCAGCCAAGATGATACGCTCAATCACTCTCATCAAGACCGCATACTAACCGAAGAATTGCCCCGTCATAGTTATGAATGGAGCTCTCTTCATCCTGATGACCACCAACGGATTAGTTTTGATAGGTCGACGACACGAACAGAGGAACATGCCATGGCCAGGCATCTGTATAGCCAGGGTACGCCCTTTTCCCAATTCTCAGACACTCCAGAACTCGAGGTTAGTGAAGCGACGGCGGTTAGTATCTATCCTCACAACAATCACTCTCTACTTGTCGTTCAACAAGTTGCCCGATCGAACTCGTTATCTCAGAGCCAGAGACAAGTCACAAACGAACCCTACGTTCCCTCTTCAGACCTGGCGTCTTCGGACATTCCCTCTTCCCCACCGGTGTCGAATGCACAATTCGAGAAACTCACACCACCGCCACAACCAACTGTGACAGTGGAGCCATCTACACCCCCGATGCAGATATTCCTTCCTGTTCCTGGAGCCGTAGACTCACCACTCCGAAACCCTCGCCCAGCCCCCGAACCCCCAATCATCCAATTCATCCCTCCAACCCCCGCCGAAGAACTTGAACGCCAACTCCCTCCGCCCAGTCTTCCAGGTCCACCCCAACGCTCCGACTCGCATCCCCAACGCCGTCTCTCGCTCGTTCAGCGCGCACGCCGCTATTCCGACAACCTGATATCGCCCCTCCTAGCACGCGCATCTAGCACACGGGGCCGCCACATTAGCCCTAGCACTTCCCACTCCCACGAAAATCCGCGTGTCCCGACTGTGAATGATGAGGATGGCAGTCTCCACCCTTTCTGGCGGCCCCGAGGATTCTGGGAGGGGTTTGAGGATAGCGATTCAGAGGATGAGGATGATGTGTTGCCGGCGGGCGGCGACACGAGTGATGTCCCTGAGCAGGATGAGGAGATTGAGCGGGAGCGGCCGAGGACGGGGATTAGTACGCTGGGGAGGAGGCTAACAAATAGTTTTCGGGGGTCGAGTAGCTTTGCAACCGGTACTGGCACTGGCACGGGCACTGGCACAGGCATCGGCACTGGCACTGCCGTCGAGCGGGCTAGATGGGAACGCAGGGGTAGGAGGGAGGAATGGAGGGTTGGGAAGAAAATTGGAAGGATGCAGATCCAGTATATTGGTCTCAGTGGTGTTAAGCAACGAATCAGAGAGCGGAAGGCGGAGAAGAGGAGACAACAGATTAGGAAGAGCATTGGCACTAGATATTATGTTGAGGGTGCAGTGGTTTAGTAGTTTTCTTCTCCTTTTTCTTTTTTTCTATTTACTGCTAGCTGGACGGTAGTTGCTAGGTGTTTTGAATACCTGAGAGCAAGGCCGTTATTTCATCGCGTTGCTGGATAGCTGGCGGGATTGTGGTGGAATGAATTGATGAGTTACGGCTGGTAATGTATCTAGTGTATTATAGATAAATGGATGCGTGATTGGGTGAATGCAGCGTTTCTTGACTACTAGGTGTTGTGTTGTAATGTTGAGGTAGCAGTAGATGAGAGAAGATTTGATAGGATATCCTCCATGTTTGTGCAATAGCTTCAGAAAGACAATGGGATTGTTGAACACTTGCTGGTTCTAGGGAGAGGGACGGAGAGATTGTTCCTGGGTTTCGATAGCATCTTTGAATCGTTTCACAAAGGCATGTCATATTTCTCGCGCTTGCTCACCTTCGTTCCTGTGGACTTTCGAGCCCACGTGCTTCGGGCCACCAGAATTACAAAAGTAAAACTCTGATGGTAGAGATTGGTTGTGAGTAGCGACATTTACTTCTATACTTGGTCTTCGGCATCAGTGGCTTGCGTATCAGACTGCGAGGTTCGAGTAAGGACGAATACCTGGATGGATGAAGATGAAATACTTCGGCAATTTTACGACCTGGAAAAATTCGAGACAATGGACTTCCTCACGAAAGCTAGGGTTAAGACCGAGGAAAGCAAGGTCGACGATGCGACGAGCATCATGTGAAGAACGGGCGATGCTGACTGAGCGCGCTCCACGTGGCAATCTAGGATCGTTTCCAGACAATCCGAGTTTTCCTTCAGCAGGTCCAAACTTTCAGTGGCATTCTTCCGCCCCGGTGCAAGGCGACGATGACTTCAGCTCATTTCTACACTGCTCGTTCTCGTTATGCTTTGCATCCTTCGTTTTCTTTCCCGATGGAACCTCCAGCGGAGACGACCTCAATGCAGAACTATTCGTGAGATCCGTCATCCAGCTGAATCTGCATAGCTCACCGCTCCCACCTAGTGAGGTTGAAGAACTTCAGCAGAAGCTCATCGATTTGAGTGAATTCTCTCGTCGTGGGACACAATCCACCAATAACAGGACTCAATCTGTGGGTAGATGTATCACGTAAGCAGCCTCAAGGTGAGAGCGACATCGCTAAACGAAACATACCCAGCACCACCGTCCTCTCCTTCAATTTCAGCTCCTCTCGCCACGATCACGAGCCTTAATTCCTCGGGTTCATGAAAACACAGACGTCCATCATCCGCGGTTAATGAAGGAGTAAAAGTGAAGAGAGTGCATCACAATCCATATGCACCGCCAAGAGTTGCGCACCATTCACTCTCTACCCCGCAAATGGTTAGCGGAGCCGACCCTCAACTTAATATGGCTAGATCATAACGCGATAAGGCTGCAGTGGTGGCATAGTTTCTTGGCAGTTCTTGGCGGGAAGAGGAATCGAGTTTTGGGATGGAGGATTAAATTGGAATGCCTACTTCAGTCGTTCTTATCTTCGCAGGCCCACTTCATTGCTCTTCCCTCCGTGAAGTTCAAGAGTTTAGGTTGTTGAAACATTGAGAAGGGGAGGAGAGTGACTTTGCAAAGCGCACGTCATTGTGCCCACTCTGTAACACCTGGCGTGGGGCAGAGACATGGATGTCTTGTCTGATTTGCGGCGAATCTCCATGTGGACACTCGCCAGGACCGCTGGGCCGCGGTTGGGCGTCGTGATGGCGCGCTGGCACCAGCTCCTCCGACCCTTTCTCCATATTTTTAGGCTTCTTAGTCACGCTGCGAGGATTCTTGAAACAGAGAGGGAATACGTTGCACGACGATATTCGTTGTTTCGTAGGGCAAGGGCAGATATTGGAGAGGGCGGTGCTGTTTTTATTGAATGTTTGGGGCTTGGAGCGAAGAGGAGTACACCAAAGAGGGAGCAGGTATGACGAGGACGGGTGTTGCTGGATTCACAAGCTAGGGAAGTGGAGTGGCCAACGCAGCCGCATTTGCTGTGAGGATGGGGTTTGGGAGTCCAAACGCCGTGTTTCTCAACCACCAGGGAAGGTTTTTGCGATCTGGCTCGTTGCAAGACAGCTGCCATCCTTTCCTGGAGGTGCATTCTAGAATATCACCGCCTCGATAAGCGCTTCCGTTCCCTTGAGGAGTGCCCAAAGCAGTCTAGTCGGCTGCAATATCCACGACGCTCAGCCCACATCGGAGGGAGGGGACATTGCATCTCCAGGGTACGGTAGCAACGCCGAAGAAGGTCGGCTTTTCGATAACGGCTGGCCGCAATCAGGTCGTCCCCTTGCAGTGTCTGCCCTCCTCCTGCACGCCCGCTTCTGCCTACATCCACATCCACGCATCCACATATCCACACGTCTCCCGCAGTCGTCTTTTCAGGGACACGGCGAATGAAGCAGCACATGAAACCCGCATGAATGCGCGAGCGACCCTGTTTGAGAAGTCGCTCGCCCGCTACAGCACCTCACTTCCGCCTCCGCGCCCGACCAATCGAGCCAGGGACAGTGCAACCACCGCCTCGACGTCGCGTGCCTGGTTGCCCTCTACACTCCACGCCGAACATACGCCCAACCTGCGCTGCGCTGCGAATAAAAACACCTGCGAGCACCCCGCGCACCGAATCGTCGTTGTGCAGCACGACTGAGGGGTTGGCCTGGGCACAATGGTAGAAGACAGCGCGGCGCTCGGCCGCCAACACGACAATAAGTTCCTCTCCAAGCACCGCTGGCGGGCGAAGATCTTCTCCAATGACGAGATGCTGGCCAAGGACACGAAGCAGAAGCTGAAGCTAGGCGAGAAGTCGAAGCTGGATGACGACGTCAACGACTTCCTCAGGCCGTCCACCGACAAGGCCCACGCACAGAAAGAAGCCGCCGCCGCCGCCTTCCTCGCCGGCACAAACAAACCGCGGATCGATGTCGCCAAAGCACAGCGCTGGCCCGGCGCGAGCGACTTAGCGGGAAAGAGCCCCGGCGTGGGAGGACTGCGCACGAGCAAACAGCCGCGGCGTCAGGGCTTGATGGTGAGCTTTGCCAGGACACAGCCCGAGTTCATTGGCGAAGGCGGCGATGAGTGCGAGGAGGCTGTCATTGAGGTCGCTAAGAGGAGGAAGACGAACAGCATGTCGAGTCTAGAGAAGCTGCAGGCGCAGACTCACCACGACGACAGCAACCTGGGTATGCGGAGCCCCAAGCTCAATGGCAACAGCAGTGGCAGCTCCGAAGCAGCGCGGAGGAACATCGTGAAGAGGTCGCTGACGTCTCACGGGGAGCTGTCCCCCCCCCTCAAACACAAGCTGGACATGGGGAATATCACCACTCATGCGAGTCCAGCACCCCCACCCCCGCAGAGGCTGGGTGCGATGGGCTTGGGGGAGAGGCCGAAGCAACTGCAGCGAGCGCCGACAGGCTTCGATGCTGTCGACGATGGAGTGTCCCGACCGAGCTTGGATTCTACTTATTCGTACGATTCGGAGATGGCCTCACCTGTTATCTCGATGAAAGCACCTAATCTGGCTCCAACCGCTGAAGAGGAGGAAGAATTCGTTCCCAAACCGCTCAAGCGAATGCAAACGGGGTGGCAAGACCAACAAGCTGACTCAATCGCCGGCTCTGTACCGCGCCTACCAGAAATGAATCTGAAGGACGATGACTCGCCTTTAGAGTCAAGTCTAAACAAGCACTTCTTGGAGAGTGAGCCAACAGATCCAAACTCGTTTTCAGCGAGAGTCATGCATAAGATGCGAGCAGAAGAGGGGAGAGCACTACATGAGGCCATGAAGCAGGCCACAGAAGGGTCGAAGCGCGATTCGGATTCTAGCTCGAATTCGGTTCAGCCCAACTCCTTCCAAGTCGGAACCCCACCTTCATCATACAATGTTGCTTCAGCATCATCGTACGGACAGACACCGCCGAGAATACCCTCACGCGATCCTCCCAACGGACCGCAAACTTTAGATGCCGAAGATCCCCATCGATCACATGCTCGTCGACCATCACCGGCTCGAAGACCTATGCCTCCTGGAGCGTTTCCACTGGATACCGATCCCCGACCACCATCCTCCTCCTCATCTCAATATAATTCAGCGGTATCCCGATCTCGTGGTTCACCTACTAGACCTACAGATCCCTACTCGGCTACCTCAATTCAGCAAACACCTTCTACTATGGAAAAGATCCCATTTTCGGCATCGTCGAACAGCCAGAGCTCAATCCTACCGACACCACCTCAGTTTGAGAAGGGTCCCTACTTCAGCCCCGAGCCACCAGCAGAGAAGCCTCCACCTCCTCCTCCGCATGCCCAAGATCCAGGAATGCAAGTTGCTACTCCATACAAGCAAGATGCTGGAATTCAAGTTGCACCTCACCACAGGCAGGATGCAGGAATGCAGGTAGCGCCACATCACAGGCAAGATCCTGGGATGCAGGTCGTGGCTTCTCTTGAGCGCTCAGACACGAGATCACAAGGGGAAGTTGCCTTCGGAGATTTTGCGGAGCGTGTGACGCATATGCAGGGCATTTTTGGATTAACTGCACAACTGGGTGGGCAACTGTATGATCACACACCAATGCAATGGATAAGAGTTGCCATTTGGTGGTTTCTAAGGGGTCGTGCTGGTATGGAGAGTTTGATCAGGAGCAGGCCGAAGACTGGAGACACTCAACCGGAACGCCTCACCCAACCACACGTCGACCTAGCCAAAGTGTGGTGGATTCTCACCCAAATCATTTCCAATCATCCAGCATTGCGAAGATATAGTGGAAGAATGGATGCTGGGGCAAGGCTGGCCCGAGAGGCTGGTGACGTGGCTACGGCAGAGGTTTACGAGGCCCACGATGCAGTACTGTCGTCCTTGAAGATGCTATTAGCATCGATGAAGAGGCATCAGGTTATGCCACCCACACAAGCGCTTATTCAGGGTCAGGACCAGTCGATCTGGATCCAGTATCCAAACTTTGCACCAGATGTGCGTGCTGTGCTCGACGGAAGCGCCTCGAACAGTATCAAGGCCAACGGATCTGGATCGGCCTCAGTAAATCCGACTTTCTATATCCCGCTCGGGGATACCAAATCCGACTTTTGCTACTTCCGCATGTTTGTCAATGCAAAACTGCATACCGACAACAAGGCAGAACCGGAGTCGATGTCCGCGGTCATATCTGTGCTTCGAAGTCGGGATGACTTCAAGGTCAAGCTTGCAATTTGCAGTCTCACAGACCTCATCAATGTCCTGATACAGTCGAACAAAGATTTGGGACCAACTTGGAGCAATATCGCATGGAATTCGAAGAAGCGAGCAATGTCGATCAGCCTTCGACATGGATTCACTCTCGACCTTGAATTCACCGAGGCGGACTTTCGCAGCTTATGGGCAATCGTGGATCACACGAATCGAGTCGAAAGCAGACTTCGGGAACGCGAAGACGAGCGGCTAGTGTACAAACTCACTGCTCGAGGCATCCAATATAAGGATCCGACAAATCCAGGGGCGTTCCCACCTGAGCACGTCAAGGCCTGCAAGGTCCTAGTCTTTGAGAAGTTTGAGCGAAGTGATCAAGGCACGGGGAGGAGGCGATTGCATCGTGGCTATCGATTAGTCCTTGTCACCAACGTCAAGAATCGAACACTTAGCTGCGTCAACCATGAATTGGGGACTAATCAAGAACCGATCAACTTCGAATACTACACCGAAAAAACCGATAATGCGCCCGGTATGATACTCCGCCTCAAAGAGGAAACCTCGGACAAGAAGACTAAGGTGTGTACGATGATGATGGTCTTCAACGACAGCAAGGAACGTAATCATCTCTTCGGCACTCTTACCTCAATGAATCAGCATTCGAACGAAGATGTCTGTGCCCAGGTGCCACTCAAGGCGTTCAATATCGAAAGTGCAGATCCGGCGGAGGGATTCAGCAATAGCGGGAAGGATGTACTCAAGAGGTTGCAGTGGCAGGAAGTCAAAGCGTTAAATAAAAACGCCGAGAAGGCTGGGCTAGAAAGCGCACCAATTGTCATGAGTGAAAGTCTGAGGCTCGTGTGTAAGCATGGCGCAGGTAGTGTGACGGACCGGATGAATCTGGGTGAGTTCTACATTCTCGACACCCCTCTATGCATGTTGGGTATTTTACTTGGTGTATGCTGACGTTCGTAGGTCCTGGTGAACTTCTCGTCCGTCTTCCAATCAATGGTGCAGCAGAACTCGTATTCCTCCGCAATCCCCAACAAGATATTGCGGTTGCTATTGATGCCAGGCGTACCGAGAAAGACATTCCAGATGCGCTAACCGAACTTCTCCGAACACTAACTGGAGCCTCCACGCTGAGGACTCTGACTTTTCATTCCTTTAAGGATTTGCATGCTTTCCAGCTAGCCGTGACGGGATTTTCTGTCAAGTTTGACGGTATCGCCTCAACATTCTCCATTTCCCGCCGCCGCATGGTCGTCCCCATCTATAAACAATGGACCGCCTCAAATATTCGTATCCAAATCGTTACACAAGACAACATCATCCAACTTCTCGCCTTCTTCGAGGACTTCTCGCACGCCGACGCCATGAATTTCCAGCTCAAAACCATGGACGTGTTCGAGAAAACGGATAAAGGTGGTAAACCCGGCATTCGCCTCGTCGACGCCAAGTTCGCTTTGCCGGTTGAGGAGCGCAGAGGTGAGGGTAAGATGGGTAAGGAGGAGGGGAGAGTTAGCGGCTGGGCAGGAATGAAGAGGAAATTTGTTTGTCTGGATGTTATAGAGTATCCCGGAGAGCATGACGATATTCTGATCCAGTTTGAGAGTGCGGATAGTAAGTATTCCCGGCATTTGGAGGGCCATAGACTGACGAAAGCACAGCACGCGATAAGTTTGCCGACGCGTTACCTTCCGCAACGGTTGAGCGCAAGTTCACCATCAAGAGGAAGATCTAGGGCAACCTCTACATCTCGCACCTTCACGAAAGATCGTCGCCATGCACACCATACCCAAGGCTTCATCCAGAACCTTACAGGCATCATGTCCGACTCCTTTTACGTACAACTACGAGTGGTATATCTTCTTCCAAAAGCACTGTAGTGTTGTCATACATATCGAAAGATATTTATACAACTTTTCCTGTCTCCTTTCCTTTTGCAAATTTGTCTGCCTACCACAGCCTTCGGGTGTCTGGTTTCTGGTGCGAGGCTCGGCGCCGGCCTCTTAGCATAGCATTATATATCCGAGGCGTCTGCTTTCTGCTCGATTTCACTTCTTTTCTATTGTCTTTTTCCTTTGTTGCATTGAATCCATCCCTAGTGGATGGAAGTTTTCGTTGGATTGGATTGGATTGGATTGGACTTAGGTGAGGGTGACCAGGATTCAGATGTTGGATATGGATTCGTGGGCGTTGAGGCGCTTAGGAAATCTCCTTGCACGGCTGGGACTGCTCTTTGGGGCTTGCGATTTTGGATGAGGGTACAGATTGTTTGCTTGCATGCGAAATGGGGAGATTGGATGTTTGCGTGCTAGATGGAAGGATGGCAGGATCGGTATGACGTCGGATCTGATAGTTGGATGGGGGTTCGGATGGAATCTGGGCCGAGGATTGCTCCGTAGTCTAAATCATGATATGATTAGGCCCAAACTTGTGATATTGCTGTTCGTTTGTGCTTGTTTCCATATCACACCCTCGATCACGCCTTCGACCACAATCTCCACTTTCACCATCGCAACGTGATGATGCTCTGTACCACAACGTCTCTTTTGCTATCCGCAGCACCCAGCTCACGCAGACATTCCAGATTGCAAATTGCTTTTTATTATACACACCACTCAGGCATTTTTTAGATCCACCTCCCTTTTTCGGGAAATTTAGACTCTCTAACCCACGTCACCCATTCGCTCGACCACTCGTTCGACCACTCACTTAACTACTCACAAATCCGCGCATACCCACCCTGAATGTAGCATTCTCAGCTTTGCGCATGTGAAGTCTGCTTAGTCCCATCTTCTTCTCCTCGTCGCTTGGCTTTGCCCGTACTGAAATCCGCATCCTTCCTTCCCTATCCTCTTTCGTTAGTGATGATCTTAGAAACGTTACCCCGGAGGTAAATTTTGCCCTTTCTCTCCGTTCCTCTCCGAGGCCTAGCATATGAAAAAGGCTCTCTTAGCGAAAATAGACAATAAGGTAAGTCTGCACATTAATGCGAAGCTGACTCTCTGTATCCAAAATATTACGGCGGGGCAAACACAAACAATACCTTCACATCTTTGAAGACGTCGATTTCTAGTTAAATCTTTGGCCAAAGAGAGGTGCTAGGTAGAGCAGAACTCGCAGACCGGCTATTTGTCTGGAAATCTGTGTACCGGAGGACTGCCTCAGAGTCGGATTGAGTTTTGGGCCTCTTGTTAACTACTGGAATAAGATGAACATGTGGGAGCTTTGACGGGAAAACGGGCGACGAAAACAAGGTTGGTCACGAATTGAAGGCATAAGGAAAGTTTAGTGGTGGCTGTTGAATGGGCTCTGACAACTAGCTGCTTATGGTATGAGCACTTAAGTAGCAAGAGTAAGAGTGGTGTACGGTGTGCACAGCGTACGAGGTAGGTAAGGTGAGGGCAACATGTTTCTGGTTCTATTGCTCTTGTCTTTCCTCCGTACGGAGGAAAAGGGGGATATCTAGATGTTCGCGCACGGAGGTTCGCGCACGAGCATCATGTGACATAGATACGTGGTCCTGCTCGTGCGCGATCGCTCGTATCCAGGCCGTGACGCTGCTGCTGCGTACGGACAGTGGCTGAGTTTTGTGGTTGTGGCTGACGTTCTAGCTGCAGCCTTCAATTATTACCTATTTCAACACACATCCATATCCGACCCAGCTTCTATACTCTACCCTGAATTCAACCTCGACCGTATAAAGCAGGCATGGCCGCTACCGAAGCGGGAGAATACGCGGTAACGTTCGACTCTCCGAATGCATCGAAGCATATAAATTGGCTAAGCTATTCGACTTTTCACCTCCTCCAATTCCAGACATATCATCAGGTATCTCTTGCTTTTAGTAGACCCATCACGTGCATTACACTTTATTTTGTGAGTTGTAAGCTGTAACGGCCGTCTGTGATGAGAGAGTACCAAGTACTTGATCTGTCGTATTTTTGACTTTGAGACAAAAACTTCAGGTCGGCATCTGTGGTGTATATCCAGCGCTAGCTGGCGAGAGTGGCTGGCCTGCTCTAGCTATACCCTTGTAAGCTTAAACTTTGATAGGGAAATACCCTCTTGAACCGTAGCAAATCACATGCCTAAAGTAGTGGCGCTTTACTAGATATAGAAGGTGAGGTGCCAAGACTTTCTTTACTGCCACACTCGAGGGGAATCCTTTCACTAGCGACTAGAGGCCCTGGGTTGTTTCGTTTTGGATTGATTCATTCAAGCATTGAGGAAGTATGAGCGCGCGAATCAGGTAGCTGGCAAGAGAGAACTAAAACACGAAACCTAACTTGCGCGAAGATGGAAATATTTACATGGAGCAGCAGGTCACGAGCGACAGTAAAATCCACAGACACAAAGTCCTACAAGACATTAGAAATTTGCGTTTATTTACCTTCCCTTCATGATCACAATGCAACCCGAATATACCCAGAATTTTAGTCTGCTCTTCTCTCCCTCGTTCTAGTTATGTCCATTTCCACCCTTCTTAGATTTAAAACACGGCAACCACCGATCCAGCGCATCCGTAAAGTACTTCCGGCTCACACTGCCGCCCGCAAATGTCGTTCTGAAATCATAGCAATGCTGCGCGCCCTTCATCACATACCCAAAGATCTCATCCTCATCCTGTTCCTCGCCACACTTGGGCGGGTTTTGGAACGTCTTTGGATGCGGAGCGAATGACTCTGCAGAGAGTGGGGAGAGCGTTCGCCAGGGGTCGAATTCGCCGCCAGACCAGTATACTTGGGACGGGCGGATGTCCCACCCGCCGAAGACGTCGTTGGTGCGGTCGACACTAGGCCAGGTGGGGAGGAGAGGTGGTTTGGCTGTTGGGAATTGTCGGTGGCAGATGTCTTTTTGGTGCTCGAGAGAATTGTATTTGGAGACGAGTTGATGGGCGCCAACGTTAGCGGATTGGAGGAAGCCTGTGAGTTGTGTGTGTCAGCGGAAGATCACTAGGTTCAGAGACACTTGTGTAAGAAAAACAAGGTGCGTAGAACAATCATATAGCAACGAGAATGCCAATGATTGAACTATGCGGGCTTGAACGCAGCAGAGCCAAAGAACGTCTTGTAAAGTGAAACACTAGGCTAGATATGAGCCTTCCGGAAATAGAAGGTACCTTGGAGAGCACCGCGGAAAAGACGAAGATATATCTCACTATGCTGTGTGGTGAACTGTTGACACATCTTGTCTGCGACTGGCTGGGTTGAAGAATTAAGATTTACACATACCCCATTGAGTACAGTACTGCCAGGTCCAGCTGATCATTGCTGGATCATCAAACCGCAAGTCCAGATTGCAGTCACCCTTTTTCTGCAGGGTTCCTGAGCAGTTCGTTGTCAAATAGCCATTGACCATAGTCGTAAATCTTGGGTACGCGGCCCACCGATTGACGGTGTAGTTTGCGCCCTTTATCGCCGCCCAGCCATCAGCACCAGACGTCTTGTTCGACAGAGGGTCTGTTGAAAGGAAATCGCAGAAAGAGCGAAGTCCGAGAGCCCCACCTTCTACACCGTATGATTGCCAGAGGTAGAAGGGCGTTGTCAGCGCATCTGCAAAGGTTGGGTTGCTGTTGTTGCCAGCGCCTAGTCCGAGGAAACGTTCCTTTAAGTTTGCTGCTGCTGTGGGATTCTCCATGACCTTGTCCATGTATTGGATAGCTGCTTTGATATCCTTGGTACAGTTGCCCCACCCATATTCGGTCATGCCTCGCCAGACAGGCTCAAAGTACACTGACATGTCATTCTGAGCCTGTACCGGTGCCGATGAAGCATAACTAGCGAATATGGTATCAGGATACTTATCTCGCATAAAGGCCGCTCGCATGGCGGGGTATGAGCCTCCGACAAAGATCCATGGGGTCTTGTCAGGCGTCAAGTTGTATTTAATGTTCTTCCTCTTGAATTGCTTGGCGAATCGGTCAACATCAGCCAACGACTGCTCCGTGGTGAGCCATTGGAAGACCTCTGGTGGGGTATTTAGATCAATGGGCTCTGGGGTCGAATTGCCGTCTGACACGGAGAATTAGTATGGTCTCATCTCAATATCTTACCCACAACATACAGTACCGATGTTCCCAGACTATGCCAATTCCATTGTACTTGTCCACGATCTGCTTAAAGAAGCTTGTCGTATTCTGGAGTCTAAATAACGCATTGGGCTCCGCATCCGCCTCACCCACGTCATAAATGAACACAGGCCCGCCGGGCTTGTATGCAGACTCAGCGACCCAAAACCGGTTATTGAACGTTCCTTGGTAGCTGTAGTCCTTGTTCTTGGCGAAGTTATCCAGAGGTAACTCGACATATTCCGGCTCAATTTTTTCAGGTGTCCCATTTGTCGCAGGAGGGGGACGTGAGGATGCGATTTGCATTGCTGCCTTAATGTCGGACGGTAAATGCATGGGCGTGCCATCGGGTAAAAGGCCCATATCTGCCATCAAGCTGAACTTCCGGCTTCGCGCTCCACCCAGAGCTTCCGCAAGTTGGAGGAGCGCGAGCGACATCGCGCAGACTGAGATTGATGCACGCATGGTGGGGATTGAAGAGACGCCTCAATTGAAGAGGAAGAAGCTTGAAAGAAACTCGTTCAACCTGCACCAGAGGAATCCCACAACGCACGCGACCCACGCCTCTCTGGAAGCTCACGAAAAGAAGGGAGAGAGGGAGGGACAAAGATGCAGGGCATGGCGGATTTGAACCTACCTCATATATACTTCTGCAGCGTACAGCACCTGCCCAGGAAGCTTCTTCCTTGAGAGTGGGCATGCATGCGAGCGATCAATTTGTGCCATTTTAGATTAGGTCCAGTCAAAAAGCCAGAAAGCTCGCATCTCTTCTTCACGGTCCCTGGAAACTAACGATCCAGCAGGAAGGTGTTACACTAGCCCACTTCCCAGTGTGGGACCTACGTGCGAGCTTCTGCTTGACATGATAGGAAGGCGGTGCTTGCTATCGCGGAGCAAAGCTCCCCTGATGTTCCTGCCAAGATGTCCGGGTGCTTCCCAGTAAGCCTGCCTATTCTAGTCTAGAACGCCTAGCCTTAATTTAAGTGCATGAGGCTGATCCAACACCTTCTGATGGATAGATTGACATGACCACCTGGCTCGTATCCAGTGCCTAAAACTATGGGGGAAAAGCAAAGGTGTCGTGGCGATATTTGCTGGAAAGGCAAGGGCGTGTGGTTGTTGCTCAATTGCTTCATATTAAGCCCTATGACAAGGACAAGATAGAGAAATCATAAAAACTCGATGCTGTCCCACGTGCACAGTGTGCAACCTTCAAACCAGGTGTTGGAAGCACAAGTACCTCCTCAGGTTTTGACACGTGCACCTCAAGAGCACACAGGTTGAACTTTTCATCATCTTCCGGTACAGGACAGGTGTCATCTCGCTAACCACGGCAGGAAAGAAAGAGCTTCCGAGCTCGTCCTACCTGCGTCTAATCCCATTCCCACCGTTCCAAGGTCTGCTCCAAACATAGTATCGTACATAGATAGAGACACTAGGGAAAAAGGAATTGAGCCTCATTGATATCCCATATTACCTTAGTTCGCTTGCGACGCCGAATTCCCAAGAACCCAGATCCACATCCAACGCTATCCAAAAACCGTACCAAATCCTCCCACACCCGTTAAATTCATATCAAACAGGCCTAGCATCTACAAAGAGTGCTTATTGCTGGCCTACGTGTCCATTAGAGCCCGGTCCCATTCCAAAAACGATTCCCGGCCACTGGAAATTAGAAGGCCCTAGACCATGCACTGCCGATCCATCACCGGTTCCAGGTCCATCTTGTCCTGGACCCTGGGCGCTGCCCTCGCGACCGCCCAGAGCCATCAAGGTGTTTGCTGTATTTAGGTATTCCCCAGATGGTCCAAGCTGGTGCATGAACGTTCGAGTCCATTGTCGCCAATCATTAGGGCTACCTTGATTGGCTGGGTAAGGTGGTTGCTGACCATTATTAGCAACCTGAGCGTTGGCGTTCGCATAGATGAAGTTGTCATTTGGGCGTTGTGATGGTGCACCTGATGCTGCCGCTGCCAATGCCGCTGCATGAGACGGTGTCATGCCTGGGTCATCCCCGCTACTGTAAGGTTGCTGGCTGAAAGCAGCAGTTGACTGTTGGTAAGGCGGGACAGAGACTGTGGTTGCACTGCTGTAGGAAAACGAAGCCCCGGGAGGCACCGTGGCGTAGGGGCCTGATGATACTGAAAGCCCAGGATCTGTTGAACCACTGGCGGCACCAGAATATTGTTCATGAAAGTTGTTTCCGTTGCCATACACAGAGGTCGGGGGTGATGTTTCTTGCGGGCCCTGAAGATCAACTCGTGCAAGTGACTCTGTTGCAGTCCGCTTGACAATGCTATCATTGATACCGTTCAGCAATTGGTCGACGATTTTGTGTATCGCTTTCTTCAGTTTGTCACCGGACCCTGTACACTAATTAGCTCTACTGTATAAGGAAGCATAGTTGGGGTAGGGATACCTAGAAGAGCGCCAGCTTCGCCCATGATTTCTATCCACAAAGCCATATCGCCCTTCAGCTTTGTCATCTCCACTAACTTCATTCGGTCTTTGCGCTGGATGTAGATGAATAAAGTCGTAAAGATCGCTGCAATATAAACGACCGAGTTAATCCATGGAATGTCCATACTCCTCATCTTACGCATCTCATTACAGTTGTAGAGCATCTTCTGAGAGGCTGCAAGGCACTTATCGAGGTTGGCGTTAATGAATTCGGGGTCGGTAGAGCGGCACACCGCAGGGTGGTGGAGAAGAAGCTGGAACTCATTATCCCAGGTATCAAGATAAAGAGCAAATATGTAGTTTTCTTGAGCAGCCCGAGCCGGATCCATAAGCTCAGGGGGGCATTCTTCTCTCCATTGACGGATACCATTCTCAAGCCGGCGAACAGTATCTTCGTAACCCCGGCTTGATGACCGGACTGAATATACGGTGCGATAAAGCTCTGAAGACCAAACAGTATACTTCACAGTCTGTATCCCGACATGAAACGAGCACTTCCGGAACGGGACCAGACTGGTATCTTCGCCAGGCAAACAATCGTTGAGTGGCTCGGGGAATTCCACATCGACATCTTCCATATTGATCGGCATTGGTCGACCTAGTTTCCCGCTCAAATTTGTCGTAAGAGCATGCATTGTCCAGAAAACGCGCTTTCTCATCTCGATTTCGTGCTTGCTTAATTTGGCTGTCTCAGCCCACGCCTTCGTCGATCGATGAAGACCAAGTTCTACCGCAAGCAAGAAAGTTGTCGAGCACATAATCCAGGCTGCTCCAGGTTTCGGAAAGTTGCGAAGATGCACGGTGATCATACCTAAGGCCTGTAGGTCCTTGAGGCCATGTCCATGTAACAGCTCATTGAAAAAGCTCAGTGAATATCGATAGTGCTTGTGCGACTCTTCCATGAGCGATTCTTCATGGTTACGGACTGATATTTGATACTTAAGAGTTGCTAGCATCATGTGTACACACACTATCTCAGCTGCAGATGGGGTGAAATTCGCTTCGTTCCCTATCTTCCATATCTAGACTGAGTTAGGGATTGTGGTCTCGACAATGTTAAAGGAAAACCTACAAGGTGCATGAATTCGGGTTTATCAAGAAGCATGGTATAGGGATTCAAAGATCGAAGATACCAGCCCGCGTACTCACTCAACTGCTGGTATTCCGGAAAGGCGACGGGTTCTACTTGCGGCTCGTCGTTCAAAGCCACCTTTAGGAAGTGGTTGTAGGACATGACCGACTTGTCATATTCTTCCTCATTCTGCACGAAGTCCGTGATGTCAATTTCAGTGCCGAACACAGAGAGGGAGGTGCCTTTAATATGGCTCAGGAGTGAGTCTGCCGATGACACTCCGAGGTAATTGTCGCCAATTGAGCCTGGCTTGAATTGTGGCAATGGCCGGTACTCGGTACCCTCCAGTACATTTGGCCCTGATACGTAGCCGGGTAGGGGAGACGTGCTCGTCCTACGCTGTGATGCATCCACCCACCCCTGGCCACCGTCGCTAGAAAGACCCGAAGCCGGCCACTGTATACTGGATGGGGGAAACCCGTTGTATGCAGGCACAGTCCGGGGTTCGACGCCCAGTTCTTTCAACTGCGCTTGCAGCTCAGCGACCTGGGCACGCAGATAGCCGTTCTCAGCCTCCATGGCTTCGACTTGGCCTCGTGTCGTCGCTCGCCCTGTGATACGATCGGTCGTCTTGCAGAGCGTTCGGTTCTGAGCGCACGGCGAACATCCTTCTGGGCGTCCATCGCATCGTATCTTCCGCACCTGTCACAAAGTCAGCCGCGAGCGCGTCGTTGGGAAAGTGCCACCCCCCCCAAAGGGTGTGTCAACATCTCCAGGGCTGGCACGACCTCGCCTCGAGTAGGCCAGTAACTCAGAAATCTGAATGCGACACCAGACTGAGGCTGATCGCGGGCCGAGTCGCTGTCGTGATGCTTCAGGGGCGTCGTACCTTGCAGCGGTCGCAAGCCTGACCCGTACGCGTCGAGTTGGCTAACTTCTTCTTGACCGAGCCGGAGAAGTCATTGTTCGGTGCGCGTGGCTGCTGGTTCAATAATGGACTCGATGCAATGCCGTGCTCGATCTTGGGGATCTTGCTGGCCTGCACGATGTCGCCTTCGGAGGCCCTCTTGGGTCCCATCTTGGTTGACGTAGAGAGAAGGAAATCGCCGTGGAAGAAGCCGATGACTTCTGCGAATACCCGGTCGGTGGAGCCAGAGACTGGGGCTGGCCCTAAGAAGGGTACATGGCAGCAGTCGGGCAAAGGAGCAGCTTCAGCGGGTGTCGCAAGGAAATATGAAGGAAACAGCTTTTCACTGCGAACGGACAGATACTTGGTGAACAGAGCTGGTTGCTGTGCATTACACAACCCTGACCCTTGTTACTGGCGGCTGCAGGAAACAGAAAGTCACGGGATTTACTTCTCAGCTCTAGGCTGGCGACTGCACCTGCAATAATTATTGTTTCCAACCACCGCGCCTCGAAATCGTATCCTTCAATTGTGTCACCGCGCATTTCCTTTTGGCGCTTGGTGCAGGTGCACTGAAGAATACTGCATCCTCCACACCGGCAATTGTCTTGTCCTTCATTCGCCATCGCAGTCTGGTGGCCACTGCGGCTCCAGGCACTGCCTCAGCCTTCCCCATCCCAAAGCGGCCATCTGGATGATCACATACTTCACCACGACTTCACCTTTATCTGTATCCTGCATTGGCTTCTCAAATGCAAGAGCCGCAATACCGTTCAGCTAGCCCAAGTTAACAACATACCAAGCCAAACCGTTGCAACAAGCGAGACACGGCACTCTTCCGTCCAAAAAGTCATCTGTGGCGTCCGGCTGCAATTTCACCTTCGTCTGGCTGAGCGTCGATTGGAAACAAGTCTCACATTTACCTCGCCATGGCTGCTGTACAGACTTTTTACCTACCACATTATCCCACGTACCCGATCCACGTCTGCATGTTCAAGGACGTGTCGAACGCCGCACACCTGCGGAGCCAGCTCCTTGAGGCAAACCCGGAGTTTGACTTTGCATTTCTGGATGCTACGATGGTACGATACCAAATATCTCTTTCTGTACTCCTTTTTTTACAGCCACAGCCTTATCTCTCTCCTTCAGCCTCGTTGTTCTTTCAGCGTTATTGGTTTCTCAAGCTATCCATGCTACGCCTTCCCCTTCGCCGGCACTCAATTCCGATATCGTCTCTTTGCATTCCTGTCCGCTCTATTCGATAAGCCACCTATCAGCAAAACCTCTCTTATTCCGTGCATTGCCAATAAGTGTCTCCTAAAGCTGGTTGTCGCTTCAGAGTACACTGTCCTTGCCATACCATCCACATGGTGGCAGCACACAACTGCCACCTTTGTACCGCTACTTCTGAATAGATTGGAAGACATCTCAAGGCGAGGCTTTCGAAGCTGGTACATCACCTGAGCCCAGCGTGGTGAGCTTAATTTCGAAATTCAACAATATCTCATTCGTTATCTATGCAACCTCCAGCGCAAAGATTGCAGATCGCTTCCAGGGTTCCATATCGACTCACCGATCAGCCTCGTGCTAAACTGTGGACTATTACTCAGAGCGCCACTTGTAGATCCGTCAGGGCTTCCCACCCGAAGACAATTCACATGCGGATTAGGGCCCTTTGGAAAAAGGACGTGGTCTACTCAAGAAGCAAGAATGTCCATTAAGGAGCATTCTTTTGCCCTTGAAGTCTCACAAATCCTCAACGCTGTGCTCGAGTGGTGAATCGAAGCCTCGCTACGCTCGGAACCGTATCTTGACCAGCCTCGATATAAGTGCTACTGGACTTGGTCCACGTTTCATGTGGCAGAATCACTATCTACCTTGCTCAAGTTCTCTCTCTGGTCTATTTCATATCACTGTATCCCAGTTGTTCCGAACTCCTTTCTTGCTTTCCACTGCGCTGTCTCTCTCCCTCCACCCCTACGACCAGTGTCCCTGCCGTCTAACTCAACCCGCACAGATCCTCTCCCCCAATCACCTTCTATCTGCCTCTTTCCTCGCCCTCCACGCTCACTTAACCTCCCGGTCTAAAACCCGCACTCCTCACTCCGAACTCGTCTTCCGCCTTCACCCTAACAACAACATTGGTGAGTCCTACCGAAAGTTCGGTCTCAGCGACTCCACTACCCACATCGTCGCCGTAAAACTTAGTCTCTCACCGTCTGTAACCGCGGAAGCTGTAAGTAGGCACCTAAGCCAGCATATTGAGGGCACGAGTGTTGAGATAGGGGAGGGCGGAGAGGGAATGGGGATGTGGGCAGACAGAGAAAAGATCTCGAAGATTTACAAATTGGACGTTACGACGGATCGGAGCGGGAAGAAAGGTAGGAAGGAGAAAGTTGTGAATGGGGATGTGGGAAGAGAGGGGGATGAGGTTAAGGAGATGGAGATGGTGATTTTGGGGATCATGACTACGAAAGGATCATAGTCGTAACCACATAGCTTCCCCTGCCCCACTCGTCTATAGCGCTCGACCTCGCCCCGAGACGGACATTGGGAATAACCTTTCGGAATTTCGGGTGCGCTGTACTCAGTTCTATTAGCCATGTGATATTGGCTAGCGCAACGGTAGCAATGAGCTGGGCGGCCATTAATGGACGGCGATCTTACAACTGACGCCGATTCAAAATGCAGGATCTAGATCCAATTCAGTGGAACGTGCGGAATCCCGACATAGCAGTCCGTCAGTCGCTAGCGTGGCATATTTAGAGTGCGACCTAGCGGAATATAATGCACTTCAGCACCACCACATCCATGCGTTGTAACGAGAACATGAGACCAATGGCCAAAAAGTAGATAAGGATATGACCAAGAATTCAAGCACGTTCTTCGAAAGGCAAGCATACCATGAAACGATTGGACACTGGTACTGCACGTTTATCCGCGAAGAGCCAGATCGCATACGGGGTAGGCGCGATAGATAGGAAAAACAAGTTCTTTCGTTCTAAACACGAGACAAAGGAACCACTCCATTTCATTTCCCGGCAGACTGACTATGCTACAAGCTTGCGCTCCTCCAAGCAGATCCGAGAGGATCTCTGCTCAAATCTGTATAGATACATGTCCGACCCTCTAAAATTTCCAAGGTTGTTCAAACGTATAAGCACTAGATTTTGTAGCTTATGCGTACTTGTACTCGTCCTTGATGAAATCACCCATGTTCTTTGGTCGTTGGTGGGGATTCTCTGCTTGTGCATTAGCTCTGTGCGAGCACGGGCCACATCATATATGTTGAATGGAACATACCGTGGTGATGACCGTGATCATGAGCGTGGGGGTCTTCCTGAGGGCCGATGTAGTGCATCTTGTAGACGGAACCGCACTCCATGCAACGGCCGATGGGGTCCTCTCGAGATATCTAATTTCGGTTTTGTCAATGTCGATACCGGGGAGATGCATGGTATAGGGTTTTCTCACCGTGACCCAGAGAACGTTGTGCGAATCCGCGGGACAGCCTGTGCATCCGACGTACTGCTCCTCGCCGGCGGAGTTGATGACGATGGGATCCTCTAATGTGCCTAGCATTTCCGTCAGCTATCATACCACTATATCCCAAAGCAATTTTCCGCCTCTCCAACTACAGCGGTGGACAGCAACATACCAGTACGGTCCGCCGGCAGAGGCCTCATGTCGAAGACATCAACACCCTGCATCTTTCCCAAAATTTCGAGACGCTCCAAGCCGGTGGCTTGTTCGAGGTCGGTGGGAACGGTTCCAGGTTTTGCACCGGGGGGGAGGAGGTCTTCTTGGGTCTTGATGTCTGCGAACAGCATATCATCAGCAATTGTCCTCAAGTCGACACACGGATATCCGGGTTCCCAGTTCGGTAGTCCGGGGAATGTAATTGTGGGAGCCAAACGCACCATCAAGCTTCTTAAACCCCTTCGCTACATCGAATGCTGAGCTCGAATCTGCCGACGACGTGGAAGTCGCCTCGTTACCCACATCCTTGCCTACAATTGCGTCAGACTCTGCCTCGTACGATAGCTCGGGGGAGTGAGGGACTTACGGCGCACAATAGAGCTGGCGAAGGTGCGTCTGGCGATGATGCGGGGCGCGGCTCGCCTTGCGGCAGCCATGGCCGAGCGCTGGAGAAACATGGCGGAAGCAATTGGGATGGAGCGGAGAGTGGGTGGGTGGTGGAGCTGCAAAGTCGAAGGTGGGAGTTCCTGGATTGACGAGGTTGTCGGATGCATGGCATGATCGGACGAAGTCTTGGCGCATGTGATTGGCTAAGTACGCTTCAGTTTTCGATGACTAAGAAGAACAGTGACGGAATGTCCACCCCACCGGCGCATTAAATAACATCTTGAAGGTTGCATTTCGAAGTAGCAGGAATATCTTTGTCCAGGCTCAGAGAAAGTGTAAAGCTACTCCACATTCTGAGATTCTTCTCGCCTTTGATGCCACCACGACTCAGCCCGCTTCATTCCGATGCCTCAGCCTTGTTACGAAATGCAGGAAGGCCAATCCTCGCCCGATAAGAGAGCAATAGAATTTATCTTGTACGGTCAGCAATATTACCGTTGACATTTTCGTGTGAGGTGGGTGCTCCGTAGAATTATTTCCATCCGGTGGAAACTTCCTCATAACCGGGCCCGCTTGAAAGAGGCACGAGAGCTTGAGCCACACTGTGGCGTAAAATCTTCCGCTCATCATCGATGCCTTGTCCAGCCTTCATAGCTCCACAAACTAGTCAGCGCAAACACGGACGCCATCAGGCTACAACCGCCTATGTAAATGCTCTCACACTCTCACCACAGACTGACACAGCTCTACTACGCTAAAAATCCGACTTCTTCGCACCTACTATGACTTTCAAGCCAGCGCTTGTCGTCGTCGACGTCCAAGAGGACTTCTGCCCTCCTGTAAGTGTCGCGTGCGCATTCTCCAAAGCCTTCACTTACAGTATTTCTGCAGAATGGATCGCTTGCGGTGCAAGGCGGACGAGATATTGTCCCAACTGTGAACGAGCTCCTTTCACTCCCTTTTCCGGTCAAGATCGCGACCAAAGACTTCCACCCTCAAGACCACATATCGTTCGCGTCGAATCACCCGCCCCCGAACAACAAACCGTTCGAGTCGATGATCACTATTACAAATCCACTCAATCTAGAGGAAACCCAGGAAACGCGGCTCTGGCCCGACCACTGCGTCCAAGGGACAAAAGGCTCGGAGCTGCTCCCGGAGCTCGATATCGGCAAGTTCCAACATATTGTGGAGAAGGGCCAAGATAGGCGCGTGGAAATGTACTCTGCGTTTGCAGACCCGTTTACGAACCCAAACATCTCCCGCAGCAATCTTGCGCAGATCCTTCGTGACGCTAGTGTTACAGATGTATACATAGCGGGCCTAGCGGCGGATTATTGCGTCAAGTTCACAGCTCTTGATGCGCGAAAGGAAGGCTTCAATACTTGGGTGGTGGGTGAGGCAACGAAGCCGGTGGACGCTTCAGCTCTGGAAGACGTGTACAAGGAGTACAGCAAGGTTGGAGTGACATTAATCGGTAAGGAAGACGAGGCGATCCAGAAGGTCAAGGCATACTCGTGAGCGCAGAGCACATTGAAAAAGCTTCTATGTTTTGGGTTTAAGGCAGATACCCGATGGGAAGTGCTGGCTGTACCCTGCTCAGCCTTTACTACTCATCACCTATAGATACTGTATTGAGCTTGCAATGGCTTCTGGAAGTGTGACAGCTCCTCTGCCACGTTATCAAAGAAGAAATGAAATGATGAGCATCGCCGAGAACACGTATCGAGCTGTGGGGTAGCGAATCCTTCGTCGACCTCGGAGAATGTTGCGGAAGTTGCGGAAGTTGCGACTCTCCTCGGTTCACCGTCAAAGTCCTCACTATGTGTTGGTGACATCTCACCTGTCAGCCTCGCCATTGTGCAATACGAAAATTGGTCAAATAGCCGCTTCAAACGGACCAGTTTCGCGGGGCTTTCCCCCGATTGTGGCTTGCGCGCCCTGCCAATTTTTTTCACCCCCCGCGCCGCCGCCTTCCGTCATCGCTGGCTGTGCAGCACCAGCACCACCTTGCTGTCACGGCTCGTCCTTCGTTTGCTGCCTATGAGCTGGCTACTAGAGTGGCATCCCCACTACCTTGCTGAATATTCGCAAACTCTTTGTCTACGATACCCGTATTTTACGACATTCCAACAGCCCCACCATGGTTCTAGGGCACGGGCACAGGCGGCATTCGTTAACCAGTGCGTCATCACACTTCTTTTTCCCTGTCTGGTCCCTCAAATTACTGTTTTCGCAGGTACCGATGCTGATTTGAATGCGTTTTCTCTCCAGGCAATCGATCCTCAACCGACGAAACGAGAAGCGATGAAGTCACCAAGGAGGACGAGACGGTGGTGGACTCAGAGCAGGGCAACAGTACGTCTCCTGCTCCGCGCTGTTAAACATGTCGGGGGAGGGGCATAAATTTCTGATCAAATGGCTGGCTAACATGAATATCTCTGGACAGTGCTCATGCATATCATTTCACAATTGCGACCTGGTGCCGACCTCAGCCGAGTAACCCTCCCTACCTTCATATTGGAACCGCGGTCGATGCTGGAGAGGATAACAAAGTGCGTTTAACTGAATCCGAAGGGTCCGGGGGTGCAACGAATACTGATGACTAAGGACAGTTTCATGGCGCATCCCGAGACTCTTCTGCCCATGACTACGATAGACGATCCCGTGCAGCGGTTCGTGTCGGTGGTGAAGTTCTACTTGAGTGGCTGGCATATCAAACCACCGTACGTGATCCCGGGCGTTCCAGGGGCTTCCGGGAGCGAAGACTGATCCGAAGACAGGGGTGTCAAGAAACCACTGAATCCTATACTCGGAGAAATCTTTACGTGCTATTGGGAGTACCCGGATCATACACGAGGCTACTACATTTCCGAACAAACTTCCCATCACCCACCGAAGTCGAGCTACTTTTTCATGGCACCCGACCACCACATCCGGATAGACGGGACACTGAAACCGAGAAGCAAGTTTCTTGGCAACTCGGCAGCTAGTATGATGGAGGGCATAGCAGTCATGCGGTTCTTAAATACAGGGGAGCGATTGTACGTCGATCGACTGTAGGGGAGGCAAGTGCTAATAAGACGCCAGTTTCATCACACAACCGAACATGTACGCACGAGGCATCCTATTTGGCAAGATGAAGTATGAGCTCGGTGACCATAGCTTCGTTCGGTGTCCCGAGTCAGGGCTGGCCGCAGATCTCGAGTTTAAAACTAAAGGCTACTTTGGCGGGACTTACAACGCTATTGGTGGATTCATCAAAGAAACGAAGACGGACAAGAACTTGTATGAACTATCAGGATTATGGAACGAGGAAATGTGGATAAAGGACTTAGTAGTATGCATGCTCCATTCCCTCTCTCACCTTCGCATATACGCTTTCAGTAATAAAAGTATCAAACGCGACACTGACGCGAGATATAGACTGGCAAGAAGGAGTTGCTCTTCGATGCCACTCACGCCAAAGAAACTCCACCCAAGGCTCGGCCATTACAGGAGCAAGATGAACGAGAATCGCAGAAACTTTGGTACAACGTGACACAAGCCATCAAGCGGAAGGACCAGGATGTAGCAACGGACGAGAAGTCTCGAATTGAAGATATGCAAAGAGAAGAGGCTGCAAAGAGAATGGATGATGGTGTAGACTGGCATCCGCGGTTATTCCGACGAGTTCATGGAGGCCATGGAGGCCCTGAAGAAGGCGAAGAAGATTTGGATTGGATCATTAATGCAAAGATGTTAGTAAACCCCGCACTTCCTCTCCCACATATATATATTAATTTGAGACAACTAGTGATGGCAAAACACCTGGAGACCAAACAAAGCAAATCCTTCAAATCACTGCAATCCTCCCAGGCCAAGACCCTCACCGAAGATTCTCCATTCCTTCACGGAAAAGCAGCCTGGAACACGTCCCAACACGCCGATCTTATGAGGTGCAACGCGAGCCACAGCCACCACCGCATCCACAACCAGGGCAGCCGACGATAGGAGACCTCATAGATCTAAGCGACCCAGTGCCACGACCCAAAGAAGAACCACAACCTAAACCACAACCTAAACCAAAACCTGAGATAAACTCGTTGGAACGAAAGGGACCAGAAGACTTCCTCCCACCAAAAATATTGCATAGCCAAAATCAACCAGATAGTGCCAAGCCGAAGGACTTCCTAAAGCGAATGGACTCGGAGACTCATGAAGAAGATGAGTTCCATGATGCTTACGCATAATGTGTGCTCTAGGCTGGCAGGCTTTGGGTGAATGATTACTTGCATTGTGGTTATCTGTAGTATGTGTGATTGCAGGAGTCTTTCAACCTGCGTCGTGCTGTAGAAAGTTCTTCGGGCTGTTATTTTGGACTTCGAATATACCATTTTGGGCACGTGACTTTTTTTACTTCGGTGTCTGTCTGTTTTAGGGGCAAAATTCGTATGGAAGGGGCGGATGGGTGGATGTGTGCGGGTTACCTCTTGTAATGAAGGAATGCATAGGGGGGTTTGGGATGAGGATGTGAGTGAGTGATAATCAGAAGTGTGAGATGAAGACTGAGCTGTCTTTTGGTAGGGTGCTTGGAGGGGAATGGATGTTTACAATGAGCATAGTCTGCCAATTTGCAGCACTTTGTTAGGGTGGAGGCTGTCGAGTCAACGGGATAGGCCAGAGTAGCGATTATTATGTCGTCTGTGGTACGTCGACCGTTTCCTTGCCTCTTTGTCTATTAAAATCGACTCGAGCAGAAGCTCATTGCTGCACATTTCTTCGCATAGCGTATCAACCCGAAAAAAAGTAGAGCGCATATTTTTCGGATTCATGTCATCGCTATCGATTCCGATGGTACTCCGAACGCCTGAACGAATGAATTCATGCCTACGCCAAGAGTAGAAGGGTATCCCAGGGCAAACATGTGACCATAAGAAGTCTGCCCAGCCAAAGTGTGCAGGATGTGATTTGATGTTTCGTTTAGTCCCTCTTCTGCACCAACCCTCCATGAGCTTTAGGATAGATCAAGGATTGCTCTTTCAACCCCATTGTCCTTCAAAATGACTTTCTAGTATTCTCATAGACCCTCTCTCCCATTCTATGGCTAATTCCACAACTTTTGGACTTGTATTTCAACGAGAGCGTTGTCAGTATCAAAAAGATTATTCTTGTCAAATTTACAAGCAGTTCAGATTCCTAGCATTAGCGTTAGCCTTTTGGGCGGGAAAAGAACAAACTCTGACTTGGCTATGAATAGCAGAGAAGAGATGCACTGAATTGAAGCAGGATGTAGAAGATCCGCCATCCTAGCAGAAGATGAAACCTAGTCAAGGATTATTCATTTCCAAAATCAGGACTCCTATCTCTTCCATCTCCGACACCGCATACGGTAACCTTCAGGCTTAACCTCTCCTGACAGGTTCCTTGGGTTCGAAAACTTAAGAGAAATGATAAGGATTGATGGTGCTCTTGCCTTAAGATATTCACGATACAAATTAATGGCTACGACCTCTAGAGTCTGGGCATTTCATGCCTCTCAATCACTTCTATGCTTCCTGTATGAGAACGGGGACCAAGCGGCCGATAGAATTTGCAGAACAGATTCATGTCGAAGTTCCAGGTGGGAAATTAATCGCGTTGTTCAAACACGAATGTTAGAGATTCCTTCCTCTGACTTTTCTCGATTCAACTCGTGGCCTCGTATCTATCGCGCCCTGGACAGTATTATGGTCTTCACGGCTTCACGACTTCACAACCCAACACTTTCCACCCCCAAAAACAGAGGGAATCTAATCCATGAGGGAACTTGAAAAGTTCTTTTAGGCTTTTACCATGTCCCGGGGCGGGACCCGTTGAACACACTTGGTCTACAATAATTTATGCTTACTACACGTTTTGGAAAAAGAGCTGGACACATATCGAATACCCGCTGCAACCATGCCTTCCTAGCTAACGAGTGATTGAAACTAAATACAATCATCCTATATCTCGTCTGGAACTTGGACATCGTCTAAAATAATTTCATTACTTCGACTTATGTACCGAGTGCAGAACCCCTGCCCATCAGTCACTGTTGCAGCCCGGAAATACCTCGAGGAGCTGAATATTTGGATGGACTCTTTTTATGACTTATCGAAAGTTCAGTAAGTCCTTCACATGTTGGCATGGAATCTGGGAGAAGATATCTAGATGCTAGTGGGAAGCTCGTAATCAAGATCTTGGGGCAAACGTGTATAGCCTAGCCTCCTGAGGTTAAAGTTACGAAAGATCAACAAGAATACACCAATATGGTGCCGGAGACACGCTGGTCATCCGCCGTCTCCTGTATCGCTTGACACAAGTCTGCACCATGATTAACCCGCTAAAACGAACCAACTGGATCGGGGGTATGGGCTGAAAAAGTCTGCCTCTAGTGATGTGTATCTAAAGCGGCACAGGATTTGAAGGCCATTTGCTTCAAAACCATGACGGAAGCCGACTTCGTGTGGTCATCGTTTTGCAGGCCGTAAAACAACAAATTAATGACGTATACTTGGAACCACAGATGGAGATTGCTGCGCTCTTTCCACATCGCCTCTGTTTTTGCCTCAGGGATTAGTATTATCCACTAAAAGAATGGTCCCTGCTACCATAAGTGCACAAACGGACTTCCTAATCTCAATCCTCATTAAAGTTGAGCATGTAAAGAGGTGTTTCTTTGCGCTACTCCCCCAACCACGGCCATAAATACATAGTTGTACAAAATGTCGTTTGAAAAATCACGTCAGCTTCTCAGCATGACACATGGATACCCAACAGCGATAGGATACCTCTGGTACGGTAGATCGAATCTTCAATTCTCGACACCCATATGATATCTCTTCTCAGCTCCCTTCCAAGATTTTGGGAACTAAATTACTCTTCAATAATGTCTACAACTTCAGGCGCCTCGGCTCACAATACCCCCACAGCACCCTCGATGGATTTCTGGAAACCTGCGCTTTTTAAAAGTCTTCTGGATATAAATGCTCGATATCACTATGAATAGTAGGATAGTTGTCTACAATTCTAGTTGCAATACATGTCTAGAGGTCTAAGATGGTGAGGGTATACGCCTAAGGAAGTCGTAGACTTTCTCTCCTCCATTGTCGTTTTTCGATGGGTCTTCGTAGGCTGCAGATAGAGAACGATGCAGCCGACTCCGCCGACTAGCAAGAGATGAGGCAAAGCGAGAGCCTCTATATACACAAGCTGGCTAGCGCAGGACCAAAATAGCTTTCTTGTGAAGCCTCGAGGAGTGAATAAATTCGTTTCATCCTCCTTAGCATCCTGGACCTTATGCCTTATATGAGCGCCAGTCCATATATCAAACCCAATCCTTTGAGTAAAGATATGCCAGTTAAAATAGCAAAGGGTTAGCAACACCTAACGGTCCTTAATCAGCCTCTAGGGTGTCAGTCAGTCTACTGAGTGAAGCTTATTACCCTTATCCCTATCCCGGCAAGATCAAGACTCAGCTCGAACTCACTACCTGCAGATCCTCTAAAAATCTCGACAATCGTAGGACTAGTCGTAGAGTCAGCGTCAAATCAGGGTATACAGTTAAGCAGAAACGATTTGAGGTTGACAAATGGAACCTTTTTCAATCACATGGTTAGTATAAATATAGAGACGAAATTTCGGTTTCCTGAGAGGAGGATCAAACAATGGTCTACAATATCACAGCTGATCTCGTATTTCCAACGGGGGATAAATACTCTTCCAAAGGCTCAAATATCGATCTTTGTGGACAGTATTGGAAAGAAGAGGCTAGAAAGGGCCCCCAAAAATCATGGGCAAGGTCTTCCATCAAAGGCGGTTGCGCTACTGTGGTACTTAGTATTGGATGAGGGTGCACTGAACTATGAAGGATGCTCGTGGGGAATGCATATTATAGGTTAGGGACGGAGATCAATTGGTGATGCTTTGAGGCCGGACCCAAATATTCACCCAAAATAACGGTTGGTTATCTTCGGGGTAGACTTTACAGCTTGCCTCAGCGAAATCGGCCTCTTTGGCTTCATGGAAGCACCATGGTGTTTCAGTCAATTGCTGTCACGCCTTGAGGCGTCAGGATCCAAGGGGCAGAGGCAAGCAGTTGGTGGGATGGTACACCATGCTGTGTCTTGATTGGTATAAGATATCTATGACTAACACGAACTCCACCACCATCTGATCAACAAATAGCAGCCCTTTCCTCAATCTTTGTTTTGGCAAATTGCTATACTTTCTAAAGAGTTATCTCGTTGAAGAACCGCAAGATGCACCGGCTCGCCCGTCACTCATATCGAGTCTTGCGACTCTATTCTTCGTTTTAAAACTTTCCCTTGATAGTTGATCAGATTTACTGTGTCTTTCCACCTGTCGCCGAACATGGCAGGGTTAATTTTAATTTAGAGCAGTAACTTCCATGCTATTAACGTCCTCCCTAATTTCAGCAAGATATTTAGCAGATAGCCTCTACCGTAACGATATTCCATATTTGGTGGGAGAACACTATAAATGTATAATCTTGAGCCGGTGATGACGGTCTGGTGGGACCCTTGAATCCCCCTAGTTTTGACATATTTCGCGATCGAGATATTGATTAGCGAAATGCCAATAAAGCAAATGAATGTAAGACAGTCCCACCTTTCTTCATAGTTTAGTGGAGTTGTATTACGAGGTCTTAATATATTGTTTTAGAAGAATGAATGAAAGCCCCCAGCTAGCAAAGATTATTTAGCATATACCCTTTTGAAGACACACTTTCCTGAACGTAGTTCTTCCTACCTTAGTAAAAACACTAAGGCCTTATCCTTCTAATGGTTTAAAATAAGAGCGGCGATACTTCAAGTTAATCTAGGGCATTAAATCCTTAAAAGTGTGGGAAGAGGAAAGGATTCATAAGATAAAAAGCAGCATGCTTTGTCCTGACACTATTTCAATATACAATCTAGAGATCGAAACTGTTATGTTGGGGCGCTTTACTTCACCACCCGGATCTGCGTATTCACTCCAATCTAAAGACCCTTCCCTGAAGGTGCAGATGGCCTAGACTCTCCCACCGGTTTACACTCTTTTTCTTCACTGGTACAACTTTGCATAACTAACGCACGGAACAAGTTTATGTCCCTATCTGAGTCAAAGGGACTCTTTTCCTATCTTAAATGACTCCCGAACTGGATCTCGGGCAATTACTCTTTACCATAAACTATCTTCTCTCCGAAATGCGGTCGAGAAGCTTCTGAAAAAAAGGGTTCCGAGAAAGCCCGTGTTTCGGTACCTAGAAACCTTGAAAATTGAACCGCGTATCGGCCATGCATGGACATGCTGGCTAATCTGATGAAAGTTAGTTGGAGCCAGTCGGACATCATCAGATGTGAAGAGTGGTTGATGTCGGACTGGACTTTGAATGGGCCTTGGATCTGATGTGCGACCACTTAAGTGGCTTAGAATATCGACCATCCCTGCGACCCCGAGATCCGCAAATGCCAGCCGAGAAGACGACTAATAATCTGAATCTCCTGAGTGGCCACGTCTTAGCTCCGAGTCCCGTCTCAAGTCGACAGACTGGTACAACGATAGGACCCACAGTGATGTACGATGACCGACTAATATGCAATCTTTAATTCGACGCGTCTAAGTGGGTCAAACCTCGTCGATTAGCCAGAATGGCCATGGACCTGCGCGACGTGTCTTTATCAATTCTACGTTTAGGATCCCATGGCTTTTCTGGAGGAGTATAAATAGCCCAAGAAGGTTTTATACCCCTCTAATTTTCTTCACTATTCAAGGCATTGCCTCCAGAAATTTTGGATTGTACATTTTCATGCTTAGATCCAGAGAAACTTTTTCCCTTGATCTGCGGAACTAAGCACTCAAAGGAAGACATCGTAGGAGTAGAAACATCACACTCTATTCACATGGGTCTAACAGTCTCCCGAGCTCTGTCCCCAATGGAGGCCACGGCTGTCAGAGACAGGAGAAGTATAGGTACCAGAAATGCAGAAGCACAATTGATATGCCGATTACACAACAAGAAATGTATTGTTATCAATGGCAATGTATTCCTCTAGATAGCTGATCTCTATCCGGATAGGAAACGAGCAGTATACCGTAGCTTAGCTCTTGTTTCTTGATTTGCCCATTCAGTCCCTCTACGGGAATAATATCAACACCCGCTTATGCGTCACTCTAAAAAATGAGCAGGTAGTTGTATTATAATTTGAAGAGCGGCCACAGGGAGTCTTTATGACTATTCCAGCCTACACATGTCTGATTCGGCAAATCGAAAACGCAATGAAACAGCTAGCATGCTGTGGCTCCGCAGCCTCTCTCTTCCTTTAGGAGTATAATCCCTATGTCCAAATCCTGCATACTCGTCGTCGCCGATAGCGATTAGCTTCTAGGATAGGAAATCTTGTCGGCTTGTTTCTTAGACGTCGATGAAATAAAATGGAGTTTACTTAACAGTGTGTCTGATTCGGTAGGTTTAGCTTCTTATATCTCCGGACCGGTTTTGATTTCGATCGTTGTACTTAACTTCGTACAAGTAAAGTGGCTCAGAACCCTATATATGCTTAGATCTGGAACTTTTTAAGTTGTAGCTAAACTCCGAAATATATGGTGCTACGGACACATTGTTGCGGTTAACAGAAGGTAAAAAATAGAAGAATACATGGAGAGAACCCGGGGAACTCCCGCTCCAGTATTGAAAGAAGCAGCAATGTGTTTATAGTCAGAACCTCTTCGCAACGGGCTATATGGAATACCGCAAGACCCACCTCATAAATAAGGGCAAGTTAGGACTCATGCCGTGGAAGTTTTCATGTTGAGAATACCGGGCCAAAATCGCAAGGATTAGACCCAGAAGTCTGTTCTCAAAAGACACCATGCCTCCGGGAATGGAAGCCTCAGTTGCGAGGTGTAGCGCCACTGCAGAGGGGCATGAATGATGACGAAGAGCACTGCGAGAAAACGTTAACTATGATTCGAATACCTAGGATATCATCATTGCTTCTTCACTCGTCTATCATACCCACATGCATATATATCATATGCTTTTGAACACACACACACACACACATATATATATATATATATATATATATATATATGTCCCAGAAGGAACCCATCTCGCATTTCCCATCCAAGCCACAGCATTTCCTTCCCATTCCCACTCTTATCTCTTCTAATTCTTATCTAACCTAACCGCAGCATTACTCTCAATAAACCCTAAATCTACCTTATGCCCCAACAACTCCCTAATATTACTAACTCCATACTTAATCATTGTCGGTCTCTCCAAACTCAGTCCAAATCCATAGACCCTCAAATCCTTAGGCAATCCCATGGGCTCCAACATCTCAGGCCTGAACATTCCCGAATTTCCAATCTCCACCCACTTGCCAAGACCAACGTGGTATCCAAAGACTTCCATGGAAGGCTCAGTGTATGGGTTGTATGCGGGTTTGAAGCGCAAGCCCTCGATGCCCATTTTGGAGAAGAAGTCTTCGAGGAAGCGCATTAGGCCGCCGAGTGTGAGACCAAAGTCGGCAATAACCCCTTCTATCTGGTGGAACTCGGCGAGATGGGTGGCATCGACGGTTTCATTGCGGAAGACGCGATCAATGGAGAAGTAGCGGGCAGGTCGGGGGTCTTCTGCTAGTCGATGCAGGACCCAGGTTGAGACGGCTGTGGTGTGTGTTCGGAGGACGAGACGTAGACATTCGTCTTCGGACCAAGGGTAGCGGTAGCCGATGGAACCGAAGGCGCCGTTTTGGTGCACCTCTTTGATGTTTTGCCAGTATTCTTCGTAGTTGCGGGGCTTAGTTTCCTTCTTCTCCGGGGTTGCGAAGAGCCGCTTGTAGCCGGCTTCCATGGCGTCCATTTGTGCTTCAGTTTCAGGGTCTGGTCGTGGTTTGTCGGCTTTGGGGGGATCGGAAATGAAGAAGGTGTCTTGCATGTCGCGGGCGGGGTGTTGTTGGGGGACGAAGAGTGCGTCGAAGTTCCAGAATCCTGAGTCAACGTAGCTGAGATATGTCAATTTCTAATTCGTAGTTTGAATTTAAATGGTTGTCTTACTGGCCGGTAGGCATCTCTACGAAGCCTTGATTGAAGAAGATGTTCCTGAACTCTTGCCGCACCTTGTTCAGCGGGTGCAAAGTACCAGCATTCTGTGACGCTCCAAGAGCATTGAAGTTGTAGGGTTTGAAGTTAGCCATCTCCCAGGCGCCATTTGCCAGCATATCCGCTGTCAAGTCTGTGACCTCTACGGGCATCTCCTTCGCATACTTGGGACCTTTGGTAACCGTGTAGGTTAGGACCTTCGAGGTGGTGACAAGTTTCCGCTTCTTTAGGTCGTTAAGGAGCTTAGTGTCCGATAGTGATTTGGTTTCTTGAATATCTTTCAGAATATCTTTCGTGGTATCTTTAACCTCTTTCGCCACAAGGACTAGTGAATCTCCGTCCTTTTTTATCCATTTGTTCTTAAACGCATTGCCTTGTCCCACCTTCGCTGAATCGGCGCCGACGACTTTCTGAGCCCCAGATATCAGTCTCAGAGAAAGTGGACACTGGTGCAAGATCAACCTACTGGCAACTCCTTGATCGGTATCTTCCCCGCCTGCCTGACAGCATCCCACACCTTAAACTCATGGCTTCCATCCGCTACGATTGTCTCCGACTCTTTGGTCAAGATGACCTGGTCCGTCTCGTGAGTGTCATACTGGACCATAGACCGGCTTGCTAGCCTATCTAGCGCGGCCTTGATCTCGGGCTGAGGTATTGAGGGGAAGTCTTCGGAGGTTTGGAGGGGTGATTTTATGTCGAGAGCATCGAGGACTTCTTGGGTGAGGTTGCGATTTTGCGCTTCGAGAGGAACGGGCACTGGGCCCCGATTCCTGCCGGCCATATTTGAGGTAGTTTCGAGTGGAGATTTAAGAAGATTTTAGCTTTCGGTGGTGGTGGAGGTTATGAGTCGAATGCGAAATTCGAAACCCAGGCCGAAGTTCAGCCGTAGGTGTCGAGCTGGTGTGCCAAGACCGGATCTAATTGGACGCCAACTTGGATAGTGAATTGCTAGTCCTCATGAGGTAAATTCAGGTACAAATGCTCCCTCTTGCTTCTTTCACAATATTTCTGATTCATCACCATACCATCAGTCTACCTTGCGCTGCTCAGCTCAGCTCACATTCCACACATTCCGAGATTCACATCCAGCTTACCCAATCCACCCCGGATTCACCCAAGCCTCACGAGACCACTACTGCGGTCGTGGAACCCTCACCCCATACCTCTCTCTCCACACGTCACCCACTAAACACCTTATTCGTCCATGGAATGCGCCCCTCCTTGTGAATGTGGTGAGATCTGTGATCTTTGTTCATGCCCCGCCTTTGATCACGCCCCAAGCGATGTCATTCGAGCCAGGGTCCAGCCCAGCAGCTCTATGCACATAAAGCTAGGGGGAGCTCCAGAACTGAGCTCTATTGCAACACAGACTCACCACTGCACATCCAACTGAATCACTGAACACCTAACCCAGCATCACTACCACAAGTCAATCATGTCCACTCAGAGGTCAGCCTTGCCTCCCGTATCACCCACACACCCATCACCTGACCCGAGACATTGCTATTCCTTGCATCATCTCCATCCTGCCACACAAGCTTGGGGGTGTAGCAGGAGGAAGTGCAATACTAACCAGTCCATAGTGAAGCCGACTACGACGCCAGTGTGTCGAGCTCGAAGATCGAGCCTCTAAGTTCTCCTATGAAGATCCATATCCCGCACACTGACCATGGAGTCATTGGCGAGGATGCAGATATCGAGCATACACATATCGCTCCTCTAGACAGCCCAATAAAAGGTGAGCAAATCATGCCGTCCTCTTTCTCGTGTTGGTTTCGGTAGAGTCCCAAGGGTACTAGTTTATCTTCATATTCTTTCGTCAACCTTGGCGACTTTGATGATCAATTCCACGCTGACTTCTAGGTCTAGAACACCACCGAACCCTCTCCATGGAGCTCGACTCAAAACCTGAAATCGAACACCCAAAAAAAGAGACAAAATAGGCGGAGACAGGTGACGGTGCGGTGATGTCTCGTTTCCACTCAAGGGAGCGAATCTAGTAGAAGTTGACAATATGACGGAAATTGACAGCGAGGAAGGAAATTGACCACAGAGAGATGATTACGGCGCAATGACTCGGTTTACGCATACCAAATGGTGTTAGCATGTTTTGCCTTCAAATACAACATTAACGGGGTCTCCCCTCTTTTCATCCGTCTCGAAAAGTGTACATCCTAATCTTGAAGAATTTAGCAGCGTGGTTACCTGGTGAGGGAAGACCGTTGTTATCTCTTCGTTGGAACACTTATTCTCCGAACACATCGTGCAGAATTTCGGCAGATTCCGCTCGGAGGATCCCATTTAATATATCCCAACCATCGGGATCCTGCGTGGTTTTACGAACAAGCCGTTCGACATTCGAAACATTTTGTCAAACCAGTGGCCAGTCCGGAAAGTCCTTGGCGCTGATTTGCGGCACATTCTGGAATCGCACGATGATTTGGCAAGCATAAGGCAGATAGATTGCTCCTTGTAGTCAGCGCCCTTCCAAGAGTCTATGTTAATCGGTTGTCGTCTCGCATTGAGCTAGCATTGGCACCAGATTCTGTAGGATTGGGGCGTAGTCTTGGCGTTGAGAGTTGTAGGTGGGGCGGAGTGTCGGTAATGAACACGATGAGAGGTTCCTAGCATCCTATCGCAAGCTTGTTTCATTGTTTCAGACTAGGTAGTAGAAATCGCTGACGGTCAACCCCGCTTTCTGTCACACAGTGAGGTTAAGACCTGTCATCAGGAGGATGAGGATCTCTGGAGGGATTGCTGACAGAAGTAACCGGGTGGCATTGCCACGCACGTTTTGGAACGGCTGATTTGCAAATACGAGATCTAACATCGATAGAGTGGCCGACGCTAAGTGGACGATTAAGAAGCTTGTCGATATGTGAGCTGAGCTGAGGGATGACGCTTTGCAAATTGAATGTTCACAAGTGTGTGACGAGAGATTCGAGTTGAATCCATAATGGGCTCAAAAGGCGGCTTACGACGCTCTGTCTACTAGTGGCAGACAGTCGTAGCAGAAATAGGCTGCGTGGTGATGAGTTCAGTTGCAGGCTTCACATCGTCCGTTACAGGTTGGCGGGCCTTCGTCGGCGTGCAAGACGAGCATTTTTGGAGGAGGGCCAAAAGTATCGTGGAAACGCAAATTTGAGCGACTGCCGAGGGAATGGCTGCAAGGTGCAGTCAAGCTTTGTACAGTACATCTCGTCAATGGACCTAGTGTGGAGAACTGGCTAGGAGAACATCATGTCTGTCAAAGAGAATTGATAGCGCGTACCCTTGGACATAGAGCCGTTCGGACAAAGTTGCTCCCATCGGAGCCCCAGACGACGGTTTCAACATGTTGATGCAGGATCCACCGTGGTCAAACTGCTTTACCGTCATGCAGAAACCCACTGCGCTATTCATGGTCTGATCCCGTCTATCATTGCTGAAATCTGGAGATGGCGGGGAGGGAGGCGCTATTCTCGGACAGTGGGTGCGATGGTGATGTTGCAGCTTCTGACAGTGAGGGGATAATTTCCCACGGCGGGGACGGTTGATGAAGGAAAAGTTGGTGGTGCAAAAACGTTGCTGCATAACATCAAAGCAGAGAAATGTCAAAATAGTATTTTTAGAGATTGGTGGCCGGATGCAATCTAATCATGCAGTTGCGCGCGCCCACGCTGGACAGCCATAGGCCCCCAGCGGACCGTCCGGTGGGTGAGCGCGCAATAAGAGGCCGAGAAGGGAAGAGTGAGAGAAAGCTCTGCCCGCCACAGGGGCATCGCTCGGAATGCCGCTCGGCTGGATTCCAAGGGCTCCAGCTGTTTTGCCACATTACCTACGCCGTATTGGGGCACCCAGCCAATGGACGGCCGGGCTGGGTTGTAATTTTCCTGCGAACTGGTGAGGGCGAAGGATGGCGGGCCTGCAACCGTCGACCAGGGGCTAAGGGACAGGGTCACCTTCTGGAAAAGGAGCGCTGCCATGAGCAGCGAGCAGCGCAGGTGATGTCGCCAACAACATCAAGAGTGCGCAACTGACGCCAAGCGAGGCCATGATTGCCAGCTGCTGTCGAGAACGACACAATGCTGGACAATGGCAGTGAATCCGGCGATGCGCGATAACGCAGCGCGACCGTGGGAATGAGGGCTGGCGTGCGCAGGCATGGCGCGCGATGGGGGCGTCTGGGCGCGGGTGACTAAGGCCTCAACGCTGTGCTCTGAGCGATAACGACTCTGAGCACACTCGCGCAGCCTACCAGCACTACCAGCAGCCTACCAGCAGCCTCTCGTCCACCACAAAAACAAGTCTAGTAGCCGGCTCGAACTTTTGCCTCGCGCCCGCAATTATCGCTCAAGCTTCTCGTCTCCACCTCCTGAATTTGCGCCAAGACTCCTCGGACGGACGCTGCAAGCGTGCTTAGCATCGAGGCTCCCCCCCCCGGCCCAATAATATCCCTGAGCCGCAGCCCGCAGGCATTGCCCGTCTCCTAAGTCCCCTACCACCGCGACCGCGCCATCTTCACTCCTGCTCCGCCGCCCCTCAACCTCAGCACTCCTCCCAAACGGCCTGTCTCGTCTTTAGGACACTCCACTCGTTTTCCCCCGCTGCTCTCTTCGTCTGTCCTTTGCCATCACCACTGCGACTCCCGCAACGCCGCCGTGCACACGCCGAACAGAGACCCCGTCCTGCAAACACGCCGTACACAGCTCGCCGCAGATGCAGCAGTCATAAGCACCATAGCCCACGCCGCACTCACTGCAACACCAACATGTCGCCCTTCGATATCAATCCGCGCAAGCTGTTCGTGCGGACGCGCTTCGGCTATGAGAAGCTGCCCGGTGCTGATAGTCAGAGCTCGTCGCCGCTCTTCGGCACACCCCTAATCAAATCATGGAAAAACCGAAGTCCATGGGCAAACCAGCAATGGCGCCGTCCGCGGCTGTCGCTACCACGCATAATAATGCTCATGATAACAACACTGCTGCTGGCCTCGATGCTCGGCACTGGCATGTACAGGAGGCACAGGTGGAACGAAGAGCAACGAAAGAAGGGAGAGAGGAAACTTTATCACTGGGAGCATTTTCCTCGGTATGTATTTTCGGCAATGTCCATCGCACCTAGCTAACCGGTCGCAGCTTGGATGGTTACTACAATGGCATTCGGTCCATAGTGCCCTTCTCTGATTGGGTGCCTGAGCAGAAGTTCATCAAAAACGCCCTGTCTGGCAACCCAGAAGACAAGCTCGAACCCAAGTATCCTGTACTATCTAAGGAGCACAAGGAGCCGCCGCTCGATCCCGTACCGTTCAACCCGTACCCTGACTATTCGACGTACGAATACCTAAATAAGCATGACAAGGTTGAGACATGTTATCTAGACAAGGATGACAAGGTTGACCTGCCCGATATCTACGCGTATCCCGGCATCCCTCAGAACATGAGCGAGCCTTTCTTTGGCTCGTACGAGGAGCTTGGCTTGAACGAAAAGGTCTGCTTCGATCGTTTCGGGAGATTTGGGCCGTATGGATACTCTTACCCTCGGGAAGAGGGCGGCTTGGGCATGTCTGGCAAGTCGGAGAGCTGGGGAGCAGACAAGATCTGGAGCTGGGAGAAAAAGATCGATTACAGCAAAGTAAGTTGGGCTGACGCGCAGAGGAAATGCTACGAGAAGAACAAAGTTCGCTTCGACAAGAACATGACCGAGGCAAACAAGGACGTTCCTGCCAAGAAGAAGCTGCCACGCCACGCATACATCCTTCGGACTTGGACCGGGTACAAGTACAGTGACTACCAGATTCTTACCATCCGCGCCATGATCAATGAGCTTGCTCTCAAGTCTGGAGGCGAGTATGATGTGCACTTCCTATTGCATGTCAAGGATGATAGCATACCCATTTGGGCTTCGGAAGAGATATATAACAAGACTATCGAGGACAATCTTCCCAAGGAATTCTGGGGCATGGCAACTCTTTGGTCAGAGCAGCAGATGAAGTCGTACTATCCAGAACCATTCCCCAATAACGTCTACAACCATGCCAAAGCCCCTGTCCATTCCGTGTACCGAAGTGCTCACTTCTCTCTCCAATGGTTTGCACAGCGCTGGCCTGAATACGACTTCTACTGGAACTGGGAGATGGATCTTCGATTCAGCGGGCACTACTACGAGTTCAACACCAAGGTTGGTGAGTGGGCTAAGAATCAACCGCGAAAGGGAATGTGGGAGCGCGCTTCTCGTTACTATATTCCCGAGCTTCACGGGTCTTGGAAGAACTTCACTGAGCTGGTCGAGGAGGAGACGTTCAACAGCGATGAGAAGCCAGTGTGGGGCCCACCTAAGTTCGAAAATACTGGCATGCTTCCGACTCTTGACGAAGTCAAACCGCCTCGCTCTTATCTCCAGGATAATTATGAATGGGGTGTGGGTGAGGACGCGGATCTCATCACGTTCAACCCAATCTTTGACCCTGCGAAAACCAACTGGGTGTTCCGTGACGACGTCACTGGATACGATCTTGAGCTCCCAGAACCACCTCGCCGTTGTGCCATCATTACGGTGTCCCGTCTGTCGAAACGCTTGTTGGATATTATGCATCGTGAGACCTATCTCATGAAGCATCATATGTTTCCCGAAATGTGGCCACCGAGTGTCGCCTTCCACCATGGATTAAAAGCTGTGTATGCCCCTCATGCCGTCTACTTCGACCACAACTGGCCTCTCGAAACCCTGGATGGAACCTTCAACCGCCCTCCGAAGCCCACCGACAGTGTTTTCGGTTGGGGCGAGCACAACCAGCTTGGTAGCAGCTTCTACTACAACGCCGCCTTTTCGTCTGCCTGGTGGAGAAGATGGCTTGGCTCAGTCGAGAATGAAGAAGGTGGTACTGCCGCAGAGGAGGCAGGTACCGGCCGATTATGTATGCGGCCGACACTATTCCACCCCGTTAAATTCGAGCGCGGGGCGGAGTGATCACTTACTTTCACTTCTTCTGCACCCTTTTAATGCCTGTTTCTGTTTTTGTTCGTGCTGCAATTTCCCGCATGACTATTCCACATGCGGCTATAGACTTTTTTTTCCTCTCCCATCCAACACTTTGGCATAGTCAGCGTTGTTATATCCCCTCGCACTCACGCTTTCGATTCTCCCATCGGCTCTGGCGATCTTCTTTCCACGGGCATCATCGGGCGGCGTTCCTGGCGTTTTTGTCGATAATCGATTGGCCTATTGTACAGATTAATCTGTATCCTGTTGCGCGGGCCGTAGTGTAGGTGGCCCGGATGTTTCCCTTCTCTTTTTTTCAACAGGAAGGAGTATGTATACCTTCTTTTCATGCACGAAGAAAAGTCGTCAAGCAGCGGAATCGATGGATATATTCATGAAGGAGATGGTATGGATGGATGATGGGCGGATGTAATTAGCCACATGGCACATAGCTACACTCACACTCTCTCTCATACTCATACACACGCTCACGCGCGAATGCAACTACCTTGTTAGGACTCTTGGATCGGAGAAGAGAAGGGGAGCGGTTCAGGGGTTGTTTCTTGGTTCGTTCGTTCGTTCTACTCCTACGTGCAGATGTTGATGTGGAGTTTTTGGGTTGGCGGTGCGGTGGTGCAGTGTGGTGTGGAAGGAATACTGCTAAATGCGAATGATGGATGGATAGATGAGGGATGCGAGGGTGATTGTAGATTATGTGATGAATTGTGGTAATAATTCAGTATATCTACTTCAGACTGATCCTAAAGCTTGCCTTCTTTTGTGTTGTTGAGGATGATCATCGTCTGCTTTCCTCGGATGGAGGGCGGGAGGGGTTTATGTATGGTGTGTGTCCAGGTGGGTCTCACTATTCTTATGCAATATCCACCCACACTCATCCATCCATCCTCCAAAGCGCCATTATTAATAGGCTAGGACTAGGGCAAGATCTTTAACACGCCACTATCGACTTCCCCTCATCAAACTCGAAAGCTTCTCAATATTTGGCTTTGGCGTGGTGCAGTGACTAACGAATCTTGGAACCTGAGCTTGAATGTAGTTCACTAACTATGCAAGATTATATGGGTAGCATAAAGATCAGTAATCGAATAATCTGGGGCAGTACAAACAGCCCTTTTTGCTTTTCCAATGCACTTCGCATCCAGTTTTCAAGGTTTCGATTTCATCTCTAGTTCCAGGCTTACTTGTTCATTCGTTCCTTCGTTCCCTTGACAAAAAGTAAGTGTATATAATCACGGCAAGCATACTGATCGCTCTCCCTCTACACTTCGGCCCATCCCGTCCCTCATTCATCCCCTCCGCGGTATGGAGAAGGCGATAATTTTATTAGCCTCTAGTTATCTTGAAGCATTATCAAGAGGTGGATGCCTTACTGGGCTGTGGTGGCTTAGAGGGATGGCTATGATTCTTGCGGAACAGCATTGCCAAGGCTGATTTCGCGTGAGAAAACTGTAGGAAGGCTCTATTGTACTGCACTCCCGCTCGTTGCACTTATATTCCTTCTATGGTCTCTAATATCCATCTAGACCAGGTCTCAGAAGCTGTCTCTCTATATGCCTGTGGCGAACTTGGTAGCGTTTCCACTACTTCCCTTTCACTATTACATTATCGGAATGGTCTTAAGATGGTTGGAGCTATTTGTTCTTTTCTTCGTCTGTCGACTTCAAGCTAGCTACGTGCCTGCCGATTTTCAGCGTCTTTTCAGCGTCTTTTCAGCGTCTTTTCAGCACATTCAAGATGTTGCGGTTGTTGATCACATATCCCCCTCGCATCCTCCACTATCAAGCAAGGCTGTCCCGATACGAAGCAAGTATTTACACTAAAAGTTGAGAGTAAGATGTCGTGATCATCCAACCCAGTCCTAACCAAAAATCCAAACTAATACAACCGCAGACGTCGTAAACCGTAGATTGTCGTTCCCTAGCATCCAGCTGTCGCCGAAACTCCAAGAGCAATATTGCTGAATGCAGCAAATACGGCCACCCGATGGGCACATGGTGCCTAAATATTTGAGAAGCGCCGATGCCATAAGGAAAGAACGCCATAACCGATGCCCATGGATCCAAAGTACTGGAATCCAACTTTCGAACTATTGCTGGGGTATATATGGATTGATCCAAAAGGGAGAGATATTCGTGTCGGTGTCTAATCTAGGTTTAGTTACGAGATGATGGTATTACATGCCATCCTGTTGTGAATCATGTGTCGATGGTGCTACCAGGAGCGTGTGCATCACTTCGTGGGCGTCTCTACTGCTGCCGCTGTTGCTGCTGCCACCAAGGCGGATAGGTCTGATGCCCCTGTGGGGCGCGTCGTCGCTACCAAAGTTTTTCATTCTGACTTCATCAGACATATCGCGTGGAGAGGGAAGAATATCACTCACTCAACTTTCATAGGCACCCATTCTAACTTCTTATTGTCGAAATGGTGGTGCTCGAAATCGGTCTTGGTCAACGACTTCGGTCCGTACTCTTCCTCCAGCAACTCAGTATATGCGTATGGGATCTTGACGGGCATGTCCTCGAACACGCTATCTCGGAGAGGAAATATGTCCTTCTCAAGATAATGGTGTCTGTCCTTACACATCATGTGTCCTTTGATACCCATTGCCTCAGCAGTCAGATCCCGCCGCAATGTGGTAATATCGATGAACAATCCAGTCTCCATATCAATCCACCGCGCATCGATGACGTTCAGCGTATCTGTCGTACTACCGTCCTTATAATGCGGGTTCACCTCTAGCAGGTAATTTCTCCCATCCTTGGTTCCCGATATCCGGTAGTGATGCACCGTCATATTGTAGTAGTTGGCCAGGAACTCCATTGAGCGCTCGGACATCTGAACGTCGACATCGGAATCCCAAGGCATGATCTTGCGATTCCACCACCAGCCCAGCAGACTACCATGCATAATCCACGTCTCGGCCCCGATGTCGTGCATTGTCGAAAGGTAAGTTCGCATTAGATCCGTAAGATGAATGCGGCGGAGGTTATAGGACAATACCTTTTCGGCGAAGCGGCCATCGTAGTGTGCGTGGAACTATACCCCCAGTTCCCGTTAGCTGCAGCCTCCCAACCTAGTAATTCAAGGTTCATATGTAGAACACCGAATACGCGGTCTAGTTTGATACTTACAGTCGATTCGTGAAAATACTTGTCTTGCGGATCGCCCTTCTTTCCGCTTCTATCGCGTGAGATTGGTGTTAGGCCCTGCAGGCTCTCGATGTCGGCGTCGCGTTTCCAGTGTGCTGGGAGAGCTTGCGAGACGTAGGACAGAAGAGCCAGTACGAGAGCCGAATAGTGTAGTGCCACCATCATGTTGTGGGTTTGCGGCTCCGCTGGCGAATATGCTCTCCAGATGCAACTGTCACTGCTGACAGTAGATTGGCATGTTATGGGAATATCAGCCCACGTGACGAGGGAGGAATACAGTAACGTTAAGATGGACCGTCGAATTGAGCGATGAGGGTTGAGGCGGAGGGGTGTGGCGCAAAAAGGAGAGGAATCAAAAGTCGCGATGGGCAAGCCTCAAACGCTTGTCAAGATAGTCAGAAAAGCAAGAAGCCAAACAAGACAACGCTGGAAACGCGAGAGGGAAATCCAATACCCGAAAGCGAGCGAAAACGATCAGATATGTATCTGTGCCTTAGATTCGGAAAAGAGGGGGAGAGATCGACGCAGTTATAAGCCGCGACTTCCCACTGCTAGTGTGAGCTGCTACCCGATGCAGAACCCTCGCAGGACGCTGGTTTCGTTGCCGCTAGGCCTTCCCGCATGATGACTGCCACCACTCCCTCGCTCTAATCAACCCCCCGTTTCCCATATCCTTAAATCTCATCCATGCAAGTTTGAGGCTTCGCGCTTCACAGCCTCGTCGACTCTTGATAACTCACGGTTTTCTATTTGCAGCCGTCCCCGTCAACCACTGAAACACTTTTCTGGGACCAAATTAGGGATGGGGGAGAACTGACAACCCCGGCTGACTGGCTAGCACGCAAGGTCGGAGTAATCCGGGGTTTCGATGGATGGGACCCTCCAGCCTACAGGGAATCAAAACCCGGATTCACCATGTCAAATGCAGGATTTTTCAACGGTGAGCTAGGACCGAACTTTAGTGGGCTTTCATCTAATGGGGCATTTTGCCAATGCTCACATATTCCCGACGATTCCCATCAAGCCTCGTCCACATTGTAGCAGAAGAGAAGAGGCCACGACATGGACATGAGAGCAGAGAAAGCTTTGGAAAATGGATGTTCCTCCGTTGGACACGCGTTCACCGATGCATGAAACAAGACGGGTATCTGTCGCCGGGAGAATGACGAGTAAAAAAGCTTGTCGCCCGACAAGCATCGCTAAGCTTTGCTTGGCAGACCGATCCTTTATCTCCTGACTCCTGGCCCCGCTTCACTATCCTATCTGATCCAAGTTGTGCGACAGTGACGCGGCTCTAATTTCCATGTCTCTTGCGCGACGCTGCATGAAAGTTCCTCGTTGGCCTCATTACTCAGCCTCCAAATGCCGAGCTTCCTGCAGAGCTGAAGGTTGTCACTCTTCCGAGGCAGATGCTTGACGAGACTTCGGCTTGAGACTCTGCGAGAGGTTCGTCTTACCCGTCTTAAGGACACCAAGCAAGAGCTTGAGGTGGAACATGCTCTCGAAGCACGAATTCCGCGTCGGCATGAGCAATTCAGCGCTGAGTCCTGACCGGGTCCGCGGCATCGGCCCCGGTCTCAGGAAACCGCGCGAGAGAAGCCTGCATGTGACCATTTGCGGTTTCCAGAGATTAAAATGTTCTTCAAGGGCTGTGGCTGCATTGCCGCCCAATACTAACCCTTGGCTGTTGCTCCCACTGCATACACCGCTAGCAGATTCCAGAGTATCCGGGGCAATTCATGCATTAGACGCGTAGCCAATACTTTAGACGCACATAATTCAGTCTTTGAGGCCTCTCGATTCGATAGTAGTACATCAGGATTCGTTTAAGCCTGACTCGAGCATTTTAATTTGGCAAAGGGGAATGGAGTACTTCACTGACGGATTATTTCTAACAGCGCTACGAAGATATTATTAGTAGAACATACTCCTGCATCGCTTACTCAGGTGCACATCAGGTTATAAACCGGCCGGACAAAGTTTTCTCTTCTCGTCAAGTCATCCTCGAGAACAGTTTGTTGGAGCAGCTAGCTTATTTAATTTATTCCGCACTATGCCTCCTACGCGCTTTTCATGAAAGTTTCGCCCACTTTCTTCCTCAAGACTTAGGAACTTGGAAAACTGCTGGGCCACATTGGTCCGGAATTGAGCGAGTGTTGTACCCAACAGGCTTTGGTTGATTTAGCGCATAGGGTAAAATAAAACTCTTCGAGTAAGTTTCAGTCTTAAACTAACTACAAGTCCTTCATTTATATACCAATGCTAAACCCTGCGAAGTTATTCAACACACGGTAATCATTCGAAGACTCAAGCAATTAGCCTGCGATCTACATAGAGCTTCCTCATTCCAAAGGCAACCACGATGACTACCTCAATCTGCCAGCAGTGATACTAAGGCATGAAGGCCTTAGCTCTCTTTGAGAAGACCTAACCTCAACTTGAATGGCACCAGAGCGACAACCCAAAGACAGGGTCGTCATTTTACAGCTCCGTTATGACGGGCGAGTGGTATGATGCACTTCACAACGACGTTGCTATACAAAGCCGTCGAACTCCGTTCCGCTGCGTCATGCAGCATATTAGCTTGAAGACTGGACAGGCCCGCCAAGTACAAAAAATACAGAAGTGAATGTTCGGCTGGGAGGGGCATCAAGTTTCATTCATCGCTCTTTGGCCTTAACGCAGCGTGGGCCACCCATCCATTCCGATCCCGCGAGATCCAAAAGCCCGAACCGTTGGACAGGTTAATCCGTTTGGTACACCCCGGCCCAGAGCACAAATCGAGCAGCATATGGGACCTCTACTTACACTAATGTTCCCTTCGAGCATTTTCTTCTGCCGTACTGAAGCCATTGCAAAAAAAGAAAGAAATCATTGGCACACCGTTTGATGAAACTTCTAAAATTGAGAATCCGGACAGTATTTGACCTTTCCTGTCCTCGTATGCACACTTCGGCCATGTCTGGCGTTCTTTTCTCCGGTGCAAGATCCGCGCTGCTCATTGGCTCTGATCTTTATATCCGAGATCTGGGCGCCGGATCCGACTTGCCATTCAGCTCCCCGCCGACTAACTCCGCGATGTCCGATTTCGGATTTTCAACTGACAAGACCATGATAGACCATGACCAAATCTGGCGTATGCAAGTAAATTGAGTATAAAAGAGATCCAACGTTGGCTTCAGAGTATCTAGCATTTACAACCCCAATTCATGTTCAAATCCACAACTCTTCTTTTGAACAGAACCTTTCGAACCTTTAATTAAACTAGCATCTTAACCACAATGTCCAAGAAGCTCCTCGCCGTTTTTGGTGCAACCGGTAACCAGGGTGGCTCGGTCGCAAACTTTGTTCTCAATGACCCTCAACTGTCAGAGGAGTATGCTGTTCGAGCCATCACCCGCGATGCTTCAAACCCCAGAGCAGAGGCCCTCAAGTCCAAGGGGGTCGAGATTGTCGAAGCTGACTTGAGCAATCCCTCTTCCCTAAAATCTGCTCTCAAAGACGCACACACAGTCTACGCCCTCACGAATACCCAATACAGCGGCAACACTAAAGAAATTGAGACCACCCAAGCTAAAGCACTCTGCGATGAAGCGCTAAACCAAGGCGTGAAATACCTGATCTGGAGCTCGATGTCACATCCTAGGAAGATATCCGGGGGAAATCTAAGTCACATCGACCACTTCGACGTCAAAGCCGAAATCGAACAGCACATCCGCAGTTTGCCTATCAAGTCCGCGTTCTTTGCTCCAGGAAGCTTCATGCAGAACTTTTCCCACACCATGAAACCCCGCCCAAGTCCCGCTGGCGATGGCACCTACGTCATTGCAAACCTATGCAACCCCTCCACCAAACTCCCCCTCATTGACATCACGGACACTGGAAAATGGATCGGAGCGATCCTTGCGGAACCCGACAAATACGAAGGCAAGTTCTTGGCTGCAGCGCAGAGCATGTACTCCATGACGGAAATTGCAGACATCGTTTCCAAAGTCAGCGGAAAGACGGTGAAACATACACAGCTGCCGGATGAGGTTTTCAAGGGGTTTTTGCCGGAGGGATTTCGACAGGAGCTCTTTGAGATGTTTTTATTGTTTAGGGATTATGGGTACTATGGAGAGGAGATGGAGGGCCTTGTAGATTGGGCGGCGAAGCAGGCGAAGGGCCACTTGAATACACTGAAGGAGTATTTAGAGAAGGAGCCAATTGCTTTTGATTAGGTGGGGAATGGTGGGTATGACTTGAAGCTTGTATCGCCGAGTAATGTGGTATTGACCGCCATTTATATACTCGATATTTTCACTGAAATGATATTCTCCTTTTTGTAACTATATCTTATCTAGTCTGGCCAATAACCATCTTCCGTCTGACTTTGATACTTATCATGCTTTCCTTGGCAAGTTGCTCCAAACCCAACCCAGATGCTCATTTGTCCGTACCATCTTCCCACCAACCAAAATTGGATACAGAAATGATCTCAAGCTCTTCTAATCACTCTACAGGTGATGTCTTCCCGAATCCCCACGTGCTTCTTTCTTTTGAGGGTTTTAGTAGCCATGGAGACTGAGAGATGAAGAGTGAAGCCTTTTAGCTCAAGAAGGGGATTATATACCCTTATCCCTAGGCATCAGTCGTTGGGAGGGGACGTGATTCAGGCTGAATCATTTTCAAAAAATATGGAACGATTTTGCGCTGGGGTTCCAAGAAGCAAGTCAATGGAGTGGGTCTTGACGTATCGTCTTAGCATCGAAAACTATTGTTTCCTAGTATGGGGCAGCAGTGCTCTTCACACCACCTCACGCACATCTTTCTACACTAAAATGAACATCCTGCTCGATTCTTCGAACACAAAATATCTCCTCTGGGCCTACGAAACCATCCGACCCGAGGTTCCAAGACCACTCCAACAATCTTCATTCGGTATCTGGAAGCCACTCATGATCTCTTTCAGCTTGCGATTTAGTCCGTCCACAGGATTGAAGCCACTAATTTAGAGCTATATCCAAGACTCAGACTTTTCAACCCTACCCTCACGTCTCTGTTGCTAACTTTTATATTAAGGAGCCTGATGTCGTGGTGGAAGGAGTTGAAATATATACCGTTCCCCTATATCACTTAGTAAGCACTTTCCAGAAGTTACATGCGGGTATTCGTGAGAGGTTTGACTATCCACGGATGCGCCAAGGTTATGATGGCGAGGCATGGGGTTCCAATTTTGATGTTGCCATGCTTTACGCAGGCAGAATGATCGTCATCACAAATCTTGCCTCTGCGATCCATCCCCAGTTCTCCTGACTCCGCTTCATGCTTGACATTTCAGCTTGCGAAGCAATATGCAGCATTCTTCCCGTATTTCCTGGGGTTTAATTTCGCTATCCGGCTCGGTTTCCAAGACCTCGTCTATTCAAACTCGGACAGTTTTTTATTCAATTCGATTCATGTTTAAAGCCATCTTTTGCACAACAAGCTTCAAGAGCCTTTCTCGAGTTCAACCATGCGTTTATATTGCCACTTATTTTGCGGCTGGAGGTTGAGCGGTAAAGTGAAGAAGCAAACCTTAAAGAGCGAAAGGGGGTTTATATACCCGCGTCTTTCGGCTTGTAGGAGAGGTTTCAGAGAATCGAACTCATAGGGAGAGGCGCATATCACTCAGATAAAAATAGCCGGACCCGGAATAGGGCTATGTTGATATCCAAGCGTGGAGAAAATTCTGTGGTACTAGATTGCATCATGGAGGTAGAACGCTCTTCACTACCATCGCAGTCCTGCGCAATTGATTGACTGGGATTTACCCAGTTACCCCAAGACCCATTCTTTCAAACGCTTTCAACCATGCAGAAATTGTACATCAAATTTTAGTCGCTACTTCTCTAGGAACTCATCAAGACAGCGTGGGTAAAAGTTTGCTCCAGACATCGCAGTGTGACTCCCAGTGATTCAGAAACCTGTGCCTCAAGCCCAAGCATCGTAAAAATGAGCGTAAAGCTTTTGTGAGGTGGTGGCGAACGGTGTGAATGAAAAAGAGTCTTTTGGGAATCGTGAGGCCGTTTTATATCCCCATTGCTTGGACTTTCCGAGTAAAAACTAGAAGTTACGACCGAGATTAGAACATGCTGGAAATGTGGCAAGATTATTCGATTCCGGCGTGAGAAAAATTTGGAGTATGTGTTGGCATTTTAGTCCGCGATCTCTGAGAATACTTCGTCTTCTACCACTCATCTAGCCATCATGGTAGGCACTACGTGTGGCTTGAACTCTAACTCTTCATTAGACAGCCAATCAATCCATTATTGGATACTATGCAAATCCTACAAGTAATATTGCTCTTGATCTTAAATTCCAGTACCGAGCTATCAAATCCGAGTTTTAGACATCCAACATGAAGATTTTTTCCATCCGTTTAGTGAAGAGTGGACAAGTTCAGTGAAAGTGACACCACTTTCGATCCAATCATAGTTTGGCGCATTTCGGTTTATTTGAGAAAGTCAACAAATGCGGCAGATCTCCTAAGTCACCGCCAAACTGGGTATACGTACCTTTAACATACCCAAAAGCCGCAGGATTAGAAGCGTAGAGGATTCGGAACACGAAATTTGGAGGAGCTCCTTGGGGAAGTAGTCAGGCTCCTCCTGCATGATGTTGCCGAGGTGTGAAGTTCTCAAGTCTCTGAAAGAAGTGGGTTTATGTACCGCTAACATCCTTTAGACTAAAAGCAGAGGCCATTCGGTAATTCGATTTCTCAGACACCCATCGGTAATGGATTTGAAGATCGTTAAAGAGGCTGATGAGTGACGTCGTTGAAGTGTGAGATTTTCATGTTCCTAAAACGGTGGGAGTTTATATACACTTTGAATCCCCGGAGGTGGCAGAACAGGAAGCATATAAAGTAGTGACTCAGTTTTGGATATACTGACACTAGATATGTATCCTCTCCTTTTGAGGAGCCTAGAACGACCCTTCCCTTTCCCTGTTCCGTGTTTGCTCCATCATATACACATTTCTATCTCTTCTACATCCCCTCATCGCGGCCTGGCAGAGGAGGTGTGCAGGGTTGGAGATTGTAGAGCTGATGGAGCTCGATGATTTCTCATAGATTGATATCTCCTACCTAACAATTCCAAGTTCGACGACGCTTGAGTCGGGCCTTTGGGGTGTATACGTGGATACCAGGAGTTGTTGAGCCGCTTCGGTCGTTGAATTTTTCTTGGGTGTGGCCAGCGGTAATCCCATACGGTCGCCAGCGAACACATCAAGACTTTTGCTCCACCTCTTCAACTCCTTTCCTTTTCTCCTTATTTCTCGCCCCCCGAAAGATCCAACTATCCTCTCTGTTCACCCACCCCACGCCATTCCTCCTCACCCAAGCCGTACCATCCTGCAACAGCCCATACCCTAACCCGGCCACTAACCCGATCCTCATCGTCCTAGCAGCCGTCACAGCAGGGAAATGGTTCCAGACACTCCACAACCCGCCCATAACCATACCCGCCATACTCGTACTTATAAAATCGCGACTAAACTCCACGCTCTTATTCATATCCGACAAATCCAGTTCATCTACGCCCTCCATCTCCTTAATCGTGCGGCCTGCGCGCCACGTCCCTCGAAAGACATCCATGCTCTCCTCCACGATGAAGAATATACTGGCCCAAGCTGCGATATACACGCCCTTCCTCATCCCCTCGGTAACCCCCGCTCGCATCCTGTAATAATTCTTCGACTTCTGGTAGAGGTACCATCCTGGCTGCGAAACTGGTAGTCGGTGGGCGTTTTCGGCACGGAAGCGGAGCGCGGCCATGTGGCCTGCGTGTGAGGACCCGAGGGTGAAGCCGCATAAGAAGGCGCTGAAGGAGCCGAGGAGAATGCGTTGGTCAAGCGACATGCCCAGGCGTTCGGTGGAGGGGCGGATGGGGGAGGGGCCTTGGGTTAAGCCGGAGGGTGGGGGAGTGAGGGTTTCTGGCAGCTGCGATGGAGTGGGAGGTTGTTCTGTAGATACTGTGGAGGCTTGAGTGGCGCTGGAGAGAAATGGAAAGTGCATAGTGACGAATTCGGCTCTTTGAGCTTTACAATGGAAGGAAGTGGAGTGATTGTGGAGGAGTTAGAGACGTAGTGACAGCTTCAGGAATTCGAGTAGTTTGGACAGCGATGTTCACAATTAGACATGAACAAAATCCCCCTCGATAAATGGAGTCTAATGTACAATTGCGAAGGTGGAATGGCGGGGAGGATGCAGTGGAAAGATATGTTCACTGGGGTGTGATGCCAAGACACTAATCGGAGCAAGGATCACCTCCCCGCGGAGCTCTTTCTTTCCACAACCTCCACAATCCCGGCTACTGCCTACCCATCTACCCAATTCCACGACCCGTCTTTGCCCTCAATTTAGAACTTCATTTGTCTCACTGACCTTGAGAAAGGCTTTGGTGTACGTGACTCGGCATTGACCGCTGCACGAAGACTGTAAGAGACATTCACCTTGTATGCTTCCAAACGTCCCTAACTTACGTCTAGAAACTAGATCTCTTTATATCTACATATCTATATATCTATATTAATGGGCCTACGCCGGCCAACATACCCCAACAATGACATCCACACCAACATTCACACCTCCCACCCCATCAACCTGGACCCTCCGCCTCAAAAACCGCAAAACCACTGTCCTTCTCCATGTCAACCCTCTCAATACGTTCACTACAATAAAAACGCATCTCCTAGCTGCACTCCGCGAAACCACGCTCAAAGACCCTGAAACAGGGGATGAGGTCCAGCTCCCCTCCTCGCCCTCTGAAGTCCAGTTTGCCCGCCCTGTCAACATTAACCACCCCGAACTCGGGTTTGTGCTGGGCGAGTGGGAGCAGCCAGGAGGCGTCGGCGAAATGCTAGAGGAGGAGGAGTCTGGTAGGAAGAAAGGCAAGGGTCGGCCGAAGAAAGATGATGAGCTTGCGGGGATGGTGAATGTCAATGATTGTCCGAAGGGGGCTGGATTAAGAGATGGAGCGGTGTTGGCGTTTCGGTGGAAAGGAGATGAAGAGAAAGGGAATAAGACGGAGGGTAAGCGAAAGAGGAAGGAGCTGGATGTCGACATGGAGGAGGGCGAGGCGGACATGTGGGGAGTCAAGCTCGCGAGTTATGAGGATCAGTATGGGGTTGAGAATACGGGAGATGTGGGGGGTGGAAGGGAGTTTGAGGGCTGAGATGTTTTGTCAAGATTGGTGTGGCTTTGGGGAAAAAAACATGTACTGAAGACGGCTGGGATGGGTACGGCTTGATCCTTCTATCGAGCGACATCAGATGTGGCATGCCGTTTCGCATACGAATCCGTGACGCCCAAGCGAGTCCCGAGGAGCCTAAGAACCGATAATGCGCGGCGGGAAGAATGCTGGTACCGAGGCGAAAAATATTCATCGAGATTACACCACATCCTACATTTGCTCAACCAAAGAGAAGATGTTACGATTCGTTTGGATTAGAATAATGCATCACAATTTCTATCGCTATTTAACCACTCCCACGCCTTGCCCTCAACTTTTAATAGTGGTCGATCATCAATATTTTGAATCCCCACTCTCCTCACTATCCTCCCAACCTCGGCCAATGCCCCTCTACAGCGCCGACCCCTTCACCCCCGGCGTATCCGCAATCCTAAAAACATACTTCACTGCCGACGCCTTTCCATCCTTCAAATTCTTGAGTGCTCCTTCCAAGCCCTCAAGACCTCCTGGAACTACCTCCGCCGGGTGCGGCGTAAACCAACCCTCTGCCAACCCTCTCGCCATGTACCGATAATACACGTATGCAAAATCACTCGCCTTATTATGCGACTCCCCTACGCTCGTAAGAGTCTTCTGAACGGTTTCAGGAATGCCCTCATACTCCTTCCCGGGAAGCACTAGGGTTATCTTGCCTGTTGGTTCGAGGACTTTGACAATGTTTAAGTAGGAGCCTTTTTCTGAGGTGGCATCGAAGGCATAGTGCAACTTCAGTCCTTTGAAAGCGTCTTTGAGGCCTTGGACGACAGCGTCATCGCCTTTACGGTAATCCACAATGGAGTCCCCTTTCGAACGATCGATCAGTGTTTCAACGAATGGGATTCCACGCCCGGCGACCGCGACAATGGGGTGGATGTTTGATAATACAGCCAGCTTGATGGCGAAGGCGCCGACTGCGCTTGCACCACCATAGACGACGAGGGGTGTAGGAGAGGTTGCGGGTGTCCAAGGATCGGGGAGGCCGAGACGGAGGTAGAGGCCTATAGCAGATGTCATGGCTGCGAGGGGGAGTGTCGCTGCATCTGGATGTTTTAATCATAGCGTCAGTCTAACCCAATAACTCCTGTCCATAAAACCTGCCGAACAAGCCACCTCCGGCATTCCTCCATCCCATGCACATGCTCGGCAGCACCTCCCACGATCAGACAAACGATAAACGGCAAACGGCTCGAACATACCTTCAAAACTTGTCTTCTTCGGAATATGAAACGTAGTATGCTGCCACGCAAGCGCATACTCAGCATAACTCCCGCCTTTCGTCCTCATCTCATGGAAACTCGCGACCCGGTCTCCCGGTTTGAATTCCCAAACTTTGGACCCGACGCTATGCACGATGCCAGCGATGTCGTCGCCGGAGTTGGCGTGCTCGTTTAACCATTCGGGGACTTTCCTGCGGAGAAGGAAGAGGGTTAGCTGGTGGTAGTTGAGAAAGAGTTTGGCGCGTAGGGATTGAGGGCTTGGAGGACATGTATACACGATATGTGACAAGTACTGTACATACCAATCCTTAGGATTACTCCCACTGACTACTACCTGAATAACCAACTGCTCAGGCCCTGGTTCCGGGATTGGAGAATCTACAATCTTGACCTTTGGCCCTGGGCTCACAATCACATCCTTCATTCTGAATCTAAACCTTGGAGTCTGTGATTGAGTCTGTGGAAATCAGAGAGAAAGCTAGTCGCTCATTCGATTGTCGTGGTTTAAACTATCCTCTCTAGCTAGATCCTACGACAGCCGATAGTGGGGGTAGTATCTTTATATCACCCTCGACCCTCACGCAAGCACGACATCACGCAATCCCTCGAGCTTGAGCATCATTAATAATTCACCGTGTGGGGTAGCTAGCTCCTCCCTCCTGGGCCCAGTCCCTTGCACACGGTAACCTTCTTCATCTGCTATTTGCGAACGGCAAGGGGGGCAATTGCATCGGCTAAGTTCGGCTCGGGATATGTGCCTGCACTTTCGAGTCGCAGACAGCAAATCGGGGTTTGTGGAAGATGTATCTCCGATAGAAATTCTTCGTTGACATCACATCACAGTAAGCAGCAGTGCACAGAGTAGCTAGTACAGAAGAGTGGTTTGATTACGAGATCTAGACAGTGAGTGCAAAAGTGTCAGAAAGATCACATGTGGGAACATAATATGGTCAGAAAAGTCTGCCAAAAAAAGACATAATCAGTCACATACATCAAGATTTGTGCGGGCAAGAATGGGAAAAAAGCCGTGAGAGGTAATATGCTCCCGCAATTAACAGTACCGACACCACTGCAAGCAATAATCAAGAATCGATTCGATTCAATCCAATGCCCGCCAACCAACGAGCCAGTCTCCGGCCTCCAGCCCACCCCGAATAAAAGACACAAAGACGCCAGCGATCGCAACACCAAAACGCCTCCCAATAATGCTTTCAATTTCGCATAAAGACGCCTTGAATCCCGGATCTGATAATTGCACTTTCCTGTATAGCAGGACGGGCGTCATTCAACTTTCCCGAGAAAAAGGAACTCCGTATGCGCCAACGCTCGGAAGGATGATCGATGAGATTGAGGGAAAGAAATCAAGACAGAAACAACATCAGGCCAGCTCGCGTCTCAGATTACGAACGTACTGCTTTGACTGTACAAAATGTCAGCAACGGCAGCAACTCAGCGCCACACGCTCTTGGTTCCGCCTATCAAACTACCTCGTGATCCATTCGAACTAATGCTGCTCAACCGCACAGCTTGCCCCCTCAAAGCTGAGCCCTCTCGCGGTCGTTCCTCACCCACAGCCATCGTTGTTCGACGGGAAGGCCCCTTCAGGATCGAGTCAGTCCGCGGGCTGAGAACACTGTTCTTCGGGTCAGCATCACGTCCGCTCTTGACCATTCGTCGCGTTGCACTGGTAGAGAACATCGTGTTCTCATTTGGGGGGCTGCGTGCAGTTGCGGCGGTAGGGCTACGGCGTCGATGGGCGCGGATGAGAGCCATGGAGCTTGAACCTTGATTTGTAGAAGAGCGCCGTTTCATGGCTGAGCGGATCTTGTGGGTGTCATTCTGGTCTAGCGTCCACGGGCCCTCCTCTTCTGAGGCGGAAGAGCTTCCACTTTCAACCGGAGTAACGTCTGAGGATGTTGGAGCACTTTCGACAAGGTTCAAGGAGGTCGGTCGAGGAGTCGTGTTATTAGAAATCTCCCGCAATGGAGAAAGGGGCGAACGTTCTGAGTCAGAAGAAAATGTTGTTGCCACTGGTGGTCCAGGTGAGCCATTGGATTTCTTCAACAGGTAATCCGGTTTGAAACGGCTGGAACGAGGCTTGAGCTCTATCGACGGCTCTGGAGGGGTAAGGATGGGCGACGATCCGTCTTGTTCGGGGATGGACATGATACTTGAGAGGCTTGGTAGCGGTAGCTCGATTGACGAGTTTGTAGGGGTTGACTCCACTGGCTGCGGTGTCGCCTGGAACTCAGCCAGAGTACCATTCTCCGTATCGTCCCGCCAGCGCACACCACGCTTCACCTTGGATGGTGATTTCTTCTTTGGAGTAAATTGTATACTCTTCTTCGCGCCTCCCATCTTCCTACGCCGGGGAGATGCCTTCATGGGGGACGACGTCAAGTGTGGTGCTTCCAAAGGAGAAGGCATAGGTAGAGGTTTCATCGGTGACGGCCCCATGATCTTCACTGGCTTCCTTCGCTTGGGTGTGCCGTGTCGACTTGGGGCGAAGAATTCGGTCACAGGAATGCCGCCGTCCGGTCGGATTGCTTGAGCGGTGGCATTCGCGCAAGATGACATGATCTGTGTGAGTATTCTCCTAGCAGCTTGGACGGCCTCTTCTTCATTCATCATGGTGATCTGATTGAGGATCGATACCGTCTCAATGTGCGCTTGCACAAGCACTTGCACAATTGCAGCGTCCCCTCCCTTCTCTTGCTCGAGGATGGCGGTGTACAACTCCCTCTCCGCAATGGACTTGAGCAATTCGTACTCTCGAGTAAGGTTGGCTGCATCATTACCATCTGAAGAGCCATCGACCTCGCTGAGTTGCCTCAGCCCAACCTGCAGAGCAGTATCCAGCTTACTCGCCCAGTTGGTCCTCTCCAGTTTGCGGTGACAGTGTTGTCGAGTTTGTTCGAGCTCTGCAGACATACCCATTGCTGACCTTCGCATAGTGGCCAAGGCTTCTGGAGGATCTTCCTGTTCCCGTATCTCTGCCACATTATCGAAAGCGGCGATCCAGGAGGATATGAGCGAAATGCGTTTTTCAGCCTGCTTCAGAGTCTTGGAAGTCCCTATCCTCTCTCTTCGCTCTCCGGTTGAGTCCTCGTAGGCTTGGCGCAGACGGACAATAGCATCTCGGAGAATGCCCTCCTTCTTTTCGCTCTGCTTCTGATACTTGACGAAAGCACTTCCCTCGAAGTCGCTTTGCTTCTTCATTAGCTCGTCAATAAGAGCCCTCTGTTCGTCAATCTTCTTCAGATAGTCCTTGACGTGCCGGTTCACGTTGAATACGTTCTTCGTGACCTTCGTCTGGATGTTCTTCGCCCTGTTCGCGTACCTCAATGTGTTTTGTGTTTCGTCGAAATGTGCGCTTGAGGGACTGACGCAGACAATCATGACGGTCCGGCAATTTCCCCCGAGCGAGAACTTCAGCAAACGAGTAAGTTTGGAGTTTCGGTATGGGACATGATTGCGCTTTCGCGGGTCGCACAGTGCATTGATGCAGCTTCCGAGAGCAAGGAGGGACTTGTTGATGTTAGCACCTTCGATCAATCGCTCTCCGCGGTTCTTCGTAGCGCTCGCTCGCTCACTTCCCGCCAAATCGATGATACTGAGGGTTGCCATGGTATGGGGTTCGTTGACAGAGGCATTTCGGTCCTTGGAGGACACGTTGATCTGGAGAACGGCGTGTGACCGAGAAGAGGTAGCATTGGCTTCTGTTGGTGACATGGTTCGGTATTCGTTACCCCTTACAATCATGTCCATGACTTCTTGCACCTAAGAAAATGTAAGGCTATGCGCAAATCACAGGCAGCATCTCACTCACATTCTGAGGATGATGGCTCGAGAGACCTGCGACGGAAACAGCTTGGTTGGCGTCCTCCCGTAGCATTAATGTCTGTTTACTTCCGCCGGGGACGAGCAGGTCGCGAATTGTCTCGTTGTAAATTTCAAGGTACGAAAGAGTGACTTCAGTGGCCCGCTGTTCCTGTACGTCCTGTATCTTCTCGAATAGCTCCTGCATGGTAAGGAAGATGATTCCAGGTTGCGAGGCGGTCCCCCTATGTTTCGGTCAGCTCCACCAACGCAACGACACCAGCGACATACGTGATGGTATGAGTCTTGCCACACCCAGTGGCGCCGTACGCGAACACAGTCGCATTGTATCCATCCAACACACTGTCCAAGAGGTTCCTTGTGGTTGCTTCGTAAACATCGCCCTGGGTTGTATTTTCGTCGAAGACTCGATCGAACGCAAAAGTCTGGTCCTTTACTCTCTTGCCTTGCGGCCCGACCACGGATCGTGAGAAGCGCTGGACTGGGTTGTCTTCGGGAGGGTCGAATATTCTGGCGCTATGTTAGCTTCCATGTCAACAAGCTGGAAAGGGACAAATCATACAGGCATTTCTCGTCAACAACCTTGATGACGGACCGAATTCCCTTCTGGTGAAGCTTCGGAGTAGGTGCAGCTGCTAGTGATCCATCTCCAAGAAAGAGTGTCTGGTCATCCCCGGGACGCAACTGAGCGGCTTCGCGAATAGTAAAGGGCCGCACTCGAACAGCGACAGAAATAGAGGATGCGCCGGCGTGTGCGGCCATTGTAGTGAGCTCAATGCGTAGGAGGCTTATGACATGTGCAGGCCAGCTTCTCCGGCGTTGTTGTTGAGGGGTATGTTTGAGCGAAGGTGGGATTGATGTTCGCTGCGCTGGGTTCGAGATCTAAAAGTTGTGTTGACATAGCGCTCGGGCCATAAACAGACAGGGGGTTGAAACGGGGCAACGCCAAAAGCCATTCACGTGATGCCGAGCTTTATCCGTGCCATCTACCGTGTCCTCATCAACACCAAGTCGAAATCGTCAACATCGTCAATCAGTTCATGAAAGAGTTTTTGCAAGCATCGGTATCATCCTCAAAATGTTGTGCTGTGGTGCTGGTAGGGCTGCCCAGCGTGAGGAGGATCCGAGATAATCCAACCCTATTCCTTTCATCTTGTTCCTATGTTGCGTCAAGCTCCATCATCCATTTCTGGGTGTCTCTTCATAACCACTTCTCGATCGAATTTCACTTTTCAATGCTCACGTGTGTGGTTGGTAGGATACGGGTGTTGAACTTTCCCTTCGTATTCGGTTCCGCACAACGTCAACATATTTAGATATCAAGCACCATTTGGGATTCGGTCGAATCCACTGCAGCTCTCTCTCAATATCGAAACCGAGGATCATATTAGTACGAAGATAAACTTAGAACCAGGTACGGGAGCGGGGTCTTCAGGATGGAAAAACCGGCGCATCTCTACTGCAAACGTCGCGAGTTACCAGGCTCACGGTTACAGAAACCGGGCCAGGCTAAACAAGGACGGATGCAAGGGCACCATTCTAATACGACGACACATCACGAATGAACTCCAAATTCAACAATATATCCACAAAATTCGCAGCTAGTCATTCCCCGCGCTTCAACGGTATTTACAGAAGCTTCGAAGAGTAAACAAGAGACCAATCTGCGCAACAGAAGGGCACCGACATCAACATCGTCATGAGCGTCCAGTCCAGCAATCCCCTTCACTACTTAGAGCAACTGCGCCAATTCAGCTTCTCCCCAACAGGAACCACCCATTCCTTAATCTCAACTGAACCCGACGGCTTAGTACTGTGCACTGGGCTAGGCCGAACCCATCAGCAGCGGGACTCACTTACTTGGTGCACTTCTGCCATTGTACGTACACGACTTGGGTGAACTTGAGATCAGTCGAGTCGGTAGTGAGGAGACCAGTAGCAGAGCTGTTGCTGGAGCTTAGGCGGACCTGGGAGTTGACATTGAGCATACCCTCGGCGCCGCACGGCGACCAGACGATCGAGGTGCTGTCGGCCTGGTCGTGCTTCAGGTAGTCGCCGGTCAACGGGCCAACGAAGTCATACTGGGTGCTGGTCTGACTGTTGTTAGCTAGATTCGTCTATTTAGAGGGATTGACATACCTGCTCGGTTGATCCAGCGAAGTAATAGGTCGACTTCAAAGTACCAGTAACGCCCTTCTGGAGAGCAGCATATCCACGATAATCAGCGCTCAGGACGGAGTACTGGAACCCGCCTGGGTAAGTGATGTCAACGTTAAGCTGGCAGTTCTTGCGCTGCTCGGTGAGGGCAATGCCGGGACCAATGGAGGCGATGTAGGAGTCGAAGATGAGGGTGACAGTGGTTCTGTCCTGGGAGAGCTGATAGCTCATGGATCCCTGTGGGCATCCAGTTCCACCATAGGTGATGCCTTTGATTTGAACCTAATGATGTTAGGGAAGAGTCTTTGTAAACACTTCAGTGCTGGAAGTACCTTAGTTGGGTCTGGCGTGGCACCAACAACATCACCGAGGCTGGGGTTGGATGGGAGAGCGGCCACAAGGGGCAAAAGGGCAGCGAAGTACTTCATTTTGGATTTGGTGTTGGGATTGGAAGATGCTGGGTGCAAATTTGGTTGTAATGTCGATCGTTGCTGAGCCTGAATGGTGACTTGGTGAAGATCAATTCTGGGGGATATGAAGGGAGTTATATACCAAACGTTCGGCTACTCCGCACCCTGTCCCGTGAGTACAATACCACTTTTCCTGCATTGCCTATCGTTCGATCCCACCAGTCGACCAGGCCTGGATATCTGATGCCAAGTACATCTCCCAATATGCTGTACGGGTGGTCCGGCGGGCCGGCATTACTCATAGGTTGGGAATCCAGTGCACAACTCAGGTGAGTTCGTGTCTCCCATGAACTCTGCTCGATTGAGGACAAACAAGGCCTCAAGCTTGTTCCAATGCGAAGGCCCAATCTCTGGGGTTAGGTAGGAACATCCAGTAAGAGCTCAAAGATGCATTTGTCGGTATTACACGATGCTCCATTGACCAAATGCGAGGTTTTTCATATCGATTGTCCCGGGCAGGATGCATCCAGATCCCGGCTCAAGTCTGCTGCTCGGCCGGTAGCGTCTCTTTCTGCCAGGTCTTCGACCGGGAAATCCAGCTGGTTGAAGCTTCCTTAGCAATCTAGCACTTACAATCGTGCGGGATGATAGAGGTTACAATTTGCAATACGAAATTCTGAGTTCGACGATTACCTGTCAGAAATCATATGACTTCAGATGGGCAGTTTCTCGCGTCGGCATCTTCCCGCGGCTTCGCTTGTCGAAGGGAGTTGAGACGGTCAGCACGGTCGTCATATATTAGCTTTGAATGAAGTGAATATAAAATTCTGGGGTGCCGATCCTGAAATAGAACAGCTAGACTGAACCTTCTGGCGGAAGCGAGAAAAAAGCAGCTAGAACAGGTTCACAGGGACAGGAAAGCTCATCTATAGGTCTCGTATGGCGACGCAGTAGTATATTGTACTGGTAGCGAGTGCTGAAAATAGCATTCATGAGGTTGTAGAGCTTCGTGAGCGTGGCCGTTTGAGCTACCCCATGTCGTAGATCTCGAAACGGGATGCAGATATTGATCTGTAGATTAACCTTAAATTAATGCTTGTCACTCCACCGTGGTCAGAAACCATGTAACAATCTAACTTCGCAGAGGCTGTTTCTGCAAGGGCATGCACTAGATCTCGAAAGCGTGATAAAAATAACTGCTCAGGCTGCAGCCGCATTCTGGGCCCCACAGGTTGCCAGTACCTCCAGCGATTGGAAAGGCAAACTCCAAAAGGGCATCGTGATGCTTCCAGGCCCGGTCTTTGCCGGTTGACAGCCTTTGACAATACAACCGACTGCGAGAAGTTCGGTGCAATAGATTGAAAATTGATTACAGACGTCAAGTCACGACAGCACACCGAGGCCTGCATGTCGACGAGCGGCTTGGCAGTCAACACCTGGAGCTTGAAAAAAAAGAAAGACCTTGTCAAGAAATCGAGGTAGTTTGAATTCTAAGGACAAACAGCAAAGATACGAGCCAAAGGAGCAAGCTTCCCAGGTATTGAAAGGACAGGTTGCTGCTCTGACATACCCGTGCACCGGATCGGATGCATTGCTGCGGATTGTCTGCGGAAGACGACGACCGCGCCCTCCAAATCTTCTCGCGCAGGAACAGAAGATCCGACAGGCCTTTTGCGAATGCTGGAAGCGGTTGCTTAAGGAATCTTCGTCAGTCCACGTTGCGAAAAGTCCGGCTAAAGGCACCTTTGGAGAAAGCGTCCTGAGCTCGAGAAGTGAGCTCCTTCGCCCCAACACACACACACGTACACCTGGACACGTCAGACACTGGACATTTGAGAGAGGGAAATATTGATGACGGAATAACATTGAAGGATAGTGGATATATTATTGATGTTGAGATTCCGAATCAATTCCACCAAAGTAGCAAGCTGCGCTAGTGGCGATTGCGCCACAAGTGTGGCTTCATGGGATTTGTCAACTTCTCTGACGCATTGATTCGCGACCATCGTCGAGATCTCAAATACCCATTGTACATAAGATACTGCGGAATTCTCGTCAAAAGCGAAGATTGATCATCTGCCTAAACAATACAGTATCTCGAAATACCTTAAAAGTGAAGCGCTGCACGACTTGTAGTCTCGTTGTCCTGTCCTACCTCTCTATGTCATTTCTTTCCCGACTAATCAAGCCGTTCTCCACAAAGAATTCTCCAGCGACTCCTATGGCGATTCCTGCGGGAGCTCAGACGGCTACGGTGGCAGCTGGCTGCTTCTGGGGTGTTGAGCATATGTATCGGCGAGCATTCGCGAACAAGGGGTTGCTTGATGCGAGAGTAGGGTACATCGGAGGTGACACCAAGAACCCTAGCTATCGGAGCGTGTGCAGTGGGCGCTCAGGACGTAAGACGACTCACTCCCCCATTCCGATCGATTGCTGACGATATCGCAGACGCCGAAGCCCTCCAAGTCATATACGATCCCGAGAAAGTCTCGTATAGACAACTTCTCGAGTTCTTCTACAAGATGCACGATCCTACCACGGCGAATCGACAAGGCCCAGATGTCGGATCCCAATATAGAAGTGTCATATTCTTCCACAATGAAGAACAGGAGGGAATTGCAAAGGATGTCACAGATAAGGCGAACAAGGAGTGGTGGAAGGGCAAGGTTGCGACCGAGGTGATTCCAGCGGGAGACTGGTACGACGCTGAGACGTATCATCAGCTATACTTAGACAAGAGTATGTTCTCTCCCACCCCACGGTCATTGGTTGATCAGAGGTTAATTTATACCTAGACCCTGGAGGATATGAATGCCCTTCACATTTCCTTCGTAAGTTTCCCGCGTTGTCAGAATAGGCGGATTTCTTGGAGACGATTGGATCTTGGGCATGACAAATAGATACCATTGAATGAGAACATGTATGAATGAATGTCGTATGTTGTATCAACGCATATGAACTGACTTCGATTCGCTTCGCCTCTCTAAAAAAGTCTTGCTTGTAGCACTTCGGAAGCAGTAGCATGTGAGCAGCAAGTGCTGGTTCCGCTGAGTCGCATCCGCAGGTATCGAGTCGCAAATGCATTTAAAGTTTTGCATTGGTGTTACTAAGTACAAAGATTCTCATCAGCCTGATGACCCATTGACTCCACCAGAGCCAGTAATAGTACAGTTTAGAGACTCCTTCTCCACTCAACTCTCTCTCAACTCTACTCAGCGCAACAACTCCTAGAGTTTAATAAGCAAGGGCGCTTACGATGGGGGCAGAGTGTCAAAGGTCTGCGCAACCTCCTTCTCCCATGGCAACTTGGCCTTGCCAAAGATCTCAGCAGCAGGCTTGAATTCCTTGAGTCCTTGCTCCAGCATCCCGGTGCGAAGTATGATTGTGTCGTCGCCCATAACGGTCTGAAGTTCTTAGCTGAGCAACATGGAAGAGTGATGTGTGCTGACCTGGTGGTGGTACACGTGACTGGTGCAGTTGGGGCAGAAGTAGCAATAGACCGGTTTACCTGGATATCTTGTCAGCTAGATACAAATGAATAGCACAGCCAATTAACTGTACCAGATTCCCCGTAATAAGTGTAACGATTCAGACTGTCCTTCCCCTTTGTGATGGTGAGGTTGGCTTTGGGAATGATTTGGTTCAAGGTAAAAGTTGAGCCCGAGAGGTATTTGCAAGTGTCGCAATGGCTACATTTGGTCAGCATCTTAACACTTACAAAATAAAATCGAGATTTCTGATTGACGTATAACTGGCAGTACTGACCAAAGAATATGCCCCTGCTGATCTTTCTCGAGCTTCGCTGTCCATTCCGTGTTTCCGCAGTGACACTTTCCAGAATAAGACTGCATTTTCGCCGGTTCAAGTTTCAATTATTTAAATAGTAGTACGGTTTCCGATAGCGGCAATAGTAAGAGCAAGCAGACATTAGGGTCCTCAGCGGGTGTAAGAACTTATATAGTCCCTCGAGGTCCCCACGTTCTCCTCTTTGTCCAACCTTCGCAGCCATTCGTCCCAGCTCCTACCTTAGCTCTAGCGGACCCCTCCCATCCCCTACATCTCAAATATCCGAGATGACGTTTTCCTTGCACCTTGTTTCCGGACAAGATCCCTCACCAGTCATACAGCCCAGAACCTTCACCTCCATGTCAGCCGTCCCAAAACATTCGACATTGCTCCATGCCTCCAATTCCGCGGGTGTCTCTCCTTCAAATTATCTCGCTATTGGACCGCAGAGGGCCGGACGACAAAAACCCACTCGGAAGACGAACGTGTAACCAAGTGCTTCCAAATACTTTTGAGGTCTTGGCAGCCGCAAGTGGGGTGGAACAAGTGCAAGGGGCCAGCCTGAAAGGAGCTTGGACGTGAGGGGTGAAGTGATGATAGTGGGGCAAGGCAGAGCTTCAGAGGCTGCAGGAGCTAAGGTCCAGGCGATGATAAAGCAAATCTTCGAGGGGCAGCATTGCGGATCCGCCTCGCCTCGTTGACATGACACGGCTGAAGGTACCGCTGTCGGTGTCTCAAGTTCACCCCCAGGCAAAAGGAACCTGCTGCTTGTGGATTCTTGGGTGCGGATGCAGATGCGGGCACGAGTGCAGGTGCAGGTGCGGGTGCGGATGAGGATGAGGATGAGGATGAGAATCTAAAGACTATACGCGAGATTCTAGTATCCATTAGCTTTTGGAGCCATCTCAAATCAACAGTATCTGGTGCAGGTACGTTTAGCACTCAGGCAACCTTGGAAAATCCCCGTTAATCATGTTGTAGTCCCGGCACCTACTTGAACTATCACAGAATGGAAGCCTGAAGGTGATGTCAGCTCAAGTCGAGGATCGACGAGTTCACTCTGAGTGCCATGGAGACAATCAACCTTTGGGAGAACTAGTTTAGTCTGCGATAAAGATCACTTCTGCTTGATTTATATACAAGTGCTGAATATTAATCACTTTTCCAGCCTTGCAGACCCTGGTCATCACTAAGCAAGTAGAACCACCATCTAGATCGGACAAAACCTTCAATCAACCTCCATCAGCTGGTATCGGCCACCGTGCTTATCTAACGCATCCTCGACTCTCTCCATGGCTGCAAGAACCTTCTCTTCCTCCAAGCGGCGGCCAACTACTTGTACCGCGACAGGCAGACCTGCCATCTTAGTCGCGTCATAATGCTTGTATGCTCCTTTTGCGACTCCATTCAACTTCTTAAAGTTGAAGGTAGAAGGGAGTTGATCCAACGCCGGGTCGACATGAGTGACGGGGATGATACCGGCCGGATAATCCAACTACGATAACATTAGTCCCATACTGAAACAGCCCGAATCAAATATTTACTAGGTTGAACAGGAATGTGTATCCACAGCTACTAACAGCATCATGCATTCCATCATGAGGTACTGCAGGAGTCGCGTTCGGTGGAGTTATCATAAAGTCCATATTTGCTTCTTCAGACCACCAATCGAAGAACCTAGCTTTAAAAGCCTCGCGACGGCCGACAAGTTGCCAGTACTCGTATGCACTCTTTGGATGCCAGTTTCGTAACAAGCCAGCCCAGACACTATCGCCTTTAACATACTTCACCCACAAATAATACAGATACTTGATGGGCCTCGGCAGTCGCATATAGAATACCATTTGGGCGGCACCAGGGTCGTTCCATTCTCCAGTACGGAAGAAGGACATGAATGTTTGGCATCCATCGCTAAGCAGCAATTGCGATGCAATGACAAGAGCTTCATAAGGAGATGGTGGCTCTACATCATAAACCTCATGTCCTTCGGCTTTTAATGCAGAGGCCACCTTCTCTAGGGCACGCGCACATGCCGGGGATGGATCAACGACCCGATCGGTGCGCATTACACCGACGCGGAGCTTCTTTTTCTCCTTGTACTCCGTCTCTATGCTTTCCCTCCATTCAAGGGGATGGACGGTATAGTCGTATTCCCAAGGTTTCATCCCCACAAAGCTTCGGGTAAAGTAGGCAAGGTCGTTCAAGGTCCGGGCCATTGGGCTGAAGACGCTAGGAATAGCTTCCTGTCCGGGCATACTAGTGTTCATTCCCATCTTCGGCCATCTTCCAGTCGAGCACCGTAATGAATAACAGCCAGAGAAGTGTGCGGGTGCGCGGACTGAACCGGCAACATCTGATCCAATACCGATACGGCTACCACCAAAGGCTAGTAGTGCAGATTCTCCCCCTGTTGACCCTCCCGGAGAGTATTTGTTATTGTGTGGGTTCGTACAACGGCCCCAAACGTCGTTGGTAGACTCAAATGATAGAAGGGTCGTAGGAAGGTTTGTCTTGATAAACGGCACAGCACCTAGGGTTGTTAGAGAGGCTCAAGTGAACTGTTCAGGTCTTCATACCAGCATCCTTGAGTATCTTGACCATAGCGCCATCTTCAGCATATGGTTTCCCAGTATTACAGGAATAGCCGACTGATATGTCGAAGCCCTTCACTTGAATCGAGTCCTTCAGGGACACAGGAATACCAGCAAGAGGCCCATTCAGATTAACCTCGTTCTTCGCCCACTCCTCCGCTTCCGGAAACAGTATCTCTGTCGCGCAATTTGTCTTCTTGTGAGCTTCAATGGTGACCTTCCCGTAAGCTCGGAGGATATCGACGGGATTGGTGATTTGCCTGTGAACATCCTGGACGAGCTCCTGGATGGGCTTCCCTAGGATTGTTCGCTCTTGAGAAGTTAGGGGACAAAGGTATGGCTGAGGGAGACTCGCGATCTTCGAGGCGCGCTCTATCTGCTTGCGCTGGCTGTCTTCATGTTAGCTTCCCTGTTGGAGCTCCATGCGGGGGGGAGAGTTCCGCACCAGTCGCGTCTGTGTTGTAGATAGCTCATAAAACCCATTTTGCTGAACTTACAATAAAAGAAGAGTGAATTGAAATCAGAAATCTCTTCTCCCCAACCCCACCACCACCTGTGGTGATAGCCGACTGGTTCACAAAGAGGAGCGCGTTCCGACCGCCTCAAGCCGATGCCGAGATATCGGCTGGACCTGCTTAAATTGGAGCTGATGATGCATCAAGAGCGGAAGCCTCTCCTCACTAATACTAATACTGTGCATCATGAACATCAACTCAACCATTGCATTGATGAATAGCCAACAACTTCCTCTGGGCGAGCTGTACGACTCAGAGTCATGACACTCAGCGCCTCCACGTACGATGGTAGCCAGCTGAACAAGCGAGCATGGACGTTTGCTCTGCATGAGCCCTCTCATCTTACCTCACGTTTCTTCAGCAACACGTTTGACCGACAAGTCGAACAGGCTAGACACATGCCACTGCTCCAAAGCCTCTGATTGAGCCTCTTGCTCTCTAAGGATAGCTCCCGCGCGCGATGCTGGTCGGAGAGCCGAAGTGGGCCGGGGAAGCAAAGAAGCATGCCGTGTCGTTAACCGTCGTCCATCGGAATCATGAAGCAAACTGTGGCTTCAGATCCTTTAGAGCCGCCTGAGATCTCTCCGTTCTGACTGGCCTTGGTCGAACTGCAGTCCTGATTTGGTCAGGGTTTGTTATGCTGTAGCCGCCTGCATCGTCAGTGCCACGGCTCGTCTAAATCGGACATTTTCTGTGGTATTGCGATGCTACGCGCTGATTGGCAGGGCCAGCGACTACTCAAGATTCCATGAAACAGCATACGACTGTTAGAGGCTAACAAGAATAGCAATTGATTCAGCCATCTGATTTTCGAATGATCTTGTTCAAGCAGAAACAAGTATCTCAGATATAAAAGATGCGCTGGACGTAGCATTTGAGAATCATCAACCACTTCAGCACCCAACTCACCTTCTCCTCCACTTCACGAGTTTCCTTTTCTCTTTTCTTTGTTTCATTCCGTCTCTCGGCCGGATCCCGCTCCTTGAAAAGTTCTCTGTCACCACGCATTCATTCGATCTGCTGGCAGGTTACGGTCCATTCTTTGCTACTTAAGCACTTCTTCTGGCCTTTGACGACACCATCTTTTCCAACACCTTTCCACACAAAGTTCCTCAGACATATACGAAACCTCTTCTACCATCACTCGTCATGCCTGTCCCAAGCTATGGAGCCATGCCTTTGAGCAAGACCTTCCTTCTCGTGCGAATTCTTCAAGTCATTTCCATGATAATCATCATTGGCATTTCGGCCAACTTCATCTCTCTCATTGTTTCGAACGGAATAGAGCCTCCTAAAGAGTTTGTCGGAACACTCAGTGTGGTATGAACAACATCTTGTGAAGATGTGATCACGACTAACACTTCTCTAGACATGCATCGCCACCCTCTATGTTCTGGTCAGCATTCCGTTCTACTGGTCTCAAGCCAACCTGGGACTCTTCGTCATGTCCGGTGTGGACTCTCTCCTCCTTATCGCCTTCATCGTCGTCGCGGTGACGGTTGGCAAGCCTCTATCCTTCCTCAATTGCTATGTTATCGGGAAGGCGTCCAAGGAGGTCGATGCCGCCTCCGCCTATGCCTTCACCATGTCGGTTTCCCAGAACCTCAACACCATTGGATCCAAGCTTAACCTTGGCAACTGGGCTGGTGCTACCAAGTCCAACTGCTTCCAGTCCAAGGCTGTCTGGGGCTTGGCCATTGCCCTCTGGTAAGACCATACCATTAATCCGCCGATCAACACGAGCTAATAAGATGCAGCATCTTGTTCACTACCTCCTGCGTTCTTCTCCCAACGCTCTTTTATAAGAATAAGAAGGCCAACACGGCTCCAAAGTCCGTTGACGTCTGAATACCATGATAGGGAGCATGAACATGATTCAGAAAAGGAGCGACCAGTCAGATAGTCAAGCACGGCACCAAGCCAGCCGACAGCCTTTATAATCAAAACCAAATTTAAAAAAAAGGGCACTGGAAGAGGTTAATTCTTTGGGGTCTTGTTTTCTGTCATTCCTTATCAACACCCCGATGGATGAGAGCTCGCGCATCGAAGTATCGGAAATTGTTGGGAGTTATTTTCATTTTTCATTTTTCGTTTAGACATTGAATGTCTCTAATCCTAATGGATCTAAGCAGCCAGGGAATCAATAAAAATTTGTCACTCGTAGTCCCAGTCCCATTGTTGAGTTCACAATCACACCAAGTAAAGTCAACTGATCGTCAACCTCACGCAACTGAATCTGAAGGTGAGCAAGATCGGGGGCTTAGGGGATTGCCGAACATGAGGAGAGAAAAAAGGAAGGAAATTTTGCGAAATGCAGGAGGCCCAAGCTCCTGGAGCTCCCATGACTCGAGGCGCGGATTGGCTTGTGGGTGATATCGCAGATAATAGCGTTTTGGTGGTGATTGGGAAGGAGAAGAGGAGGAATTGTTGCGTGTATTATCCAGCGGATGAAAGAAGTCTACAGAATATGGGGAATAGAGTGTGAAGATGTTGTAATTCCAGTTGGCACAATTCGTAATTCCCCAGCTCTCTCACGCAACCATCGTGATCACGAGGCTTCCCAAATCCCCATGCGGCTGGGAACCTGCTCCAGCCGCCCGCATCCATCATCCGCCAAGCACCCGACCAGACATGTTCCCCCGCTCGTCTCAATTCGCCATCATGTATATAGGGCCTGACCTCTTCTCCTCTTCCTACCGGGGCCAGTCTGCGCATCCGTTGTCATCCCTCGAGCCTCCCTAGTCTTGCCAATTGCGTCACTCTCTTGCGCCCGACGTCATTCACCATTTTTGCTCCCGAATCCTCTTACTGCGCGGGGTCGACTACCAACAGACACCGTGCCAGCCGCTGGATCGCGCTGCCTTGGCTTGACCTCATCTCCGCCGGGCTTGCTGTGTATAGCCGCTGGACTGCGGGGTTGGGGCGAAGTCTGTCAAAATGAGTTTGGCAGAGCGATTGTCGACTATGGAGGAGTATGAGCCGTGGAGCAGAGAACAGAGCCCCGACAGCAGACATCGGAAGATGAGCTTTAATCCTGTGGGCAGCTGGGTGCCGCCAACTGCGCATGAGGAGCCCGTTGGCGCTTTTGAGGTCCCCAAGTGGAAGAGAGTGTGTAAGTAGACTCCGGGGGGAGGTTGTGGCGCGATTAAGATAAGATGGCCTGCTCACTTGTGATGCAGTACAGGTCTTCTTCGCTGTTATTTATTGCCTTTTCGCCGCCGGTGTCGTTTTCGGATACGCCGCAATAAAGCCTGTTCTCATCGAGGAGGAGGTTTATAGGGATTATTGCACCAAGCAGGAGCTGGAGGACAATGTGCCCGTGTGCTACGCCCAGGAGTTGCGGTCAGTATAGACACATTGGACTTGTTGGTAGGTGGAATGCCCGGTGCTAATAGAAACCATTACAGGCTCAACTTGATGTTCACCGTTGCTGCCGTATCCACCAACGTCGTCGCCCTCCCCGTCGGCACAATCCTCGATCGCTATGGGCCCCGAGTGAGTGGGATAATAGGAGCCGTCTTCATCGCAATCGGGTCACTGCTCTTCGCCTTCGCGTGGCATCTCCCCTTCGATGGCTACATTCCCGGCTATCTTTTCCTTGCCCTGGGGGGTCCCTTCATTTTCATCTCGTCCTTCCAACTCAGCAACACGTTCCCACAATACTCGGGACTAATCCTCGCGCTCCTGACCGGGGCCTTCGATACTTCGAGCGCTATATTCCTCTTCTACAGGCTGATATACCAGGCTTCTTGTGGCTCTTTCTGGCCCAAGAAGTTCTTTCTCTGCTACCTCATTGTCCCGGCTTTTATTCTCGTCGTCCAAATATCTGTCATGCCGGCAACTTCCTACAAAACCGTGGGAGAGCTCGTTACCCAAGCCGAGGACAACACAAACGATACTCACGACTCCGACAACGAGATCGAAGACCAGGAGACCGTCCGCCGGCTGCGAGAAGCACGGCGCGTACACCGTGAGAGCGTCGTAAGCGAGATCACAGAGTTGCTCGGCAGTAAAGATGCAACAGAGCAGACCAAGAAGGAAGAAAAGAAGAAGAATATATCTGGCGTATGGGGGGCGCTCCATGGCCGTTCTGCCTCGGAACAAGTCCGCTCCGCCTGGTTCATCCTGATCGCCCTCTTCACCGTCCTTCAGATGACCAGGATCAACTACTTCGTGGCAACCATTCGCGCGCAGTACGCCTACATGTTTGGCGATTACTCCAAGGCTGTGGAAATTAATAACTTCTTTGATGTTGCGCTCCCTCTTGGGGGTGTGATCTCCGTTCCGTTTATAGGTATCATTCTTGATAACACGAGCACTCCCTTCTGTCTCGGGCTGCTCGTTATGATCGCCACTTCCATTGGCATCCTGGGTGTCATCCCTCAAACCTGGGCCGCGTACGCAAACGTTTGTCTATTCGTCCTCTACCGCCCTCTCTACTACACCACTGTCTCGTAGGTCCCCGTTCCTCTGACCATCTGCTCCGCAATCTACATAGTCTAACAATCCCACGCAGCGACTACTCCGCCAAAGTCTTCGGCTTCGCCACCTTTGGCAAAGTCTACGGCCTGATCATCTGCCTAGCCGGCCTCTTCAACTTCTCACAATCCGCCCTCGACGCCCTCACTCATAAAGGCTTCCACAACAACCCCGTCCCCGTCAACATCATGCTACTTGCTGTAGCGTTGTTTATTGGTATTGCCCTCGTGGGATATGTGTATCGGAAGAGTTGGAAGATTAATAGGGAGAATATTGAAGAGGAGGCAGAGAGCGCTAGTGAGACGCTTATGCCTGGCGCGAACGGGGTTAGAGGGAGGGATTATGGGACGTTGGCGAATGGGGTTGGGAATTCCAATGGGAGTGTGAATGGGAGTGGGGATGTGGATGGGGATGTGGATGAGGGGGAAGGGGATGGGGATGGGGAGCAGAGGGGAAGAAGGCATAACATGACGAGGGCGTATTGAGAGGAAGAAAGGGATTGAGGCGGGTGTGAAAATTCAGGCCGTTTTACGATGATTTCTTTTTTTTCTGGATTTGGTCATCATGTCTGATGGGTGGATGGGAGGGATTTCTTCGCATTTCTGTTCTCATCTAGCATGGCATAGCGCGGCGTTTAGTATGGATGTATTCTTCTTTCTTCTCCCACGTTCTTCTGGGATTGGTCTGGCGGGTAGGTTGGTGGGCTGTTTGGATTGCCTTTTCTGCATGGTGCATTCATGGTGGGTTGAAATTGCAATTGGGTGGACCGCTCTTGTGGAATTTGCAGGAGCACAAGACTTGAAATTGGAATAAATCATGGCCACGGTCACAATCACCATGGTGGATAAGGATCCAATGGATGTCCTCGGAAATGTAGATAGTTTGAGTTAGTCATATATATATAAAAGTTAAATATTATCAGATGTGGAGAGAGATATGTATGCAATCCATTCTACATTGCCATTGGGTGTGCTCGTGATGCACGTTGTCGATAGCTGAGAATTCACATATTTGTCAGAAGCATCAGTGTCCAAGACAACGCCATCTGTATGTATATAGTCTCTGCACAAGCTCAAGGTTCAAGCCAAGTTCACCAAACAGACAGCTAGATACTTCTAGGAAATTTACGTTGGATATCAATACTTCATTCAACTTTCTATCCTTCATTCTTTTTCTCTCCCACCCCATCGCCTAGCATCCATTACGTGAGTGTTATCATAATCCCCAACCATAATCATGCTATCTGTGTAGATACCCTTCTCTATCAACATACGTGCGTGCCACTCCTACAATCGTCGAAATCATGAACGAATATCTGAACAGAAGAATAGGTAGGGGAAGGGAAGGGAAGGGATAAGTAGAGAAGAGGAAGGAGAGAAAGTAACATCGATCAAACAAAAAAGACATATTCAAACCCTCAGCCAGCCTGAAAGAGCTTCAACACCAACGACTCCACACCAACTATGCAAACAAGCCCAGATCCAGAAACAGCCCAGGTCAGTCCAAAAGCACAACATTGCTCCTTCGCTACTCTGATGTACCCCTCCTCCAAACCAACCCCAAACTGCAAATCCCCAAATCCAAATCCATTCTCCCCTCTCCTTCCAAGCAGCTCCATCAGAGGACCCAGCCTACTCATCCCGGTAAAACTTCTTAAAAATCAAATGCAAAAACAAATTAACATTCAACCTGACGGCCCCACTGCCGCTTCCGTCCTTCCCCTCCCCAAACAAATTCATAAACTGGTGATTATCAAACTGCGCTTGCAGCAATCCGTCCAATGGGACCTCTGCAAACGCTCCTGGGATCATCATACTACCCTGAGACCCCTGGATCTCAAACACCCCGACAGTATTAGACGATAGTGTCACGTCAATGCGGTCCCATTGCCGTTCCGGATATCCTTGCCAGGACACTAGGATCCCTTTTTCAGCAAGATTCCGCGCGGAGTATTTGAACGAGCCGAAGCGATAGTCGCGGCCGGCTCGTTGGAGTTCGCGCATGTGGTTGTATTGGCGGGTGAATGGGAGGAGGAAACGGCGTTTTCCGCGCTTGTTTTGGAGCGTGATCATCGCTTGTTCGATGTAGTCGTTGTAGGATTTGAGCTGTTGGTCGAGGTAGTGGGCTTTTTCATCGAGGGCGGAGAGCGTAGCGCGTACACCTTCGAGTTCTTTGGCGCGTTGGATGCGGCGGCGGTGTTTTGTGCGGATGTCGATAGCGATGACGTTGAGAAGCTCTTGGTATTGGTTGTGCCGCGAGATGCGGCCGGCCCGTTCAAGTTGGAGGATGTTTTGGAGCGCTTCACGTTTGAGGCTTGGGTAGTCCATGTCGAGGAGGGTGGTGGAAGTCATGTCGGTTGTGTAGGTTGAGGCGGCTGAGGAGCGGAGTCTCTTTGAACGATCGCGATTGTGACTGGCGAGTTCTTCGCGGACAAGAGCATCCCAACGATCCTCATCTTCGGGTGTAATAGGTCGGATCATGATTTCCATGAGGTTGGTGCCGGTCTGAACGCGGATGATGTACAAGACGTATCGCTTAGTCTCCATAAAAAGAGCCTTGACGGCAGCATCGGGGTCTATAACGTTAGATACTGGAAACAGCAAAGCGGAGAGGAGGATAGCATACCTTCTTTGTCGTGAAACTTGGGGTTGAGCGTCAATGTAATTTCAGTTGAGCTTACATGTAGTAGTTCGTTCTCATTGTTCTTTGCGCTGCCAAGTTCACGAATCACTTCTCGAAGAGGGTCGTCTTGGGAGGGACATAGAGTCGGAAGGTCGTCGACGACAAGATTGTGGATGGCGAAGATGTCGGCGAGTTTGATATAAAGTGTCGGTTTTGTACGCGCATACAGGTCGTTGAATTCGTCAATATCGAATTGCGTCTCCGCATCACGGACACTGATTACTAGTAACGAGTTAGTGGTGACATCTGGTTATTGAGTGGTCGGCTTACAGTTGGACCAGATATCTTGCAATCGGTCAATGGCTTCTGTGATGTAACTGTTGAGGGGTTGAAGGTAGACGTTCTCTCCACCGAACAGTCTGCCTGCAGCAACTTGACCTAGGACCTTTGCGACTTCTCCGAGATTGCGATTCATGAGCGGAGAGAGGCCTCGGTCTACTACACCCCAATGCTGAGGTTGTATTAGAGCTGGTTGGAGATATGATTTCCAGACCCAATGACCAGCAATTTGAAGTAGCTGCTCCTGTGCTTCGTACGGGAACCTTTGTCGCAACTCTGCGAACATCTGCGACGCAATATAGCGAACGCCATATGGCATCTTGTGAAGCACTTCCTCCATCATGGCGAAAAATTGGTCTGCAATATCGCGTAGGTCTTGAAGATGGTGGATGAAGGTCTCCCGAGTCTCTGGATCCTTGATAGCCTCTTCGCGGGGAATGTTGGGATCGCGGTGACTCCTTCGGCCTGTTCGGAGCTCTTCGTTATTGATCGCGGACCGGTATATTTGCATCGGGTCACTTTCTAGGTCGAGGCCCTCGCTTTCGATGATATTCTCCTTGATCACTGGCCCGAATACATCCCTTAAGAATTTGCGGTCCCGGGGTGATCGAACGTAGCTAGCGAAGAGCTTTCCCCAGAAGAAGTTACCCCGAAGATACTCTTGTAGTGTTGCACAACCATCTATTTCTTCCTTTAGTGATCGAGCCATGAGCTTCAGCAGATAGTAGTCCTCTCTTCGTTTCTGCGCGAGACCGAAAAGACTCATTGTGAGTTGTTCAATGCGCTTAGTGTCCTTCTCAGCCACAGCCTGTTCTCGAATACGCTTGAAGAGCCTGGCCATATACTGGGGCTGTGTTTGAAGGATAAAAAAAAGCTCTTGATAGTGCTCAAGTTTCCTTCGAGAGTTCTTGTTTAAGGCCTTAAGATCGAATGGGTCTTTGGAAGATATGTCCTTGCTGCTGAGCAGGGCTCCAACGTGACCGCCGAAGTGCTTCTGATGTTTGACAACCTCATCCAGCGTGATCTTGTTTTTGACAAGCAAAGCGATTTTAATATCGAGTTGGTCGATGTATTGCTCCGCAAGTTCATTTTGACGAACGTGCTGGACTACAGTCTTTCGGAGCCGCTCAAATTCTATAAAAAAAAGTTAATGTAAAAATCCTGAAAACAAGTATTCATCGTGCATACCAATTTCTTCGTCAAAGTCGAGATCACTGTCGTTGAGAAGGTGCACAAAGTTCTTGATGGTTGAAACGGGAGGGTTCTTGCCACTCGTCAAGCTCTTGTACGCTTCTCCCTGTTGTCGACCTCGAATGAAGCTTTGGATCTTGATGACCCTCTCCATATTCTCCCTGTAGTACTTCTTCTTCTCGACGAACTTACTCCGCACAAGTAAACCCCGTGCAAGTGCCTGAATCTCAATAATTGCACTCTCATGCTCTTCTACCTTTGCAAGAAGGGCACCGATTTCCATTCTGAGCATCATACCTCGAGCGACACCTTGGAGGTCGATAATGTTCGGCTCATGACTATTGAGCTCGCAGAGCAGTTCGTATGTTCGTTGTCGCTGCACGAACCCTCGGCATGCTGACTGAAGGTCCACGATAGTTGGAGTTTGTGCCTGCAAAGCCTTTAGATCAGAGAAGTGCCTCTGGCGCGACATGAACCCGCGCATATAGGACTGTAAAGAAGTAATGAAAGTCTCCTGCTCTTTTAACTGCTCGAGGGTATCGGCGACTTCTGAGCGAAGCTGGCCTCCTCTTGCTATAGCTTGGAGATCGACAATTTGAGGCAGCTCAGCTCGGAGCGCTTCCTGCAATTGCTTGAGGGAGCTTCTCAAGGAGTTGCCTCGGATTTTGGCATGGAAGTCGGACCAACTGACATGGCTGCTTACCAACTTCTCTTGAATCTGAGCATTCTGTCGTCTCGCGATTGCTCCTCTAGCAGCTGACTGTAACAAGGCGATGATGGACTCATGCTGACGAAGACTCTCTTGATCTGCCCGCAAGGACCGACGCAAAACACTTGCACGAACAGCCGCTTGCAGTTGAACGGTTCCGGTTTCGCTCCCCCTGAGCTCTGCGTATTCTCGGTCGATCTGCTGTCGGATCAAGGCTCCACGGATCATTGACTGGATGTGTTGCACGCCGGCTTCTGACATGCGCGTTTGCTCATAATCATTGCCGACCCTCAGTCGCTCAAGTGCTCCTCGAATGGCAGCCTGGAATTGTCGAATGCCATTCTCATGGCGCTGCATACGGGATTTGGTGAACTGGACCTGTGCCCTAGCTTTCCGGCCTCTGAAAAGGTTCTGCACCTTGAGCACCTCCCATTCCTTGTCCCTCCAGTACTCTTCTTCACCTCGTAACCTTGATCGAACCAGGAATCCTCTAGCGGCGCTCTGGAGGTTTACTGCGAATCGCTTCATATCTAGGCGGTAGTAGGCAATCTGCCTTGCCCAATCGCCTCGTATCCGGGATTGCAGGTCAACAATTATATCCTCATTTTCCCACATCCTTTGCATCATGTTCCCTAATCGTATCCTCAACATGGCGCCCCGAATCTGGGCCTGCAGATCCAGAATGATGGGTTCGTTTTCAGCAAGCTCGCGATCTATTCGGTCTTCGTCGGACTCTACCGGTTCGGGCTCAGGTTCTACGTCGAAGTTTGCTTGCATTCCTGAGAAATTTGGCATGCTGATACCAGATTTGTCGAGACCCTTCTGCATAGCTTCCAGTTCATGGTCCTCGAACTGGAGTTTTCCGACGAGGTTGCCTATGCGGAAGTCGACGATGCCTTTGCGAAACAGAAGCCATGAGAGGGCGTGGATGCAGTAGACAACTTTCGGGACGTTCTTCTTTTCGTATAGATCTACGAGCTCGAAGCGGAACAGCTCTGGGAGTTCAACTTCTGCGAGAAAGCGGAAGAAAAGTGCAATGTTGTCAGAGTGTCGGAATTGCAGTTTGGGATGTCGGAATATCCGCACAGGGCGCCCTTGGATGGCCTGGACAACCTCGGCGAGGGTGACACCATCTCTTAGTGCTTCCTCTAGCTCCACGATGGGAGGAATATCCTTGTGAATGATATCCTCGATCCACTCCTTCGCTTCTCCGATATGACACAAATATTCGTATGCTTGCAGAAATTGCCGTTGCTGGTCCATCCAATTCCTACTGGCCCAGCCTGAAGCGCTGGACTTTTTCCCTCGGGCGGAGTCTGTTCGCTGTAGTCTCCTACGCCCATGTAGCCCGACGACTTCCTGCTCCGGGGACCTAATAGTGAAGTCATCTTCAGATGCAGATTGCGCAAACTTAGATAGAGTTCGAAGATGGCTGGTGGACGACTTGCCGAAGCTCTGTAGGTCGGGCCTCTCGAGATGCGTGGAGACCTGGTTGCGGGACGAGTGGTCGCGAGTCGGCGCTCGTATCGAATCCGCGCGGGAAATTGCCAGAGAGAGGGGGCGAGGTTTGGAGGTTGGAGAAGTAGAGCCGTCATAAGGAGGATACTGGATGGGCTCGACGCTTTGGGACCGAGTGTGCTTTGGACTGTTTGAGGTGCGCCCGGGCTTTTCGACGATGGGAGAGCTCTGAGGGACCGAAGGAAGCGGCCGGAGCGATTTCCGCATGCTCGTGTATGTGTTTCCGGAATCCGTGTCTTCGGAGCCAAAGTAGCTCTCGGTGCGTGTGTGAGAGAGAGTTGTGGCGTCGCTCAAGCCCCGCCGGTGCCCGGAGGTTGGTAGCGGGTAGCCATTTGAGGCGTTGCTGGAGGCATTGGAATAGGCAGATGATCCTGATGATGCATTGGATAGCTGGCGCAGTGGTGAGGGCGAGGTAGCCTGGTGGCCCAGTCTTGTCCGTGGCGTGTATTGATAGCTCATTGCGAGCGCGGATGCCGGGCGTGGTGGTCAGAGGTGAGTCGTCGCGGCATACGTTGTACGGATGTGTGGGGCTGTTAGAAGATTTCCCGTGGTTGAGGCTTCAGAGGCCGCTATTGAAACCGCGATATTATAAGACGGATGGAAGGCGCCTGCCTCGCATGTGCGTCCAAAAAGACCTCTGGAAAAGGTCGACAAAAGTCCGAGTGACCGGGGCGAGCAGCAGCGACCGCACAGCCAAAGAAAGTAATGAGGGATGTGAAATGGCGATAGTAGATTGGAGTTGCGGCGACATCAAGTGTGGCATTGAGCGGGCTTGGGTGTTGAAGAGGAGTGTTTACCATGACAGGGTTTGTTGTTGCCCCGTGCGACTGGCACGTGCCAAGGATCTCCCCGCCACAGCATCGACACCCGACCCGATGCATGATGCAAGAGAGCCTGCGACGACCAGATTGGACACGAAGCAAGCCAGAAGGCGTTGGAGGGGGGGTGGCCAACCGCCTGCAAAGATTTGCATTCTTTGGGCGGATAGATTCTGATATATTCCGTAGCCAAGTTGCTTTGGCATGCTAGCTTTCCCCTGGGCAAATCACGGAGACAATGGCATCTGGGACCGCTGCAAATCTCTGTGCTTTTGGTTGATACCACCATCGCCTCTTGCCTGTCGTGGCGCGATGTGCAGTGTGAGAAGTGCCGTTGACACGTCGAGTCTCGACCTAATAGAGACGTGCTACCCTCCCTCTCGTCACACTAAGTTAGTCACGTGATATCAATGCACGGACCATTCTCCGTTCCGCACAAAAACTTTTCGCGACCGTGGGACTTCTTGCTCTTGGGAAAAGCCCGCCACTTTTTCCCGGCCATAGCTTCGCCCTCGATCTGTGGTCTATTTTCTTCCGTCGTAGCCAAAACTTGCTTGTTTGTTTCTTTGGCAAGCCCTTTCATATTCGCAATGCCTATTCTCAAAGGCGAGTCCATGGCTGAGACCAGTCCCGAGGCCCTGGATTTCTCCAAAGCCCTCGACGTGCTCAAGAACGAGTACCCTGAGCGCGACGGGATCCACGTCAAAACGCTCCTTAATTCCAAGGTCAACGGAGGTCTGACATACAACGATTTCCTCATGGTTCCAGGATACATCGGTACCTCCTCAGAAAACCCCTCCTCGAGAATGGCTCTAAATGTATCAACTCAGGTTTCCCTGCCTCCGATGTCACCCTTGACACTCCAGTTACCAAGAGAATCACCCTCAAGACTCCCTTCGTCTCCTCCCCCATGGACACGGTGACTGAACACAACATGGCTATCCACCTCGCGCTCCTTGGTGGACTGGGTGTCATCCATCACAACTGCTCCGTGGACGAGCAAGCGGAGATGGTACGTAAGGTCAAGCGATTCGAGAACGGCTTCATTCTGGACCCTGTTGTTATCTCGCCGCAGACTACCGTCGCAGAGGCAAAGGCCTTGAAGGAGAAGTGGGGTTTCGGTGGCTTCCCCGTCACAGGTATGCATAATATGTTTCCTTGCGGCATTCTCGCTTTGACCGATTTTCTGTGATGATCAAACTTGCCCTTTTAACTTTCGTTCATCCGCAACGATTCCGTCGTGCTGTGGAACATTGGAGATTTCTGTCTGAAGAAAGCTTTGTTTGCCCCTTCGCTTTTCAGTGTCGCGACAAGCGCTAAGCTGACAAGCGCGATATAGAGAACGGCACCCTTCGTTCGAAGCTCGTTGGCATAATCACTCCACGTGATGTTCAGTTCCACGACAACCTGAATGATCCTGTTACTGCTGTCATGTCCACTGATCTGGTCACTGCTCGCCAGGGCATCGATCTCCATGAGGCCAACAACATCCTCAGCAAGTCCAAGAAGGGCAAGCTCCCCATCGTTGATGAATCGGGAAACCTCATTGCCTTGCTTTCTCGCTCCGACCTGATGAAGAATCTTCACTACCCGCTGGCCTCCAAACTCCCTCACTCGAAGCAGCTGATTTCCGCAGCCGCCATTGGCACTCGTCCCGAAGACAAGATTCGTCTTCAAAAGCTGGTCGATGCCGGCCTCGATATTGTCGTGCTTGACAGCAGCCAGGGCAACAGTATGTACCAAATCGAGATGATCAAGTATGTCAAGGAGAAGTACCCAGGCCTCGATGTGATTGGCGGAAACGTCGTCACCCGGGAGCAAGCCGCTTCTCTGATTGCTGCTGGAGTTGACGGCCTCCGCATTGGTATGGGCAGCGGAAGCGCTTGTATTACGCAGGAGGTCATGGCAGTTGGTCGGCCGCAAGCTACCTCAGTCTACAACGTCACCCAGTTTGCCAAGCGATTTGGTGTTCCTTGCATCGCTGATGGCGGAATTCAGAACGTCGGCCACATCGTCAAGGGTCTCGCTCTCGGTGCAACTACCGTCATGATGGGCGGTCTGCTTGCTGGCACCACCGAATCTCCCGGCCAATACTTCGTCAGCCGTGACGGTCAGCTCGTCAAGGCCTATCGTGGTATGGGGAGTATCGATGCCATGGAAGACAAGAAGGCAGGTGCTGGTAGCAAGAATGCAAAGGCAAGCAACGCTGGTACTGCCCGTTACTTCTCTGAGGGGGACCGCATCCTCGTCGCTCAGGGTGTTTCCGGATCCGTTCAGGATCGTGGCTCAATCACAAAGTTCGTCCCGTACCTGATGGCAGGCGTTCAACACTCTCTCCAGGACATTGGCGTTAAGAGCTTGACGGAGCTGAGAGAGGGTGTGGACAACGGCACGGTCAGGTTTGAGCTGAGAACCGCCAGCGCTCAGGCTGAGGGTAACGTGCATGGGTTGCACAGCTTCGATAAGAAGCTCTATTCGTAGATAAATATTCAGCATCCAAGAGGCGTTTTGGGAGGCTTGCTATATTATTCTAGATGCTCCAGTGGTTGATGGGATATGGGACTGATATTTACTGATTAGGCATAAAAGTAATGATACCATGCTTTGACGTTTATTTGCACAATGTTAAAGATCACATTCCTCTTGCCTTAATTTTAGCCTGCCGAGCGATATCTTAAAGTTTTAGTTGTGCTCGACTCTCGCTAACTTTGTCACGCACGTAGATGTCGAGATCCCTACCTCGGCATCTCAGGCTCCCCGCGTCATGATCGCTCACCAACCACCTGCCTGTCATCCATCATGGCCATCCCATGTCCCAGATTAAAACAACATTCTCTGGGTTACTATGCCAGTAACCCGTATTTCCTTTCCCCTCATCCAGGTTAATCGCGTCCAACAACTTAGACTCCTAAATTCATATAATCCAATTCTAGGAGCAACAACATTCCCTCCACGCCGACAACTCGCGCATCGTAGAGAGCTTAATTATCCTTCAATAGAGAGACCTAGATTACGCAATAAGATTGGGGGCTTGAATGCTCGTAAAATGAGTACACCAGCGGATCATACGCCGCTAGCTAAACCGCCCAAGATTCCTGCAGTCCCGAGTCCTAGTGCTAGGTCGGTTTCCCCGCCCCGTCCTTCACGACTCGCTCCCAAATCTACCTCCAGACCTGGCCAAAATTGAGCCCTAGCTAAAATATACCCAGTGTCCTCGTCATCTCCCCTACAAACCAAATTCTCCTCCTCCACCGGGTCCGCACATCCTCCTCCTTTGCCTCGGCGCACGTCTTCCCCGGCGGCGCGCTCTCTTCTACGCACGATGGTACTATACCCGGCGTTGACGACCCGATGAGGCATCAAGACGGGCCTGCATATCGAATGGCAGCGATACGGGAGACATTCGAAGAATCCGGGATCCTCCTAGCCAAGAGCAAGAAAACCGGGCGTCTGTACACCGAGATCTCCGACGAGGAACGAGAAGAAGGGCGACGAGGTGTCCATTCCGGAAAAGTGAAGTTTGTGGAGTTGTTGGAAAGATGGGGTGCGGAACCAGATGTAGCGGCACTGATACCATTTACCCGCTGGATCACCCCTCCGAATGTACCCAGGCGGTTTTCGACACAAATGTACATCTATTTCATTCCCCTAGGCTCCCTTTCCCCTACGAAAAGCAGATCATCTGGAACACCCCCAGGGTCGGGGTTAGAAGAGGAAGAAGAGATTTTCATTCCCAACCCAACGCACGATGGCGGGATCGAGCATACAGCAGCGCGGTTTCTGCCACCAAATAAATGGATAGATTTGGCGCGACAGAACCGGATTATCTTATTCCCGCCGCAATTCTTCCTCACCCTCATGTTAGCCCCGTATCTCGCGAGCACGGTCACAAGTCCGAGTTCTCCGATCCCAAGCACGCAGGAACTCCAGCTCGAGCGTGAAAGACTTCTCGATTTTCTCTGCACACCACGCGTTTATGAGGGGAAGGAGGAAGTTAGTTTCGCGGAGGCATGTATATCACCCCTCGTATTAGGAAAGGGAAAGTACGGCGACTTGCAGCAGGATGGTGTTGGGGGCGTGGGTATGGATACGGCTGTTCTGACACTGGACAAACCCGGAGAGGAGGTGGAGAAGCAGGGGAAGGAGCGGAGAGGAATTAAGGAGTGGATTATCACGACGAGGTTTAAGGGTGGGGGAACGAGGAATGTGGCTGTGTGGCGGAGGGAGGAGGTACTTGGGAGTTTGAAAGAAAAATTATAGGTGGAGACATTTATTGTTGAATTTAGACCTTTTAAGTACATATTTGTAGGTGTGTAGTCCGTTGTCCACACCACGGACTGACTGCAAACAAGAAAACCCGGAAATTTAAAGTGGCACGGAGACAAACAGGATAGAATCCCACAGACTAAGTAAAGATTGGTTGGTATAACCTTTCAGGGATAGCTTTGAATGGTTGCTCAAATTTGGATTCGGCGCCATCATGACCTCACCTCTCACTTTCTCCTCTATCCTCACTCAAGCTCAACGCTTCCTGCCCCTAAACCTGACTACGCATGCCAGATTTAGCCATCCGATGACGCAAAGACGATAAAATACTTTTGACCAGTTCCGAGCAGCGTCGAAACTGCGACGAGAGAACACTAGAAGGTATCATTACTTCACGCCGTAACGTACTTCATGGGCGAGTTGCTCACACACCTGAGTCGCTTACTTTTGCTAAGACCCCACCAAACTACTCTTCCTACACTAATGCATTCCCCACAACACTACTTAGACGTGCTAAAAGAATGTTAGATACAGCTTACACTCTAAGCTTTTAAATAAAACATAAAACTCTTAAAGAAATATACTATAGCTATATATAAAGTCCTATAAAAGATAATAAATAACTATAGCACTAGATAACCTTTACAAGCTAATTCTACAGCTAAATTATAAAGGCTAGGCAATAAAAAAAAGTAGGTGATTATTAAAACTATACTTAAGCTATATGCGCAAGGAATTTCCCCTTAGATAGTATTTATAGCTAATATAGCTAATTCTTTACACGCTAAGCATAATCTAGGCTATGTTTACATAAACTAGCCTAGTATGTTTATAAAGTGTTATTTAGAGCTTAAAGTAAAGTTTTAAGCGTAAGTATAGTTAAGAAATATCTAGCTAATTATAAACCCTATCTTGCTAAAGTTGTACATGTTATTATTCTAGATGCTATACTTAGCTTTAATATTCTTTATAAGGCTAAACCTGCCCTAAATTACCCTAGGACTCTTATAAAAGGCTCTCTTATAGTTATACTTACGCTTAAATGTTACTTTAAGCTCTAAATAACACTTTATAAACGTACTAGGCTAGTTTATGTAAACATAGCCTAGATTACGCTTAGCGCGCAAAGAATTAGCTATATTAGCTATAAATGCTATCTAAGGGGAAATTTCTTACACATATAGCTTAAGTATAGTCTTAATAATTACCTACTCCTTTTTATTACCTAGCCTTTGTAATTTAGCTGTAGAATTAGCTTGTAAAGGTTGTCTAGCGCTATAGTTATTTATTATCTTTTATAAGACTTTATATATAGCTATAGCATATTTCTTTAAAAGTTTTATGTCTTATTTAAAAGCTTAAAGTGTAAGCTGTATCTAACATTCTTTTAGCGCGTCTAAGTAGTGTTGTGGGGAATGCATTAGTGTAGGAAGGGTGGTTTAGTGGGGTCTTGGCAAAAGTAAGCGACTCGGGTGTGTGAGCAACTCGCCCATGAAGTACGTTACACCCTTCTCATCTCATGCAATGTCGCATTCTGTGTACTAATTACGCAATAATTTCCAAATTATAGAACCACCCAACACACGAGATGCCAAAGACAGCATCTATCCCGCCATTGCTAGTGGCTCCAGTGGATACTCAAAAACATACAGCTATCGAGTGTTGCCCCTTGCTCGCCTGAAGAAGAATAAGGGCTCGATGTTATCGAACTTCACAGTCACCACATAACGGCAACAGTTGTACGCCTCTGTTTTCGACTTTATGTGTACATATTTGGCTTTATCGCTGGGCACGTAGATATCTAATCTCGCGGGAAGCGGAAGGCGGTATCTCGGGATGTCCACGATTGTCATTACGACTTTCCCTCGTACTTAATCCGCGCACAATTTTTAGTCTCCCTGTTTCAAGTAAGAACTAGTTTCCCCTACCTTTAACATCTTTCGAATTTCTAAGATACAGGTTGCCAGGAGGATTTCACGAAAACGACGACTGGACTCGGACTTGCCACGGTTCTCGCCACTTTACTAGAGAGCATCTAGCGGATGCTTTGGCTTTCATCATGAAGCTTAGCTACTGAATTGTCTCGTTAGTGGATGAAGGCTTTTGGTAGTGGGTCAAGATCTACGTCCGTAAACCATCAGCATATCGTGAGCAGCAATAGACGTTCGGCCAGCGTAGATGCGACCCTCAATACACTCACAAATGATTTCTCTGCTCCACACTGCATCAATTCCACCACCAGCATAAGCACTGGACAGTAGGTGCATAATTATTTGCCCTTCTCACCTACTATCACCAGTTAGCTGTGGAGTCCTATTATGCTAGGTTGATAGAAATGAGAGCGGAAGTTTCCCTAACCCAATGGAACCAAGGAGGAGAGAAGGTTTTCCACAACATTCATATTCTGCATTCCTTCACTGAGATTACAAATTTCTCGAGACCCGAATGCTCAGGTCGACGCATGGAGAAGACCCTGCAAAGAATCAGAGAACTCGCATTAGGACCGAGCGGTGGGGACGAGGTGCAGCTGCAGCAATACTCGGGTTTGCAAGTAATCATCGGCTTTGCAGTACGTAGGCATTGCTTGATTGCTTTCCCACCACGTCGATAAAGATCTACCCTAGTATCGCCGTCACTTCCGCGGCTAAGATGGCCCATGATCGCGAATATCTATTTCGTAACTATGATCATCCGCACCAATCGCCCTCCTGTGCATCAGAAGACAATCAGTTACATAAAGGAAACTGCGTCCTTGTCGAATTCGCCTATGCGCCGAGTTCAAAAGGATATCAGAGAAATTTGTATCCATTTCATCATCCTGTGAGGCTTGGGTGGACCTACAAGAGGGCATCTTGCAGCGATGCAAGGAGACCGCTTCAGAGCCAGACAAAGTCTTCGAATATGAACTAGCAAAGCCGCCCAGGGTGATACAGATCAAGACGGCTATGTAAATACAACTCGTCACTATGCGGCGGATGATACTTTAAGGTATATAACCATACTTTCCGGACTTCTCTATAATACTTCCTCGATTTATCTATTGTTTCTCCACGGGCCCGGCTCTTTTAAACTTTCCCCAGCCTCGTGGACAGCACCTTTTCCCTACCAGTATTACAATTGCTGACGGTAGTAAGCTACCTCCTCAGGCTCCCCACTCTCTGTGGGGATATTTTAGTGAATCTACAGAGACGAAGGCTGTTAGACTTAACTGCCTCATAGAGCGTGCTAGGTCAATGGGCGTAGGATTTTGGTGGGGTTCATTTCGGACTTAGGAATCGTTCAACCAATTTGCACTGGAGATAGACGGATCAACTCTCAACGGCACCAAGCTTTATATGGTAAAGAGCGGCAAACTGCATGCTTAGAAGGTGGAGGAACATGAGGCAGATGCTTGACGTCTGGAGAATTGCAATACCGGAAGAGCAGCTAGATGCAACTTCATTACCAAACCCATCGCCCACGGAAAACAGCGCTATATCCGCTTTCTCTCTCACCACTTCATCTATGGGTCATCAAACTTCTCCGCCAGGTTCCACACCCTCAACCTCCAGCTTTCTCCCTACTCTGAACCTTGCCACCTTTATCTTCGTCTACTGCTGTCATACGGGCGGAATCATGGCCGCCCCTGCGGGATAATCAAAGGCTTTCGAAGAGCTCGAAAAGAGCACCTTGGAAGGCATCATGCCAGGCTTTCTGTTTGTACACAACCCGTTCAAACCATTCACTGAGCAGATTTCTCCACACATGGTATAATCGACATTAGGACATCTACGAGTCACAATAAGGCGCACCTATGGGAGTAGCTTTTCGCTGCAATAAGAGAGTTCTTCAATAAGAAGCCAGAGCTATGTGCTGAGGCAGATAATTTTTGACAAATTATGGGAATTCAGAGGAGGATGGGGGTCTGATGAGTCCCTTAGGCCATATGGTAATCGGAGGGCTTGCCATGAAACGGTTGTTAAGTAGAGTATACCTGAATAATATGGGAGTGCTGTTAACTACGAAGGTGAAAAACTGAAGATGATAAACGGAAACATGAAGGACGGAAGTGACTAAGTTTTGTATTGGAGAGGATGGAGCACCAGCAAAAATCAAGAAGTCCTCACTTAGGTTGCACTCACAATTGGCACCAGAAGACGTTTTATAAGTGGAGCTTCCATTTTTTTTTGGCTACCACACTTTAGTTGAGTCCCTCGATGCATGACGCCCATCACACTAATCCCTACCATATCGTCCTCCATAATCCGTTTCTATAGAAGATACGATCGTTTGAATTCGTTGCTAGAATAAGATATACTATTATTAGAATGAATGCCATTGTCAGATAGGAGATTTACTCTACACAGTGGCTGCTTTCCACGTCGTTCACCTCGCAACCCCTTCCTTATCAGTCACAAAAATTACACGTGACCTTGCAGTGTGGGTAAGCTTTTTTTGGGTCTATTTTATGATGGGTTGTTGAACCGTAGGAGCTGTCCCAGACATACAAGCTATACTACATGTCACTTTAAATATGGGTACCATTATTAAACCTAGAATACACAGCTCAACTCTCTATAGCATTCCTCTTGTTAACCCAGTCCACCAATTCCGGCACTGGTATGTTACCCCAAACGCGAGAATCCCCTGATGATAACTATTTTCAGTCTGGATATTATCATCCGCATTGCACATGACACTTTGTCTGAGAAATTCTATGCAATGCAAGGAATGGTCCATGTCAATTTCACGCTCGAAGCTTGGGGCCGGCTCCGAATTTTTGAGGGCCTGTATAATATCGTAGTCTTGGTAAAATTTCTTCCGGAGAGCATCCTATAGTCTGCGTGAGCTGGTTGTGTCAAATAATGGGTGGGTAAGAACATACTACACAGTGCAGTTGGTGAAATCCTGCAAACCCGGTTCTTTGGGGTCGAGAGTCTGGCCACTCGAATAGCCCGTGTTTATCCTTGGGATACAAGCTGACCCAAAGCTCATCGGTCTCTTGAGAAGGGGGTTGAATGTATGAGCGGTTTGAGATGAACGTTTCTTGAATTAGGTCGACTAAGACTGCGTCGTCACTAGTTCTTACTACGATTTTAGTCTTGACGCTTAGAAACTCACGTTGCAAAGGATGTGGTATCTTCTCTCCATGAACCATCACCATTCTCTGCTTCACACCCTGTGTTACTGAATCTCCACCACCGTTTGCAATTATCTTTTGTGCCGTTCGAGAAGCGAGGTATCCGGAGCTTGCTCCCGATATTATAGAAGTGCATATGGCAGCAAATGCGAGGAGAATGTAGAAAGTGCGTTGTGTACGTGGCGACGTATGCTTTTGGCGCCTTTCTTGAGATATTGGGAGAAGGTGTACTGATGCTTCGGAGGAGCCGTCTAGATAGTCTTCGTACTCCCTTTGTGGGAACATTTTGAGTAATACTTCTTAGAAGTAGAGAGAACAATGGAGGAGAGGTGAAATGCAGAACGTGACTAGATTTAGTGAATAATGTTGGAGTTGGGCCTCGACCTAGGTTGTCAACATTCGATCCACATGAGAAACACCAGGTTGACGAACATCTAGTAGAAGGGGTTTCCAGCAAGGGGATATCTTACCTATAGTCTCGCTTTTCAAATCCTGTGCCTTTTCCACGAATCTCCGATACCAGGTCCAGATCTATCTGCACACCTCGGTCAATTACGTCAACCAATGAACATGCTCACCCGTATCTCCATTCCTGGTTAGTTAGTCACTTATGCAGCCTACGCGGCCGCGATGAACCAAGGTGTCACAATGTATCGCACAGCCTTGTTGGACTTCCCCCAGCTCCATATGAACCAATATTCGCATGTAGAAATACCTCGGCACTGTGGAACTGGCGTCCCGATATGCAGGTGGTTTCGCCGACCGAAACCCGCGGTAAACCTCGGGGAATTAGAACGTTACATCGCGCTCCACAATTGCTTGATCGAGCTTGATCTTGATTCATCGAAGGCAGAAGATATTCGGAGGGGTCATAGAGGGGTTGTGTTGGAGTCCAGCAGATTCAATGTATTGCAAAAGGCGAGGAAGGGGTTCTGGTCTTGGTTGGGTACGAGCACTTCGATCGTAGGTATTAATTCAAAGGATGGGGGTTTGAGGGGTTTGGAGTGTGTGTCAAGGTTTAACTCATTTAATTTTATATCACTGCTTAAAGCTAAAATGACGGTAATGAGAAGGAAATAAGAAACAAGTAACATGGTTCAAAGATTCTAACACATGTGCAGCACCATAGCTCGTCCTTATAAAGTGTGGCTAGATAGACTACCACGCCTTACCTGCACTGACTGTCTTTATTCATGAAAGACAATTTAATATTCCATAAAGAAAGCTCTTCTAGTTGACAGATTAAGATATGATTCCGACCTGCATCTAACCGAGATATCTAGCCGAATCCAATTTTCTAAAAGTCGATTACCAAAAAATGAAGTACGCCACAGGCACCTTTCTCATAACTTCATGAAAACGAACTCCCGGGACCCAAACTCTCACGCTTAGAACTATTCTGCGTAGAGCTTCTCCTCGGGGTAGATAATAGAGTCATCGGCGTCAGATTTTGCGTCGGCGGCTCGCTTGTACTCCTCGGCGTAGAGCTTTTCTTCGGGGTAGACGATTGCGTCATCGCTGTCGAGAGCTTCTGGTGTTATGGCACATGAATTGGGGTTGCAGTGAATCCAGGGTGCGAGGAGCTTACTTCGCTTGACTACATCGATGCGTGTGTTTGTGTTTGTGTTTGTGTTTGTTACCGGAGCGGCTATAGAGAGGGCGCCGAAGAAGAGCGTGATGATGGTGGAAGGTTGCATTGTGAAGTTGAGTGCAATACTTGGCAAAATGAGAGATATATGTGTTGTTTTGTATCTTGTCTTCGGAAAGCAAAATGAAGCTAAATTCCTTGAGATGATGTTTTGATGAAGGTGGGTGAAAATTGAAATCTTGACGGTGTGAAGTCAAGGGATTATTTAAGGATGAGGGGGGATGTTGAAGAGATAAGGGCTTCTCAAAGACATGAATAGCGGATTTCCTAGTGTAGCTTTGTCGGGTCGATCTGACCCTTAAAAGATACGCCATTAATGGTCCCTCGGAGAAGGTACACGTCCGTTCGCAACACTGGCTTGTTTCTGATATAGATTTTGAGAGGGACAGCTCGTGGTTCGAATTTAGGCCTAGGCTCAGGTCGGTCCATTCTTGCCAAATGGTGCTAGTGTTGGATGCCTTTGAAAATTCTCAGCCTACGTAGTATGGTAACATCTGGTCCCCATGACCGGAAACATTGGTGGAATCGTGACCGGAAACACCGGACAGGGTGGGCACATATCTGGTTACATACGATCCTGGGCCTAGTGCTTGAAAGAAGGAACCAGGATACCGTGGGAAACTAGAGACCTATTGTGGGATCGAATCTACTTGGACCGGTGGACGAAGAAGCCCCACACCAACATGCAGGGTATGTCGAAAGGAAGTGCGCCCGCGCCCGGAATTCAGCACAGAGTAGTGATCCGTACGGTGGCTCTAAGCTTACGTCCAACAAGTGCGAAGGCCATATATTCCCAGCGTTCGAAAGTTTTTGTCACAGTGCCATCGCCAGTTACAATGGAAAAGCTTAAGGGTAACGAAGAAGAGGATTTCCTCCTTCAGGGATCAAGCGGCGGTATTCTAAAGAAACCAAAGACCCTGCAAAAATTGAGCCGAAAATTTGCAATTTGGATGCATATCTCACTAATACTTGTCTACACGGCAGTCAGTGTTACGATCATCTGTTCTTTCCTTCCTGCTTCTTCAGAAGAACGACGAAATGGTACGTATCCTCACTCCCAACCTTCTTGTGTCTCCCTGAATGCTAGTTAGTCCTTAGTGGTTTGACCCTTACTCACCACTACATCCAATATCCCTTCCTCTGCGAAAGCCCCTACATTGGTGACCCCAACCCTTCGGTCGACACAGCCTGGCACATCCTACTGGCCAATATGTCTCTCCGCATTACTCTGTCTGAGCTCTCGACACACTCTCAAACGTCGGTGGGACTCCTAGGTGGCGGGTACCTAGCTTGGCTCGGCGTCTACCATGAACTCCACTGCATCAAATTCCTACGTCACGTCAACTACCGCGACCACTACTTTTCCAACGCAACCCAAGAAGAGCTGCGAGACATCCAAGTCCATGCAGATCATTGCTTGGATACATTACGAAATGCAGCTATGTGTCACTCGGACACCGAAAGCCTTACTACATTCGTGTGGGAGCTTGGACGCGAGAAGCCGTTGCTGTCTCCACAAAGGCCCTTTCATCGGTGCGTCGATTGGGAGGGATTCGTAGAAAGTATCGTGGACCGGGTTGTGAGTGAGGAGGAGATGGGCCGATTGAGGAATCCGCTTGGTGGTTGATGGATGTTGAAGGCTGCTGGGATTTCGGAGACCGAAGAGAGAGCGGGGTAGAGTGTGGGACGGAATGTGGGTTGAGATGATCTTAAGCTGTTTTGGCTCCAAGTAGTGGGGCAAATCCTTGCAACTCCCTCTGAGATCGACAAGGGCTATGATGTTTATTTGCACAGCACGTGCCCGGAAGCATCCCTTTCTATTCCGAAGCTTACGCACGCCCATGATCGTAACGCCTGCTGAAGAACTTCCCTCATCTGTGGACACCTTTAGAACCTCTAGCGTCTGTGACTAAGATTTATTTCCGGAAGCTGAAGAAGGGTTCACTGCCTGATTCTCTGACGTTCAGCTGAGAGATCGATGTTGCAAAGATCTGGGACGCTTTGCTGTGCCCTGCCCACTCTTCGATTTGCTACTTGTTGGACCGGGGAATCTCTACGATCGGCGCGGTCGACCCAATAATTTTGATGCTCTCAGATTAGACTTTTCGCAGGTAGCGAACATGCTGCCTTCTACCGTGGATGATCTCATGCAAGCTGACAGACTAGAAGGCCACAAGGCCCCAGGAATAATCAAAGTGAACATTGATTGCTCGCAGTTTAAGACTACATAAAGTATTGCAGCCACGTCAATCCCTAGATTGCCTTAACTATCGCTTTCTCAAGGCAGGTCCACTGAGACCTGTGTTGCACTCAAATCAGAGAAACTCGGCTTCACAAACGGGCCTGTAGACTCTACGCTTGGAGGAATGGAATCTCCAGAGTCTTTAATCGCCCGCGCGAGATAAGAGTGCGTAGTAGACTTCCCAGTAGCCCAACTGAAGAGGCGGTTGTCCGAGATAAAACGATCGTAAAGAGGCTTCATGGGTAGAATGCTTCCGCAAGCCAAGACAACGAAGTTTTCAGCGCCGCTCCAGACGACTAGATCGTACGTGTCCCCTGTGGCCATCAGCAGGTGTTGATGGAAAGATCGAAGATGGACCTACAGGTAATATCTGAACGGGCAGTGAGAGAAGCTAGATAGGTGATCTTGACAATCCCAACAGCAGCAGCGAACAACCCGAGACCCATCAGAATACAGAGTGCGATACGTCGTCTAGAAGGCATATTTAGGGTTGCAATGAGGCTACTCGGCAGCAAGCCTAGTATGACATCAGCTGTAACGTTGATAGCTAATGGAGGTTAGCACCAAGTTATTACAGCAGGAAGCATAAACGTACATCCCTGGAAGATGGAGAAGTTTTTCTGAACATTCGGATCCCAGCATTTACTATGAACCCTGTGGTCCTAAAGTGCTCGAGCAGGGCTGCACTGGACATATGTGAAGATGGCATCCAGTGTATTCGTCATTAGAAGAACGACCATTACGGCCCAAATAACAGGAAATTGCCAGTTCCTCTAGCCATTGATAGGTCGAACAATCCGGTTGAGGAGGAGACCAACGGAAAGCTTGGGGGGAATAAAGGCCAGAATACCAAAGCACTGCATGATGTAATTCCATTTGATAGCCTCCATTATCTCAGGAGGCGTGAGAGTAGCGAGGTGCTTGAAGCCTCCGATCAATGCTGCATGCGTGCAAATTCCGGCAAGCGCAATTTGCATGACCTGCCCTTCATTTAGAACATGGTTAACGTATCCGCGAGAGAGAAATACTAAAGCTAGAATTATCATGTAGTCATCTGCACTAATGGTGGAGCTCAGCTTTCGAGCGTACACTCTCAGTGAGACGACCACGATGGCGGCCCCAGCCAATGCCCAAAAGATGGCAATAACGGCTCCACCTCAATCACCTTCAACCTTCTGGACTTGTGGATCTTGAGAAGTCATGGCCTTCGAAGAACTGAAGAGTGTTCAGGAATGTTGAGAGAAAACCGATAATGGTAGATAGTCGACCAGATACGCCCAACTGGATATACACCGGAATTATATTGCTTAGCCTAGGTCGAAATGTTAGGTACCTTAGCGGGCGGACTTCGTGTCCAGGTAACGGTGCGCCCCATAAAACCAGGCAGGATAAACGGGTCTCAACCACAACCCTACCCATGTGCCTACAGTTGGTAAATCCGTTTGACTAAATGCAGTACACGGTGGTGTTAGGTTTGCATGCAGGGATCCACCATGTCGCCGCTATGGGTGTCTGTGCTTAGCCAGACCTAGAAAGGGACGCGGGATATGACTTTCACCTGTATTCCCCAACTGGTGCATGCCTAATCCGGGAATCAGCTCTACGTAACGGAACACAAAAGCCCCGCAAGCGTTTTTGACCTTACAACTATTAAGTCCCCGTCATAAGAGGGGGATAAACTACGTTTTCTGTTCCACGAAAGGCGTTCGGGAAGCGATTCACATGGAAACTCTTATCGAGAAAGTAAGGCAAGAAGCTGCGCAAGTTGACGAGGCAGGAAGGAAGAAGCTGCTGAATCAGCTACGGGACCTTCAGTATGAGGTTGAGAAGCCGGAGGATACTATGCAGAGAATAATTCACCTAGTGGGTTGTGTATCAGCTATTCAAGCGCGAGTGCTAACTTCAAGAAGCATCTCGTTCTCGCCACGATCCGCATGGCCCTAGATCTCGACATCTTCTCCCTCCTCACCTCCGTGGCACACCCCCTGACACTTGCACAGCTGTGCGAAAGCACGAAAACTGATGATATCCTTCTTGGCCGCGTTCTACGACTCCTCTCATCCTTGGGCTACATCAAAGAGACATTAGCGAACACCTTCGCAGCGACACCTCTCTGCCACACTTTGTCTGTGCCTGAAATCCGCGCTGGCGTCTATCGCAACTACGATGTCTTCGGCCCAGTATACCAGGAGCTCCCGTTCTTCCTTAAGAGGAACGGATACCAGAACGTGACGAGCCTCACCGACGGTATATTCCAAGCAGCTTGGAAAACCAAGGATCCATTGTTCACCTGGCTACACAAGCATCCGCGAGAAACCGTAAACTTCAACCTCTTTATGAAAGCTCAGCGGTCATCGACCCCGAATTGTTTTGAGTTCTACCCCATCGAGGAGGAATGCAGGGACTGGCCTGCTGATCGCGCGGTTTTCGTCGATGTCGGTGGTGGCGCAGGACACCAGTGCAACAATTTCCGGTCCAAATTCCCGCAGCTCCCTGGAAAGGTCATCCTGCAAGATCTCGAGAAGCCCATCGAAGAAGCACGGTCTCTCGTTTCCGCGGGCGTCGAAGGTCCACGATTTCGTTACCCCTCAGCCAGTCGAAGGTGCTAAATACTATTACCTTCGGGCAATCCTCCATGACCACTCCGAGGAATCGGTGAAGATCTTGAAGAATCTGGTGCCGGTCATGGGACCCGAGAGCGTTATCCTGCTGGATGAGATGGCCCTGCCAAATGAAAACATTGATTGGTTTGCGACGCAGACGGATATCACAATGATGTGTGGCTTTGGAAGTATGGAAAGGACCGTTGAACAGTGGGGGAACTTGCTGAAGAGGGTAGGGCTGAGGATTGAGAAATTGGTGACGTATACTTGGAGCTTCCGGTTGAGCATAATCAAGGTTGTAAAGAAGTGAAAGCTAGCGGGAGTTGTGGGGCGGGAAGGTTCAAGAAAACGGCAAAAGACAGAAGAAAACTTCCGACTCGCCCTCCCCCCAGATGCGGGTTCAAAGTGATGCTTGATGATGACAACCTATCAGCTCTGATTGAGATAAGACTGGATATCAATTTGTGAACGTCAGGCTGTGTGGAGCCTGTCACGAGGCACTTCGGAGTCCGAATGGGGTCGCAGCTCACCAAAGTTCAAGGTGCGGAAATCTGCCCACGATCGAACGCGTTTTGTGGAGAGTCTGGCTCTCCTTCGTCAGCGCCATGGAGCGCCACAATTGCCAGCTTTGGGAGGGAAACCTTCCGAAGCGAAGCGAGTTAATCTCCTTTTTGATTTTGGGAAACTAGATGCAGGAGTTCAGGATACTCAGATTTGAAAGATGTAAGGAGCGTTGCGAAACGAATTTGGCCAAAAAGCAAGGAATCGAAGCCCGTGCACAGCCTGTGAAGATCATGGCCGTCATGAAACTCAGCTCTCTAACTCCAACACACACTTTCCTACTTGGTCGAAATCATCATCCATCATCGTGACTCCATGAGGCCGAATAATCGCGTTCAGGCGCCTTCTCCACTCAGTTTTCAACCTTTGGCTTGCTTGGCGAGCTCGACTTTATTGATTCTTAAAAAAGCAACATGCGGCTGAGCACGACACTAATGACCCGCGCCCTCAGCGAGCTGCAAAAGTCCAGAGGCTATTAAATCTCAACACTGCAAACATACGCTTTGCCGTGCGACTATATACTATATCATCATGTTAGCCATGGAAACCAGCCACCATACCTCCGGAAATCAACCTCTATCAAAGAAACCCTCTTCACTGTGGCGGAGATTCTCCCGACGAGAGTCACGGAGTGGTAAGAAGCCGACAAAATCCTCCGTCGAAGATCTGCGACCGACGAAGCCCACGGAACCGACCAAAACGTCGAATAAAATAATCATCGCACATTGGCAAGACTTCTCGGTTCCAAGCAAGCGTTCCGATATGCGAGTTATCAAGTCTGACATGGCAACGACTCCTTTTCCTGCGAATTTGAGAGATGTACACACGGTGGCATGGAATGTCTTCCTGGACCCGGACCAAGTTTATAGTCTGTTCATGGGATTCCGCCCTGAGCGCATGGAGGAAAAGTGGTTCATCTACTCGGAAGGGCCTGATCTGTCGGGAAAGCTGAAGGTGCACTTCCACCGGAGCTGGACGGGACACAAGATTGCGGAGTTGTTTGTTCTGATAGACCTGAAAGGAGAAGGAGCTGGAAAGATAGTGGGGATAAAATGGAATGGGAGCGAACAAACGAACGGAATGGACGAAGAGGAGGCGAAATACATGATTTCGACTACTTGCGCTTGGGTGTTGGGCGTGAATTTTGAAGAGGCCACAATATGATTATTATTCAAGGAGATTTATATGTATATTAGATCAGAGACAAGTCTTGAGTGTTGGAACTTGTTTGGTGCCCTGGAGTCAGGTCCCTCGTTAGACGAGGTTTGTATGTTTTTGTGCAGCCTTCGCTTTTTGGGAATGCCTATCGACCTTTCATATCTATCCATATCGCACGCTACGCGTCGCTGAGTAATGTTTCTACAACCCTCCTTGCCTTTCTTAGATTGGGTTTTTTATGAGGCAGGAGGGAGTAGTGTGGTGTAGCGAGTATTCGTAGTATTTCCTGACGCTCACTTAGAGTTGGGTGTTTAGGGAGATAATATTGCTTTTGGAGTCCTTCTAATTCGCAGCACATAGACGCTGCTTATTGTTTGCAATTTATATTAAATCTTAATTCTATAGGGAACAGTAAGACATTCCAGCACTCTCTCGGCCGGTATGACCCCAGCAGCTTCCGGAAAGTATATACCTCGCTCTAGTTATGTATACGGCCATAGTCAGCAATCGTGGCAACTCAAGCCCACCCAAAGGCGAGTATCTGAACTCTACTTCGAGGCTCGTACTGGCGTATTGAGGCTTACGTGAAAGAGGTCACATGGCCAACAAAGCCCATATCACTTATTTAATCAGCAGAGCTTAGCATATTTCTATGAAATTTTTTTGTATGTATATAGAGGGCTTGTCAAAAACCGAAATCAAAACTGGGAAATTGTGGATAGTCACGTGACTCAAGAAATCGCCTATTTTTCGGACGAACATTAACTTCAGCATATGCGCATACAGCGACCTAGCACCATCACTAGGTTAAATTACAACCTAATTTCGCTCAATAGTTTTGAGGAGCTATATGCGACAGCCTAGCCTTACGTGCGTCCCTGCAGCCACACCTAGTTGTGGCGCTGCTTGTGCCGCTCTCATGCTGAGAAGTTGATGCAGGCCCCTGGCGGAGCTAGTCCAAGCTCCTTGAGAACAACAACTTGAGCATAGAAGCCCCAAGCCTGCAGTATCCCTACTAGCACAATTGAGACCTACTCCTGCTTAATAATTATAAGGCACTGGATGCGACAGCCGAGCTTTACGTGCAGCCCTGCAGCAACACCCAGTTGTGGCGCTGCTGGTGTAACGGCGTCGGCAAGACAAGAGGTCCGAATGCGGTGTGAATCCACTCAGAGGCATACTAAATTTAATCAGCCGACGCACGGTCTCGCCTGACGCACGGAATTTGCCGTACGGCGGCACCGCGACTTGAAGCTCCAGAGCAACATATAAATGGGGAATACTTGACCCATAACCTCCCGACAAACCCCTACCCCCTTCGAATAGTGGGCGACAGAAAAGTTCAAAAGTGAAAAGCGAAAAATCCATCAACTTTTGGCGAATTAAGGAAGACCAGAGCTGCGGCGACTAAGGGGGTTGCAAGATAAGTACCGGTACCTAACCCTAAACCCCCCCTCTCTCCTAGAGAACTGGGGATAAGTACTAGAGGACAAGACAACTGCGCAGGACCTAGGGGAGTTGTGAATTAATAGAATTAGAGGTAAAGGACACGCATTAGGGGCAGCAATTAACTATAGTGCTTACAGCACTTAAAAAGACCTAAGATAAAATAGTAGCTATAATAAAGTAAATAAAAAAAAAACATGTAACTTAGATTAAGATAATAAAAGCACTTACCTAAAAAGTAAAGGCACTAACGTACTTCACAGGCGAGTTGCTCACACACCCGAGTCGCTCACTTTTGCCAAGACCCCACCCTAACGAACTCTATTATGGCCCATAACAACCCGCTCTGGCACTATATAGTACAGTACAGCCTAGAATATTATTTAGATACTACTTCTGCTTCTTGCTTACATATTTGCGTGTTATGCCTAGTCTAATTGCACTGTCTGCAGCGCCTTTAGAATAGCTTACCTACTTTAGCTTGCACCTGCTTTTTTACTTTCTTTTTATTACTGCGCGCCTTAAACTCTTTTAAAGCTGTTAAGTGTAGGCTTTTTTAAATTATTAAGGTCTTTTCTACTTTAATTTATTTTTTTTATGTAATTTATGTTACATAGTAGCCTTATTAGCTGCTTAAAGCTTAGTAATTTTCTATTATACTAACACTAGCTTATATGTAATTATTACTACTCTTTTTAAGACCTTTTTAAACACCTTAACTATAAAAGTTAGTAAACTATTTATATGCTTCTAAATTTTTATCTTTATAAGCATTAATTATAACTTAAGTTTTAAAGTATTACTTAGAGTTTATAACTACTAAGGCTTATTATATATAAGTAGTAGTAGTAATAAAGTGCGCAACTTTACATTAAAGCTTATTATAACTTATTATAAGTTAAAAGAAACTAATTTAGCGCTTTAGAACTTTTCTTAAATATTACTAAAAGTAATTACAGCATTATAGGCTACTTTAAAGCATAGTAGGAACTTTATTTTTATAATATAAGTAATTTAGTTATGTATAAGGTTTCTAGCTTAGCGCCTATACACTTTTTTTTAAAAAAGTAAAACAACCTACATTAAGTAGCTATAAAAAGTGTAATAAGTAAAAAAGTATATAAATAGTAATAATTTTATTATCTTTATAGTATTACTAAAAATAAAGTAAGTTATAGCTCTTATAGCTATTAATAACTAGCAGACAGTAGCTACTAACAGTACACTTTTATATATATATGTTAAAGTGCTTTAACTAGTCTAGACTAAGCTAATTAGTATTCTAGCTATGCTTAGAAATTATAATAACTTAATTTTAAAGTAAATTTTTCTTCTTATACTAGTTTAAAAAGTAGTTGCTACCTTAAAAAATAATAAAAAGCAGAATAGCTTACTTTTTAGCATTAATGCCTTAAATAGCTATTATCTACTTCTAGTTGTCTAGCTAGACTGCTTTTAGCTATTCTTGTCTCTCTAAACTTATAATAACTACTCTAGTAGATATTTAGCCTATTATAAACTTTATCTTATTAAAGTTATATGTGTTGTTATTTTAGATACTATACTTAGCTTTAATATTCTTTATAAAGTTAAACTAGCTTTAAATTACTATAAGACTTTTATAAAAAGCTTTTTTATAGTTATACTTACACTTAAACTTTACTTTAAGCTTTAAGTAACACTTAATAAACATATTAAACTAGTTTATGCTAACATAGCCTATATTATACTTAGTGTGTAAAGAATTAGCTATATTAGCTATAGCTGCTAGCTAGAGGGGAAATCCTTACGCATTTAGCTTAAGTATGTGCTAAATAATTACCTGCTCTTTGTTATTATCTAGCTTTTATAAGTTAGCTATATAATTAGCTTAAAAAAGTTGTCTAGTGTGTTAGTTACTTATTATCTTTTAAAAGACTCTATAGATAGCTGCAGCATATTGCTTAGAAAGTGTTATGTCTTATTTAAAAGCCTAGAGCATAAGCTGCATCTAACATTTCTTTAACATATTTAAGTAGTGTTGTTAGGAATGCATTAGTGTAGGAAGAGTAGTGTAGTAGGGTCTTAGTAAAAGTAAGCAACTTAGGTGTGTGAGCAACTCGCCTGTGAAGTACGTTAAAGGCAAAAAATAAAGTAATAGTAGATAAATTTAAGACCTTTCTAGCTAGATCTTATACACTGCCGAGTAGATTGCCATCCTACACTACTGTAGCATAATTACCTCTAAGCAGCTAGCCTAGTAACCTATAGACCCTTTCTACTAACATAGCAATCTTAATAATAATAGACACACTTTACTACATAATTAACACATCTAGGATTAAAAAGGTAGACAGAAAAAAAGTAAAACTAAGTAAAATTAAATAAGCTATTAAAAAAATATAGATAAACTATAAGCGCATAAAATAGTAATGTGCAGTAGTAGTTAAAAACCTAAGGAACACTAATTAAATTAAAGTTACATGTAGGGATAAAAGTAAGCTCTAGGCAGTTAAAAAGGCAGCCTGTAAAACAGTAGCTAGAGGAGTTAAAATACTACGTAACTAGCTTTTTCTAATTAGAGTAGATAACACTAACTAGCTAGTAGTGCTGTTAAAGAAAAAATAAATTTAACTAGAAGTTTTAAAAGCCCTTAGAGCTAAAAAATAAAGTGTAAGTAGTAAAAGTTAGCTAGCTAAGTAAAAATTTTTTAGAAAAGGCATATAAATTAATAGTAGTATATATTACTAAAAGTAGTAATGTAGCCTAGCTGCTATAAAAATGGTACTTCTATATTAACAGAAAATTTGCATATATAAGACTGTTTAAACTGTAAAATAGACTATTATAGTACTACTAATGCTAATAGCTAAGGCATAAGGCATTTATATGCATAAGGTAGCAGGTTTGTGCTAGGTGCGCTAGCAAAGGACACTACTACAGCAAATACTAAGTAATAGTCTTTAAATGTGTACTTTATAAAGGCTCTTATAAATCTTTTTTTAGAAACTGCTAAGTGCTATACCCTAGTTAGAATGCCTAAGACGCTTAAGATATTCTAACTTAATATAAGAAAAAAACATAAAGTACTACATAGTGTAATAAATAATAGGTAACTATAAAACTTTACTATATTAGCTATTTAAAAACTTTATATGTAAAGAAATAAAAAAAAAGAGGATTATTACAACACTAGCTAGACACGCCTACTAGGCTAAATTTACACTAACTGCATGTAGGAACAGGAGGTGGCCCTTCTAGAGTATGCTTTAGATATAGAAAAACATTAAGGCTAAATAGCTGCTAGTACAGTTGCTAGACTTTACAGCAGTAATGCTACAACTACCTAGTTAAACAGTCCTAGTAGTGTTAGTCTATGTTAAGATAAAAAATAAGTAAGTACTAAAAAAAATAATAAATTATATTTAAACCTTAATTTAAACTACATATAACTAAACTAGAACACAGGTAGATGTAGTTCTAGCAGGTAATTTTAACTAACATAACTAATTATAAAAAGAGAATAATGTGTTAAACACTTACTAAAGTAAAGTAGACTCTATTATACACCTTATAGTAGA